CACTTTGCTGTCTTAGTCAGAGGCTGTGGCGGCACCTCTGAGTCTTCCTGCTTCGGCATTCTGCTCAGCAGCTGCCGGGGCTCGCTGTTCCTGTTGCACGGTCTGCGGCGCCTCCTCCATGAGCACCGCAGCTGGCTGTTCCTGTTGCACGGACTGCGGCGCATCCTCAACGGGCTCCGCCATCTGCGCCGGCTGAACCTCAGACAGCGTGCTCTGTTACTTTCCTGCACTGAACCCGTAACAGCTCACTTTTACACCGGTTTCAAACAGGTTTCAATCCAGTTTCAAACTCCCTGGCGCACACTCTGATCTTTGGTGGCGGGTGTAAATGATCTGCTGTAAATGTTGCGCCGTGTTGAACAATGGAAATGTTGCAGACTTAGACCTTGCGGTCCTGCGACTGTCAATCCTGCAGGCCGAGCAGCTACATCAAGGCGCGCCTTCTTCCGGCACAACGTCTTCAAAGCTGGCAGCGTCTTGTCCAAACTGTTGCGACAAAGCTCCTCAAGAATCTAGGTGCACGCGTAAGGAGCTTCTGAAGCAAGAACTTGCAGGACTAGCTCCAGGGAACCCCTACAAAAACAGAGTCTTGTTGGAAGCAGCACTTTAAAGCGACCGTTGAAGGCCAGTGCGTGCTTTCGCCCGCGCAAGAAAAAACTGGTGGCTTCAACCCCCGCAGGAAAAAATGTAGGTGCCCTCTTATGGTGGCTTCAACTCCCGCAGAACAAAACACTGTAGGTCCTCTTAAGACCCCTATTCTTGTCCCTGATGAGCCTGATGAGTCTTGTTTGAAAGAAGCAACGTGACTGCCTGTCGAAGCTCCGAAAAGAAAACCTTTGCGAATGATTTGAGCAAGGGTCGTGCCTAAACAACAAACAGCTGGGACTGTGAAAGCAAATCAAACATCGAATCGTGCGATCCAAGACCGTGAAGCAACTCACTGAAAGCCGGGCAATCCCTTGCAGGCAAGCTTCGAGCAAAGCCTCGGCCTCCTCTTTGCGTTTGCGACAGCAAATTCGCTGGCCCCGGCCCGGGAAGGCCACGACCCAAGAGCTTTGAGCGCCTTCAGGCTTGTAGCGGATCTCTTCAAAAAGGACGCCCGACATAGCAGGCTGCCAGTAGCGCCGTAAAGCCTGCAACAGCCAAAGCGCCTGCAGGTCGGCCATGGAGAATCCCAGCCAGGAACAAACAAGTGCAGTTAAGTTGAGATTGTCTTAAACGTGATTCTGGCAGGCGGAAGCGCAACCAAGTAATGTAACCCCAGAAGGTATTTCAAAAAACAGACTGAGTCGCAACTTCAGCTGATGTGGCATGAGCAATGTCCAAAGTCAGTGTCGGCTCAGCCTGCCATGTCTTGAAGCTGGACCGCAATATAAAAGGCAACTGGCCTACCCATGCATGATCAACTGTATTGTTATTATACACTCTTAAAAGTACCCTACGTGTCTTTTTAACACTTCCGCGCCGCTTACGCGCAGGGACATCCGACAAAACCTTGTTCAAAGTCCACCACAAATGAGCCACGCAACCTAACGTGCACATATGGTTTCTAAGCCTTACGCCGCGCTTCCGCGCTACTTACGCGACTCAGCTCCCACACAGCCGGCCCAACAACAAAGGACAACCCTTACATATTTCGAAAAACTAAGAATTTTGAACGACCCTCATCTGGGTGAGTTGGATTAACAATACAGTAAAGTCAAAATTTGGGGTTGGTGGAATTTGTAGGTGAAATGGGTAGTTTGGGAAACAGTGGAAACCCGATAATGTGTTTGAAAATCCCTTGAAAATCTTGAGGGTGGCAAGGGTTGAACCGAAAAATGCGAGTTGACGCTTCTATGTACCTATTGGTTTCAATGAAAAAGCCCTCCCGTCCTTCCCAGTTCCTTGTAGATGAAGAGGTGGGTGCCTTCTGAAAGGGTCAGGACAAACGAGTGGGTTAGGGTTGGGTTGGTGGGGTTGCGGGGTTGGTGGGGTTGGTGGGGTTGGTGGGGTTGGTGGGAGTGTTGGTTGAAACATTGCTCCATGTCAACCTTCAAAGTGTCTCATTTGAACCCTTCTCCACTTCAACCTTCAAAGTGCCATGTTGGAAACCTTTTCCACCTCAACCTTGAAAGTGTCTCATTTGAACCCTTCTCCACTTCCACCTCCAAATTGTTTGAACCCTCCCTTCAACAGCGAACCCGCGACATAACCATGAAGACGACAGATGTGGTAGGTGATGTCCCGCTTGTCTTCTCAACCTCAGGGCATGGTGCAAGCAAACATGTTTATTGAATCGATTTTTCCACCCTCAACAATCTATTTTGCACCCCTCTGCAATCTATTTTGCACCCCTCCGCAATCGATTTTGCAACCCCAGCGCAAAATCAAAAAGGCTATTTTGCACCAACCCGTAAAATGAGAAACCCCGACCTAATTTGACCATTTTAGGGCGATATTGCCCGAAATCTATTTGCACCCTCCCGAAAAATGTCCCTTCTTGCGGTTCGAATTTTGCAGCGGTTGGCAAACCGCTTTGTCCTCATGCGACGGCTTATGTGGTCGCCTGTTCAGACCACTACATCACTGTGTCTAACAGCTTGAAAACGCACTCTCATTCACATTTGGGGCCGGTCGCCCGCCCTCCAGAACACACATGCACGGACCAGCACATGAAATGAGACTTCAATTTGTCATCAGGCCCTGATGGTATTCCTTCGCCGCTGCTGCAGCGTGCTTTTTCGTCCACGCTGACGCTAGTGCTATTCAGATTTGTTTGCTCTGCGCACTGCTTCATTAGGCATTAGGTGACTTGTTTGTCAGCCTGCCATCACTGGCGATCCAAAGCACCCGACCCTCACTGCCTAACACCGAGACAACAGTTGATTCTGTCAGGCACCGTTGCCCACGCAGACCACTGATCACGAGTGCTGCCGCCGCTGTGGTCATCGGGCTCCCACCACTGATCACGAAGCCAATGCCAGCTCCCGACAAGCCGCGGTGTTTCTCTGAAAACTTGCCGTATGTGTGCCACAGAATGTCCAGGAAGATGTCATCGTACGCATTGATGGACCAGTGAAAGTGCTTGTTGAGCTTGACGAGCTTTTTCTGTACCCGCTGCTGTGGCAGATTGGTTGTTGAATCGAAAATCCATGTGTCCAAGAAATGTTCACTGACAGCCGTCCACGAATGTGTAGGCGAATCTGGGTTCATTTCCATAAATCGAGTCAATGCGAGTTCCAGCAACGGTCGGGTAGCATAGACTGCTTTGACTTCTGCTAGCTCCTGTACCAGTCTGTTGTACTTCTCTTTCAGCATAACTATTAATTCATTCGTCACACTCTCCTTCTCTTTCATCACACCCTCCTTCTCTTTCATCACACCCTCCTTCTCTTTCATCACACCCTCCATCTCTTCCATTGCAAGTCTTGCCTTTTTTCTGTGACCCTCGGGTATGTCATCCAAGAGTCTGAGCACGTTGGACATGGAACACATGGTTTCCTGTCCTAGACTGGTGGCTTGATAACTTGAGCCAAACGCTGCTTGCCAAGAAACATCTGCTCAAGTTCATGACTCACAGCCTCTGGCAGAACTTCTGTGTGCGGCTGCACACTCTGCATCATCCGGCTTGAACGTGAAGAAGATTTGTTTGTGAATGTTGCTGTTGAGGGTGCAGACATACACCAGGCCCGTATCAGAATGGCAAACACTCCCGTCTCTTTTGCATCTGGGCATCCGGACAGAAAGAACGAGGACGAAGTCGATGATGACGCGGCCGCCAGCCAAGAAGGACGCAACCAAATGCACCACCCAACTCCCCAGACCACGCAACAACTTAATGACTAACCTCATTCAATTGTTCAAAACATTGCCCCCCAGACCAACAATGAACAAGGGGGACAATTTCCCAAATGACCACATCTAACAAAACGATATTTCCCCCCCCAAAACACACCTTTTCAAAACGAAGAAGGGGGAACACAGATTTGAGATGAACATAAAAACCAGAACAGGCAACCCTCAACAGCACTTCCCCCAGCTAGCCCCTTTTTTCTATTTTTTTGGGGGAGGGGGGCAGGGTGGTTAGGGGGAAGGTGGTTGGGGGAGGGCTTGCGTTGACAGTAGAGGAAGGTTGCACTTGCTGCTTTCGCTGGGTCTGTTAAAGGAAAGTTTGTGGCGAAGTTGAACACCTTTGCTCCCCAACCGCACAACTCTACCTCTTGACTTTGGGACCTGTTCAAAAGCAGGTCGGTGCCCAGTATTCAAGTACTCACACGCGTGAATTTTAGCTGAGTGTCTCACAAAAGGGCAGACCCGTTTGTGATAATGCCGCCCTGTTTCTGTCCTGAGATGTTTGGCTGAGCAAGTAAAAGTCCCATGGTCGGATCTGATACCAGTTTCCACGTACCCTACCCCAACAAACCCGAGAGGATCGGGTAATGGTTCATGTAGACGTGGGTGAAAATAAATTGCGCCATTCCGCCATGTTGGTTTAGTCATCCCCCTTTCTTACCGACATAAAGAAGCCATCTACGTTCACCCCGAGTTCCTTGCGTGTCTCCAAACACATTGCCCGGAAGGTCATGTTTTTGCAGCACGCAAAAAGGGAGTCGTAGCTGGTCATGGGGTGAGGCAGCCTGGCCCAGACAGAATTTCCGGGTGCTTTAAGGGGTTGCTTCTGTGAATTCGGGCAGTGTTAGGTGAGCATTCAGACATGCATGCATCTGCAATTCTTTGCAGTGGTTCCAAAATCCGAAATAAGGCATCCCCGCAAATGCAAGCAAGCAAGGAAGCAATCACAGGTCTCCCTGTTTGAACTCGTTCGACTTCACCCTCCAACGCCGTAAGTTGGACGGAGCCCAGACCAGTTTCTGACTTGGCTGTGGGTCAAAAATAGGTACTCAAAATGGAACCCTGGCAAAGGAGACGTGGACTAAAACCTGCGGTCCATTTCCTGGTATTTAAATTTTGACCTAGAGCCACTTGGATAATTGCTCGACTTGTTCGAGGCTGTGGGCATCCGCAGCAGCTCCAGCTCCCGCTCCGCCAAGGAGACCTCCGACTCAGACCTCAGGTCTCGACGCTGCCGGTTGCCGCTTTCCCGGTTTGGATAAGGCACATATGTTGCTACCCTTAGGCCTGCAAAACTGGTTTTGTTAACTCTCAACCCTCCAAGCTTAGTAGTAGTAGTAGTAGTAGTAGTAGTAGTAGTAGTAGTAGTCGTAGTAGTCGTAGTAGTGGTGAGGAGGAGGAGGAGGAGGAGTAGCGGTAATAAGCCTGCTACTGCGTTTAACTGACCTTTCCTCCACACTAACTTAGTCTCCCCCTCCTCCAGTTCCACTCTATCTTGTTAACTCACTAACTGGCGCTCCCACCTTGCTAACTTGCTAACTTGCGTACTTGCTAACTGGCTAACTACCTGAGTTCTAACTTGCTAACCTACTAACTTACTAACTTATTTTGTGTCTCCACGCCGGATGCTGACTCACTAACCGCCCTTTGCTCCAGGGTGCACCGGATACTAACATACTAGCTGCCTTCCCCTTTACATGGTCTAGAATAGTTTGCTATTGATCCTGAATTGATTGTTAGTTGATTCTAAATCATTTGGTTTCTGATGCGTATGCCGAACCCCCCCCCACGCCAAGTATGCCGCTTGTAATCTAACAGGGAAACAACATCTGCATGCTGGGAAGAAACCAAGACCTTTGAGCAAACCTCGATTACTTGATTTTGAAACCAACAAACACACGTGTAGCCAACGGGGAAACAACACCTTCCGCAAATGCGCAATCGGTGTCCTTCAAACCCCCCAAACAAACCGCCAACAACGACGCACGCAAAGCAATGTCCCTCAAACGCGTCAGAAGCAAACCAAGTTGCCAAGTTGTTTCACAAACCTCTAATTTTACGCCCAATTCAGGGTTCTTCGTTATCCATGTTAGGCTTCCGCTATTTTGCCACATGACCACGGTTTAGACAACCCCGAACAGAATTCAAAATCGCGGATGGACTTTCTTTTCAGTGCTGCGCCAGGTGGCTGCAGTTGGATGTTGGCCCCGAATTAATAAAACCGACCCAATATTCGGGGTGCTGCCTCCACAAGTGACAAATCCTCACAGGTACCACCCCCCGTATGCATCGACCGAGGATTTATTAAATTCCAGTCATTTTACACTGGGCCCACCTGCTTGCACCTGATTGGCCAGGCGATCGGCCGCACCTGATCGGCCATCTGCCTGTGCATCAGGTGCAGGCGTGGCTATTTACTTAAGTCGGTCCTTCGGACCTTCGAAAAGAGAAGATATTTATTCATCAGTACAGCCGTTAGGTACGATACGAAAAAGGCAAAAGGAAAACGGTGATACTCTGGGGTCAACATTAAAATAAGCTGACAAGGGCCCTGGTTCCCTTTGATTAGTTGCGTTCTGCACAAGCAACCCTTTCCGAAATTCGCAAACCGCCCGTGAAGACACCGCCGGATACAACTGCATCGGGAACAAACAACCCGTCAAGACCGAAGAAACCCGTCGACTTCTGAGCCCCCACACGTGGTTTCTTGGCACTGCCAGTCGGTGCCATTCTGCAGGCACAGAGTTGCTGTCCTGGAGCTAAGGTTCGCCTGACTCGGAATTATGCGCGTGTGTCTTTTTCTGCAGAGAACCCTTCCTCCCCCAAACATAGCATCTGTCGGCGAGTACCTGAAAAATCAGGTTCCTCTTGAAGGGCAGTCAAAGGGACCCCCTAACTAGGTGCCATGTGAGTGGGAGGGAGGGTACCCTTCATGTGTCTGGAAGGGGAACAATGGGCACAACGGATATGTCAACAATGGGAATCTGGAAGGTGTGTCTTTTGAGGGTACCCGTTTTGGGGTTGGTTCAACGGAAATCCAAAAGCTCGAAAAGAAGAATCCTCTACCCATGTTTTTTTTTGTGCTTTTGGGGATGTGCTTTTTGAAGGAACTACAAAAAACATCATGCCCTCGTCTGGTGGCTTGGCTGCTTACTGGCTCGGTTGCTTAGTTGCTTGGACGTCTGTCTTGCATCGCCACACTTTCCTGCAGACCGGGTTGCCAACTTGCGTGTCGATATTGGGTGGCATGGGAAAGCACAGCATGACACCTATCCAAACGGAATGTACATGAAATGACTTGAAGCTAAAGCTTCGCCGAGGAAAAGCGTCAGAACACAACTATGCAAGGGACAACTCAAATTGGGGGGCTCTTTCAGATGTCCAACATGTGCGGAAACCAAAGGCCAACCATTCTTAAGTTCCTTCTTTTGGGACGCAACAATAAATATATGTGTCTGCTTATGTGTGCTTTGGGCCCCATGTTTGCTTCGAAGATACCTTCGATCACGGCAAGTTCTATTGCCCCGTACTTTCTGGCTGCAGCAATGCTGAGTTTGGCGTTCAACACAGGTCTGCTTTGGAAGACAAAAAAGGATGGTAAAGGGCACCCTCGCATAAGGTTTGGGCTGAGAGTATCACCAATAGATGCGTACTAAGAAGGGCTCTGCCAAACCTCGCTTGGTAACAACCCCGATCAAGTAGAATTGCTGCCTGTGGTGCTTTTACTGGCGGTACATTTCGTTTAGCAGCTTCACTCAATGTCAGTACAGTTCAACACCACAGACACAGTCTACTAGGTCCTCCAGTAGAGAGCTTAGAATAAGGGGTACCCTTTTTTATGTAGTCGATTTTAGTAGGAAAACCCTCCCCCAAAAAACGAAACGGTAAAAAGGCACTACTGGGGGACCTAGTCTAGAGTCCCCATCTTCAGCCGTCAGTCCAGAACAGCAAGGTGGCAGCACATGTCGTCTTCAGCCCGAACGGGAACGACGCATATAGGAATTGTGGGAAAACCAGGAAACTTGGTTGACGTTGGAAGGGGAGCAAAAAATGATTTTTAGCGGTTAAGTGCGGATTTCCACTAAACCACAACAAGCAAAAATGCAAAAAGTTTCCCAACAACAACCATGACTAACCCATTAAATAACATGCAGCCACTGCGCCAAGGAAACTAGCTCCTTCGGCTGGTTGCCGTGGAAACACTAACAATGGTCTGACTGACTTCCCTATTTAGCACCACTAGCCTCACGTACCCAGCTCTGTTGACAATTACACACAATTATGGGCAAATGGTTAAACTTCCCAAAGTGGAATAAGGACCCCCCAACAAGTAAAGGACCTTCATGATGTGTGAGCTCAGTTATCGCATGTATGCTTGTAACCATTTGCCCAAACAAATTCAGTCAGCTACAGCCCCGTCCTTGCATCAGCCTCAGATGGCTCAAGTCGCGTTCCGCGGCTGTGCGAGTGAGTCACGCCCATTGTGAAATGATCTAGTTTCCTCGTAGCTCGCTTCTTTTTTAAATAACTCTAGCCCGGCAAATAAAGATATATCCACAAAGTCTTTGGTGCGCGCGCAGGGGGGATGTTTGCCTTGTGCTTGTGTGTATGTGTTTATGCTTGAGTTTCTGTTTGCGACGTTCTGTCTTGTTGAGTTGCGTCTGCTTGTCTTACGGCATCCAGCGTGACCCAAGTACTCTAGAATCAAACGCGCCCAGGAGGGTATAACCAAAATAGCTCTGGCCAGGCATTCGAAGCATACGCATTGCAAGTACCGAATCTACAAGTGATGAATCGCAAAAAAAAAAAGATCCTTCATTTGCAGAACGAGCAATAAAACCACGGCACCCACATTGACATGAGTATGTGCCGAAATAGGTGACCCCCCAATGCTGGTTATCCTTCTTGTGGGCCATTGAACCAAGGTGAAAAGGGTACTGAGATTCAACAAAAAACACTCACACACACAGACACATCGAACTCTTGGTACCAGGATTCTCGCAAGCCAGACATCATCCCAGCAAGACCCGTGGGTGTAGCGAATCTGGTGCTGAGATGGCCACACAAACCCCGCAAAAGCACGGGCCATTCAGTCCAGGACAGTGTCCGGTTGACGCAAGCAAAGGCTATTGAAGTGAGGTGGATGCAATGGGTGTTGCTCAAATTAATGTTCCAAAATCGCACCGTGGTACTTGCAACCAAAGACTAAAACCTGCGTAACCCTAGCTCTTGGATTTCGAGCCACACCCAAATCTCTTTTGCTGCAGGCTGTCCCCAGAACTGGACGAGTTGCGAAACTCTTTGTCTGAGGAACAAGCCATGCCAAACACGATCAAATCCTTGAAGCGCGGAATGGCCTAAGAAAGACCCTGTCTGGAACCGGAAAACCGGCAGCTTGTGAGCAGAACATCGAAAACGCCCCACATGTGTGAATGAGGATTGAAGCAACACGTCAGGCCCATGAGTGGGTCGAGTTGAACACCCTCTAGGTGTGACATGTATGTTGTGCTCTCCAGCCCAGATCTGTCGAGTGAAACAACTGAGGTATGGGCCGACTGTGAAGTACCCGTCGCGGCGGGGCTAGAAGTTGTGCTTGTGGCGAGGGTCGCCACTGAAACTGTGGAAGCTGCAGTCGTAGCTGCCGTTGCGGCAGTTGTGCCGGCAACAGTTGTGGCTGCGGCTGCCGTGGTTGTGGCCACTGCGGTCGCTGCTGCTGTGGTTGTGGCCACCATGGTCGCTGCTTCTGCGGTCGCTGCTGGTGTGGTTGTGGCCACTGTGGTCGCTGCTGCTGTGGTCGCCGCTGCTGTGGTTGTGGTCACTGTGGTCGCTGCTGCTGCGGTCGCCGCTGCTGTGGTTGTGGTCACTGTGGTCGCTGCTGCTGTGGTCGCTGCTGCTGTTGTGCCTGTTGTGGTCGCCGTGGCGGTTGCTGTGGAGGTTTCGGTGACAGTGCGGGTTGCTGTGACTGTAGCGGTAGCTGTTGTAGTTGCAGTGTCCGTGGTAGTAAAGGTGCCTGTGGCTGTTGAGGTTGCCGTGCTCGTGCTCGTGGCAGTCAAGCTGGTTGTCAGTGTTGCAGTCACGGAGCTGGTGAGTGTGCTAGTTGCCGTCTGCGTATTTGTCAACGTCAAGGTGCTTGTAAAGGTCCAAGTGCTGGTAAAGGTCAAAGTGCTGGAAATGGTTGAAGTCAACGTCGATGTTTGGGTGCTAGTTTCTGTCAGGGAAGCTCCGTCCGGCAACAGCTCAAGCAACTGAAAAGTGACTGAACAGTTCTGAGGGATTGATGGGACCTTGCCCAAAGCAAAGCCTTTTCCAGCTTGTCAACGTGTAAGCACCATTGCATGAGTTATGATTCACGAACCTGAAGTTTCGGAATCTGCATAGGCGCTGTCCCCCTTTGCGAGGTTGCTACAGCCGGGTGAGTTGGTGGCGCAACTCCAACTCATGTTGGTTTAGTCACCTTCACTCACTTGATTTCTGCCATCCACGTTCACCCTCTTAGAGCAGACTTGTGAATGCAGCTCGCTTTCGCTGCTCAGCTAGCAAGTCTGTGAAACAACTCTTCGGATCGGTTTGATTTGCAGATACTCTGTTGACAATACCTAGCTTGATATGTTGATTTGATTTTGGACCAACAAATCCTTCATCACGGGTCCTGTCGCAAACCCAAACCCTGTAAGGTCACAATTTACCTCTGAGGCGTCCAAAAGTGAACCGTCTCCCTGCAAACTCGAAAGCTCGGACCTGCCAAATGGCCTGGGCGCTGAGCGCCTATCAAACGATCAGGGCTAGAGTGGCCTGGTCGCAGCTGGGGACCCTTTTCCCTGGCTCCGTAACGGTCCTCTTCCAACCACCGGCAAGCTTAGCATCAAAACACCAAAACCCGGGCCTATAAGGGGCCCCCAGTGGAGGGGAGTTATAGTAGGGAGCCAGTCATCATCCCTCCACAAGTAGTTTGTCAAGGGTGATTCCCTTGGTTACCAACCAAGGGAAATGGAGTCACTGGGTAGTTTGTGATTTTTAAGGGAATTATCCACAACCATGCTGAACTTCCGCCTGAGGTGGTCTGTGTGGCGGTAGAAGTGGCCGTCATGCCTTGGCGGCACTCATTCACCAAGACCATGCCCAGCCCGCTCCATACACGGTTCTCTTCCGCTAAAGGCCGAATGTATGGACAAGGTCCCTTTGGTTACCACGGCTTGCCCCTTACACTTCTCGGAAGCTGCCAACTTGTTGGACCCTCTGGCTGGAAACCCCCTGGTTTCATTGCAATGGAAAAAGAAGAAGAAGGAAAAAACGCCACGGGTTCATGTAACATTTTTTTCACACATGTCATCGAGTCCTCCGATACATCCTTTTCATTTCCAGAGCCTCTGTGACGTGGCCAGACTGTGATCTTCGCAACTGTCTAAATTCTCTGAGGGATCCTGGCCGTGCCTTATCTCACATAAACATATTTGCCCATGGCGCACCTAGAGCAACACAGGGTCTTTTCCAGCCCCTTCGGAACAAATAGAACTGTCGAGACCTTGGGAACCATCGAGCACGTAATGTGTTTGTGCCTGTTGCGAAGTAATAACTCGGATCACCTCGGATCATGTCTTGCATTCTTGGCACTGGACACATTGATCCTGCCAAAGGTATCCCACGGTGCAACATTCATCCTCAGGGCAACGCCCAACACATTGAGGTGACAAATATTTCCAAGCGAGGAGCTGGTGGAAGCTGTAGATGTTGTTGTTGACGGCAACAAAACATAGCAGCTGTACCCCACCCCCGGCAACGTGGTGTCGATGGGCGACGTCCACACCTGTGCAAGGATTGGAAGCGAAAACGCGATCCTGGGAAGCTGAAACTGGTGAAGCCCACGGTATCCTACAAATAGGGGTTTCTTTCAACAAGAGGCCCTCAATATTGGTGTTGATTCAAGATTGGCATATTGCCGACCTCAAGATATATCATATATGGTTCCCCCTTCGGTTGTCCTACACGGCCCAAAACGGGTACACACAATACAAGTATATTGGCAGTGGGCGTGGTTTATCACCTAGTCTGGGGTGTTCATCGGCGATGGCCCTGCGCAAGGAGCTCGACTCTGAATGAACGGGGCAAACCCTACATGTTGTGCTAAGGTTCACGGGCTAAACGTCCGGTCCAATAGCAAACGAGTTGTCTGCAACCTGCTTTGTGTCTGAAGCTATGTCTGACACCATCACCTGGTAAGCTTCCTTTCCCCTCAGCTCGCAATACATGGTGCAACCTGACATTCTTCCATCAGCGCGTGCGGTGCTGCCACAAAACAGTGACATTTTCAGGTGGTGTCCCTTTCCATTCAACAACAGGATCCAACGGGGACACTTACCCCACATCCGTAGCTGAAAAATATGTATTCAGACTCTGCATTCTGCTTCACATTTAGCTGTCGTCCTGCAATCTTTAAAAAGGCATTGATGGAGACCCCCGGAACAAACCGAATACCGAAACAACAAGGACGTATCGTGGCTGGGCTTTCGCAGATATGCAGAACCGCGAACTGCCGACTGTGGTGAATCATTGGGTTCCCAAATGGTGAACCCTTTGTGGTTCACCAAGGGGCCTGCCTTAATAATTAATAAAGATAGGTACCCAAAATAGAACCCTGGTAAGTGGCAACATGGACCAAAACCTGTGGTCTTCTGGTTTCATTTTGCCCCACACCCGTATAGGGAGAAAAACTTTGCGGGCAGGGTATCCAAGGCTGCAGGTTGGCAACCTGCAAGGCTTACTGCCCGTCCTCCAATAGTCTTGAATGGGAATTCTGAGATAAACAGAAGCTCGAATGAGACCCCAAAGGCAAGCATGTGGTGTGGGGATTGGGTCCTCCGTATTGAGTAGGTTGGTAGTTGCAGCACCCGATCAAATTGAGCAGGGCCCAACGACCAATCAAAGCGTTGCATGATTCAAAACTGCAAAGCTGGGTGAGTTGGCAATGTGGCATAGGTGTCCCTTTTGGGAAAATAGATGGCCCTGGTAGTTGATTGAACCACCAGGTAAACCAGGGCCCTCTATTTTTCAACCAAATCAACCCAAAAGGACACCTATGAAAGTGGCAAGTTGGAGAGCACCATTGTAGTCGATGATCATTTGGGAGTTTGCCCCGAGCCCGAGGATGATTGCTGGATAAGGAGGGTTGGAGCAAGTCCCACCCCCTACTCCAAATACCCTCTATTTTTGAGGGATGATTTTGACCTCTACTACAAAAGAAGGTATTTACCATGGAAACCCAGGTTCAGGTTTTGTGTTTAACATATCCGAAAAAAGAAAAAGACAAAAAATGGTATTTGGAGTAGGGGGCATGGCAAGCTGTTCTTTTTGTAAGCCCAATGGCCTTGTTGTTTCTTCCTTTCCGCGCCTCGCAGTTCATGAACATCGAGGAGAACTCGATGCCAACGCATGCCTTAGACAGCCAAGTCGGTCTGTTGGCATCGGTCTGTTGGCCCAAAAAAAAAAAAGGTCGACGGTTCCGAAGATCCCAGCCACGCAGCCTCCTCAAACTTCATTTTTCAGATCTGGTTTCGCCTTGGTGCTCAGACCCAGGGTTTGCGAGAGATTCCCCAGGAAACGATAGGGGATGGCCCCTCCTATGTGATACATTCCCAACTTCGCCATCACTACTTCATTTGACGCAGGTTCACTAGCTCCTCCAGTAGAGAGGTTAGAATAAGGGTACCAACTTTTTTCTGTAGTCTATGATAGTAGGGGAAATCTCCCCCCACAAAGGGTAAAAGGGCACTACTGGGGGACCTAGTTCACTGCTGACCAGGAAACCGCCGCCCCAGCCCAACCTTTTCCCAAGGTTCCACCATGTCGAGCCGCCGAGTCCGCGAGGCAGAGGTCCTACAAGCGACGTGGCTTGAAGGTTAACGAAATCTTGTGGCTTTTCAGCTACTCGAAATGGCCAGGTGTTGCTTTTATTCCCCATCGAACCATCGCAAAGTGCAGGTGTTGCGGTTTTTATTTGCCCACTTAACCATCGCAAAAGCGTATCCTCGAAAAAGACACAACCTGTTTGCGTCGTAAGAACGGCCTCCAGCTGGCAACGGACCTTTTGGCTTACCTTGAGCCGCGCTCAAAAAGCGGTTCCCGTGTTCAAAATGTTGTGAAACTTGGAGTGGTAAACAGTTGCCAATGGTTGTGATAGGTTTACTGCGCTATTCTGGGAGCAACATACCCGCAATGTAAATGCCATCCTTCTCACTCACAGGTATCAAGGCCGGTAAAACCCGCTTTGACTTTGAAGGGACTGGGCACTGTCCACTTCACGGATCATCCTCTCCATCCTCCTTACTCCCAAGATGGCAGGATCAATGAGCCTATTGCACACCTGGCATCTCTTTGCAACGCATGGCCTCTGGTTCTCAACAGGGATCCGGATGCATTATACACCTGCACATTGCAACTTGTAAATGGTGGTTTCCCTTGGAAAAACAAAACATGTTTCAATTGGGCAAAATGTATCTTTTAAGGAGCCCTTCTCAAACTTCATGATTGGTCAGTGGATTGAAACGCCCGGCAGGCCAATCTTCTGGTTCCACGTGTTCGCTTCTTTGCGGCGAGCGGTTTGCTCGCGGGTCGCGCGAGCTGAGGTAAGTGTCCAGCCCAAGCTTGCCTGCCGGATCCAGAGCTCAAAATCCAAAGGCATCCTGGCAAACTGCGCTTGAACATCAGATATTGCCATTGAAAGTTTGAGGGTCCTGGAACCTGAAAACTAACTGGTCGGTGCACCAAACCTGTTGCAGCTCATCCCCTGCATCCCCAGTCACCACGTCCTTGCAATCCTGCTCGGCGGTGATCGGATTGTGCAGAGTGTAGTAGCCTTAGTGCCGAAAAAACCCAGCAACGACCAACGTGACAAACTTTCCCAAAGTTATGCCCGAACCGCGGATCCAACCTGTGCCAGGAAAGCGCAACAAAGAGGCACGCACCAGGGGCTCCCTATATTTCCGCTTAAAACATCACCCCCCAAAAAAAAACACTCACCAATACCATGGGCCAAACAAGTGATGTTTAAAACCACCTAAAAGGGAAACATAGGAATCGACCCCTGAACAGGTGAACTCGACCACGTGCCGCTCAAGATGCTTCGATTGACAGGCTGCCATTCTTGGAGCATAGGCTTGCCCTGCTTGACTATGACAAACGCTTCATTGTACAAGAGACATAGCCAAGGTGCGCACATATACGTGCATATCTCCAAGCATATATGTATAGATGTATAATATGATACAAAGGTACACATTCACATCTGTGTCGATGTGCTCATATGACCATGTCCACAATGTGTTCATCTTTTCACTTCCTCAGTGGGTTTGCCAAATCAAGTCTGAACTTACCGTTTACCTCTGAAATGGTCTTCCCAAACAGGAACATGGTCCAGAAACTGGAGAAGTCAGTCTTCCGTTGTTTGCTATATTTGAGTCACGAAACATAGAACCCTTTTCTGATCCGCAAATTGTCACAACTCACCAACACAAATATGGAATCATCAAGTAAAGAGCCTTCAACAAGTCCAAAACTTGTTTTTTCCCGGGTGAGCTCAGTATAATTTGTCTGGACCTGTACTGTAAACCTCCCATGAATAGACCATTCATATGGGTGTTTCCTCAATAAGGAAAGAACGGACACGCTCTTGAATGGGACATGCCGGCATCCTTCCACAAATCAACCAAGTGTTTCTATTGCAGGGTATATATATATATACACATATGTCTCATGAATCCTCAACCCCGCTAGAAGGAAACTCACTTTGATCTGCACCAACAAGTGATGATTGAAACCACCAAAAGGTGAATTCGGGCGTGTCTCAATCAAATCCGGGGAACCGCCAAACTGCCTGTGGAGTCCTGGTTTGTTTGCCCTTGAGCCCGAAATGGCTGGCCTTGAAAACATCGACGGCCCCACATCATAATATGGGCATAAATCTTGGGGGACCCTTTGGTGGATTTCAAACTTCGGCGATTCATGTCCGACCAGCTTTGTGATTCCAAGCCGAAAAAAAGTTCATAGCCATATGTGTGTCTCTCTGTGTGTGTGTTTTTGGGCGCCTCTGGGCTGTAACAGGTTCCAAGCCTCAACATTCAACGCCATATGTTGATATGTGGTGTGTGTGTGTGTGTGTCTTTTTTTGGGTGGTTTTGGGATGGTTTAACGGAGAAACCTAAAGAACCAACACCAAAAACCCGGCGCCGCTGAGGTTCCGGGCTGGGATCACTGCTGGGGCCCGGCCCCATGCACTCCACATCCGTCGTCACCGACCAGTCTTGGGCTCCAGCCCCGACCTCCCGAGTCAGCTCCCCTCGTTGTTGTGCAGTATTTCGCAGGATCTGTGGCGTTCCTAAGAGCATATGGCCGTGGGTCAAATCCCGTACCCCTAGTGAACATCCCAATCCCAACTGGAATAGTATAAAATGGGTGGTGCACCTACCCCAAAATGGTACCATTGGTTTTGACCGCCATATTGTGAAAGTTACTATTGAAGCATGATTGTTTGGAGGTTGGGTAGTTTGGAGGTTGGGTGGTCTGGAGTTTGGTGGACTTCGGAGGGGTGGTTTGGAGGTTACCTGACATTTGGGGCGAATTTGCTTCCTCAAAATCAAATGTGGATTTGGGGCGCCATAACCTAAATCAAGTTGTGACTGTGGGGAAATCATGATAGTGGTTTGAACTGGTAGCCATATATCCACACTCACACCCACACCCATATTCACCTTCATATTCACAACCACACCCACACCCACCCATTCAAACACACGCACACACACACAGAGCCACGCACCCACCTACACCCACCCACACCCACGCACACCCACGCACACCCACCACCCCACCCACCCACCCACCCACCCACCCACCCACCCACCCACCCACCCACCCACCCACGCACCTCGCCCGCCCGCCCGCCCGCCCGCCCGCCCACCCACCCACCCACCCACCGACCCCCACACGCACACACGGACACACAGACACACGCACACGCGCATGCACGCGCACGCGCACTCGCATGCGCACACACACACACACACACACCCACGCACGCACGCACGCACGCACGCACGCACGCAGGCACGCACGCACGCACACGCACACGCACACGCACACGCACACGCACACGCACACGCGCACGCGCGCGCCCACGAGCACGCGCACGCGCACGCGCACGCGCACGCGCACGCGCGCACACACACACACACACACACACGCGCGCACGCGCACGCGCACGCGCACGCGCACGCGCACGCGCACCCACACACACACACACACACACACACACACACACACACACACACACACACACACACACACACACACACACACACACACACACACACACGCACATCGTAGATTGTGCGTTGGTTTGATTTTAAGTTAGTTTGGGGGGAAGTCAGTTCCAGTGATCTCACCATTTGCCTGTATAGTAGGTAACATTAGGTATCCAAGGAAGCCATCCTTCAAACACATCAACAGAAGGATGCTTAACGCAAGAGTGGTGCAAGTATGGCTTCAAACAGGTAGATGTGATCACCCTACGAGTACCAAAGAAGAAGGTTTCGGTTTGGAAAAGGGCCCGTTTTGACGGATTCAGGTCGGAAAGAACTCAAGTGCAAACATGGGACAAATTGGCTTCCCCATGCAACGTGGAAGTACGCACCCACGCGCAACAACAATGAAACATCATACCAGTCGTGGCATTTGTTTGAAGACAAATCATACGTGAAAGATCGAAAACACAGACAACGAATTGGGACTGTGGTTGGAAGCCCTGGGTCGGAAAGCCGGAAGTTGACTTGGAGGCGCAGCTCTTGGGTTCAAACCAGGAGTTTCCAGGTCGGGGTTACACATGGTTACCGAACGAAAAGCACCTTGCACTGCACTCTGGGCGCAAAATTATGTAGGCTAAGCTTTGCGCGAGTAGCAGCCAAAGTCGCAGCATCCTGGAATGCTGCGGAGGTTGCGTGGTTCTGGACATCCAACGAGTCCCCACTAAGCGAAATATGTTTTTACCGGGAAACCACCGCAGGCGAACGCTCGCAACAGGCTAAGGTTCGCAGAAGTCCACGTACATGAACACGATTCGACACGTGCAATCAGCGCAACCAAGCGCCCGACATGTCTCAGCAGGCAAGTTGTGTCAGCCCTCAAAAACAAACACAGAACGGTTTCAGAGTCACCTGAGTAAGGGGAGCGCCCTGTGATTGGTTGGTTCCCCCCTGTTTGAAAAGCCCAACTCGTGTCAAAGGTCAAACCCCTTTATCTGAAAATTGACCCCCAACTGCCAAGTAAAGAACCGTGATCACGCCATTGAATTTTAGCAGCTGTTCCATGGCAAGGCATATGTCTGCCCACCCAACTCACAATCGAAACCTGGTTCTCTGGTCTGCAAAGAACCAAGAGACCCTGCTGAAGAATCTCATAGCAAACCGGATGCAACCAAGCAGCGCCCCTTTGCCCAGTGCCCCTGGGGTGAGCAACATCATCTTGCAAAGGGAAGCAAGATAAAAACCCTAACTTACTATGTGAGGAGAAACACAATCCTTTTGCAAAGGACAACCACGAGTCTAACAGGAACACCATCATTTTGCAAAGGACAAACCAGAGACACACAAGAAAACCATCATTTTGTATGAACAACCAAGAGGAACACCATCATTTTGCAAAGGACAACCCAGAGCCACACAGGAAAATCATCATTTTCTAAGTAACACCATCATTTTGCAAAGGACACCCAAGAGGCACACAGGAAAACCATCATTTTGTAAAGGACAACCAAGGCGCACCAGCGCCTTGTAAAAGACGCACAAAACAACGCGTGCGCGCGAGAACTGAATCGCCTCCCAAACAAACTCAATCTGAACCGAGCAAACGAACCGGTCAGGTTCACAAGTGTGCGTCTGAACCGACTCGAACCGAATTGGGTGCCGTGTTGAAATGAATCGAATCAGCCCCGTGTTGCTGCTAGCTGGAATGCTGCGCGCTGAAGCACAAGCTGGCTCAAAATTGGGCCACATCTAGCCTGGCCTTCCGCGGTGCAAACCTTGCCCTGTTTTGGCACTCCCGGACTTCAAGTTCCGTTTGGCAAGTACTTGCGACCAAATCAACATTTTGTAAAGGACACCCCAGAGGAACACAATTATTTCGTAAGGGACAACCAAGAGGCGCACCATCATTGTGTACATGACACCCAAGAGGAACTCCACAATTTTGTGCAGGACACCCAAGAGGAAAACCACCAATGTGTCAAGGACGCCCAAGAGGCACTCCATAATTTTGCAAAGGACACCCAAGAGGCACCCCATAATTTTGCAAAGGACACCCAAGAGGCAAACCATCATTTTGCAAAGGACACCCAAGACGCAAACCATCATTTTGTAAAGGACAGCCAAGAGGCACTCCATACTTGTGTAAAGGACACCCAAGAGGAAAACCATCATTGTGCAAAGGAAACGAACAGGAAGACCAACAGGAAAGCCATCATTGTGCCACTCACTTCCCAAGTTGATTGGCCAAAAAAAGTCTGAACCTTTTATTTACCACTAAAATGGTCTTTCCAACAAGTGTAAAGTCCATCAACTCAGGAAGTGAGGCCAACGGACACCAACATGAAAGCCATTTGTTTGTAAAAGGAACCCCGGCTGCGCGGAGCGCTTCCCCCGCTCCTCTCCGGACCCAGTTCGGCCGGGCGACGCGCGAGACGCGCGCGCCGGCGAGCGCCCGAGTCTCTATAAAGCTACCCGGAGCAAGGCAGCGATTGGCGCGATGACTCGAAATTGGTACGCCGATGTGTTGAACCTTGTAGTAAAGGAAAACCACACTTGAGTCTGTCTTTGGGGGAACCCCTAATGGTTGGTATTAACTGGAAACCAAGAGGAAAACTGAAATCCATTTGGGCGGGTCCCCGATTTTAAGACACCCCCAAACACAGGCATGAACATCAACCCAGTGCCCAGTGCTTCCAGCTACACCTAAATCTAGGCAAACCATTGATTTTCCTTGTTGTCGTTAAAGAGTCGTTCGCTTGGCTTCCCGTATGGGTAAATGGATGCACTGGGCATGAACATCTCAACATGTTTCAAGAGGTTTCTTTTGACACCTATGAATTTCACTTCGGGAACACTTTGGTGGACATCATGACCATCCAGATTTATGTGCACCAACCGTGTTTGACAAAGGTCATGGCATATGGACTCTGCAAAGAAGGAGCCCTCAAACAATGCCGGTGCTAGCTAGAAGGGGTTCATAACCTTGGCCTATAAAAGGAGTTGCAAAAGCTTAAATACCTCAGCAACTCAAAATCAACCAAACACACGTGCATGCACAGCGCTTTGATGTCTTGCTCTCTATGTTCCTGCAAAATAAAACCCAAACAACTGTCTTCTTAGAGGAATAGCCTTAAAAGGATCCCCTTTGTGGCTTTCATGTTCTGAGGAGCGGTGAGTGGAGGGGTATCAAGCGTAGCTCTTTAAATGTGACGATTGTGTTCAAGGACCGCAATAAGCGGCAACGTCGGCACAAATTTATTGTAGTTGCTTATCCCTACTGTTCATGGAGAAAGTATTGAACCAGTTTGGAATGGATGAAACCCTATGCCAACTGGAAGCGTCCACAGTATGAAAGGAGACAGAATTCGCAATGGCTTTTCAACAGCCCAGCTCAAAGGAACAATCAGATCTGTGCAAACGGGCTTCCAGGATGGAATGCTTGGCTTCAACGGAATCAAGGCCTCTGGGCACAAGAGCATGTTTCTTTCTTTGTTTTTTTAAGTGACAAGAGTAGAAGATGGAAATGCTTGGTTTCAACGGAATCAAGGCCGGCACAAGAGCAAAACCAAAAAAGTAACAAGAGTGCCAAGTAGAATTGTGTTGATCCTTGAGTTGGTCGTTGTTTAGAGGTCTAACAAGAACCGCACATGATGGTTCAAGGAGCCTCCAACGGGAACCCATCACGTTATTTTCTGCATAAGGGGAAACCAAAGATAATTCACCACCTTGATGCAGGTAAAGGACATCAAAGGAGCCCAGCCACTTTGATGTTATTCAAAGGGACATCCAAAGTGTAAAGGGAACCCTGTTTTCAAGGAGACCCTAGTTCAGATGGTGTGACAACCGGAAACCGGAACAGAGAGCACTCCTCAAGAGATTATTCACTTCTACCGGTTGTTTTTTTCCTCAAACACGGCCGAACACTTTTAGGGGCTCTTCCTATTTTTTCCAAACAAATGGCTAAAATAGGCCAACCCTGTTGAGGTTCACCAACAAACCACCCTCCGCACTTTTCCACTTAACTCCCTCGGCCAGCCGAGGTAGGGCGACGCGCGGTGAAACCCCCTATCACTGCCAGGTGCAGTGCGATTCCCGTCAACCGGTTTGAAACACCGAAGGGAACTAACACCATGATTCGCCGTCCCAAGCAAGACACAAATCATCTAAAGCAAACTAAGTTAAACAATATAAATCCTCATCTGACAGGTAAAACAAACACAAGACAGCTAAGACAACTCACACCATACATATCAAATAAACATCCAACGAGACCAACATAAACAAATCGGCCTTAAGCAAAAAGCGGCGAGAACCTTCCCAGCTCGGAGCTGGGCAAACTCTTCAACTTGCGCTGGCTCCGCTCGATTTCCTGCAGACAAAGCGCGGATTTTGACGCAAGGACCTTGAGGATGCCCGCTTTGTGCCCATGTTGCAAGGGACACCACAGTTTTTTTCAGTTTGTCCATTTCGAGACAAACCTAAATCAAAGCGTCTACGCTTTTCCAATGGAAGTGGACAGGGGGGCTCCAAAACAAACAAAGTCTACCCACTATCCACAGCTTGCTGTCAGTTTTTTATGATTGTTGGAAGTACGCGTTGCCTATGATGTTGAGAACCGTAATGGCAAGCATGAAAGGCATGTACAAGTGCTTGCTACGCACTGGATGGAACCTTAGAACTGCTTTCCCGGTTTTTCTTGGAGCCCCAGAGGGAACCATCTCCCAACTCCGAGCTGCGGAAAAAAAAATCCGCCTCTTCCCTGTCGACCGGCGGCTCAACCCTGGGCTTCTCAACCTGCAGCTTGAGTGTTGCGGACACCAGCAATTCCGGGTCCAAAGTCATATCCAACTTACCCGAAGTCGGTGGCTCGGTGGTTTAAAGGGAAGTCATTCTGAGTGACTGAGAACATGTCTGCGAAGGGTTCAGGCCAGGCAATCCGCAAACGCAAACCGCACAAAGCAAGCTTTATGCCGCCCCGGCCAAAGGGAGTAGAATCTGCTTTGCAAATAGCTGAGGGCTCACAGGCTTGTGGATGGGATCCTTTTGACCAGCAGGAAATGTCCAGCAGTCCAGCCAAAACCAAGTGCCACCAATTTGTTATGACGAGCCTGAACTACAGAAATTCCCCGAGACTTTGGAACCTTCATCATGGAAGAGCTGGTTTTAGTGCCAGGTGAGCTTGCCACAATCACTTCAGACCCATGTGTTCGCAAGCTTGCGACTTTGAGCGCCGAGCAACAAAAAGCAACACCAGCTCCAAAATTGGGTTTTGTCAACCTTGAGGGGGGGATTCTCTTCCTCGCTTTCTTTTCTTCGCTTTTCGGGCGTGTCCAACTCGGCCGCGACCTTTTCGAGGTACGGTTGGTCCTCCTGAGAGCAGGTACGCAGATTCCGTGTCCAGAGCTGGTTTTATGTCTTGTAATATCCTTTGAATATAACCTCCCTGCAAAATGTGACATGTTTGCTGGTTGAAAGGAATGATCAATGCAAACCAAGCATTGAGGCAAGGAAAGCCAAGTAGAAGTATGGCAAACATATCTCGTCCAAGAGAAGAAGTACTTTTGCTTGAGTTGGCCCAGAAGGTGATGAGGAATTATGAGAACTCCTGAGTTCATGAACCGGAGCGTGTTGATGCTATCTTTGCCTTGCTATTGAATACATATCAAGCTGACAGTCAACTAGAAAATCACAAAAACATAGCTGTGAATGCATTGCAAAGCCCATTTTAGTGATGTAGGTTCTGACCTTCTAACCATGGTTGCACCGGTTTTCATCGCTTCAGGTTGACGTTCAGGTGGGCTTGGAGTTCAACATGTTCCCCGCAGTCATCTCACCGTTGAGCTTCCCTCTAGTTGGTTTGGAGCCCGGTGGCTTACTTGGCTTGAATTCAGACCCCAAACAATGATAACTTTTGCCTGGTCGTGGAAAACAAAAAGAATCCAAAAAAAGCCCCCCCAAAAAAGAGGAACTAATTCTGGGGAAGTTTAGAGGTGTTCCGGGGGTTTCCCATTCAACCAGGGGCCCAAACCCCAAACCGATCCAAATCACCTCGGGGCGACCTGAATTGACAGGAACACGCGCAAGAACAATGGCCGCACCTTGAAGACGGGCAAAAGCGCGCTTGCGCCCAGCGCGCCAGGTATGGCGGTCTTTTGCAGATGCCAGGCGTGGGCGTGCGGCCGGGTTTCGCCTTGTAGACGCCCCACGGCGGCGTACCTGGCTGGCAGCCAAAAGATCATGTTAGACAAATCTGGGCTCGTTTCTGAGGGCATTCCTTTTTCAAGGGGCATCTGCAGGAACACAGGCAGTCAGCCTCACTGATGTCGGGGAAAACAGGACACACTCGCGGGAAGTGGCGCCTGAGGCTCCGGAAGCCAGCGGCCTCCAGCGCCGCTTGGAAGTCCTTGCGCCTGGAGTTGTGGACAAAACGGCAGCATGAGACCAGTGCAGCCATAGGTGTCCTTTTGGGGGAAATTGATGGGTTTCTCTGGTAGATGATGAAAACCAGGTAACCCAGGAATCGCCATCTATTTTTCTAGCGAAGCAACCAAAAAGCACACCTATGTATGTAGCCATTTGGGCGGGGGTCAAAATCGGTCCTCAAAATGGGCTGCCCCTTTGAAATGGACAGGACGAAAACCTGCGGTCCTTTTTCTGATTGCGTAATTAGATTTGACCCAGGCCCATACCCGTTTGGCATCCCTTTGGAACCATCTCCCATGAAGGTTTTGCCAAGGCCCTTCGTTCATTGATCTCCTGCACGATTTCTGGCTGAACAAGCGCGATATCAACCGAAACACCTAAGCGTCTAAGGGTAGGTTTGAGGGCAAGCGCCCAGCGACCTTGACCAAGCTCACAAAAAGGATGCCCACCCCCCTCTCTTGAAGTTTCCTCAAACCACTTGACGACGCCGGTGTGATTTCACGTTTGCTGTATAAGTAACCAAGGGAACTCTGAAAAGCACAATAGGGACTTGCTGGTTTCTTACCACAACCTTAATTGGGATCTGTGAGGGTTGTGGGGAACCGGGGGGGGGTGGGGGTGGAAGGGTTGAATGAATGGTGGGACCTGGAACCAAAAGTGGCGAATGATGAAAATGTGTGGTTGCCCTTTGGTTCCCTTTACACCACCCCCTACAAGGGGCACTGAGCCTCTGACCCATGATATATTTGGGCTTCCGTGGTACTTTGCAGAGTCAGAGAGGGTACCAAGCCTCAACACAAACGAGTTTCTCACGAATTTAGGAACGCCTGCAAATGTGGAAGCCAGAGTGTTGTCTTTTCAATCCATACAAAAAACAAACGGGGTACGACCAGACAAGCATACATCTTCAAATTGTCATATTATCCAATACCTGAATCCCCTGCTTACCTGCTCTGGTGAATGGATCCACTACCCTAAGATCCGCTGGGTACTGCTGCCCCATATTAATCAACCCCAGTTTATTAATAGGGGGGTGTCCCCGGGTTCCAGCGGGGAATCAAACCACTTTTAGCGGGGCCCCCACCCCCCTATCAATAAATCGGGGTTGACTATATAATATGGGGTCAACATTAAATGATCCACTGGGCTCTGGAGTGACCAGGCCTTTGGTCCTCCAGCGATGACTTCTCCACAACGAAGAGACTGCCCGCAGGATCCGCACGCAGCACCCGCCAGCACCGGTCCAACATCTCCTACGGATGTACTGGGATCCGCGGTTGGTACCCGCAAAATGGGTCCCTTCCTTTTGGCTTCCCCTCTAAAAAAGAAAGAAAGAAAAACGACACTCCAAAAATAATGCCCTCAAAAAGTGCCCGTTGTCAACATGCAACCAACATCACCCATGGTTCTTGTCGTTTCACACATTCTTGTCGGAGAACAGCCGAAATCACCCATGTAGTTTTGTTGTCACCCATTCTTTTCAAAACCACCCATATCACTTCTTTGCTTCAAACTCAACCACCCTAAGTAAGGCTCATGACCCTCTATGGAGAACCCGGACGCTGGAGAACCGCCCCCGAGCCAATCGGACGTTGTCTGAAGCCTTGGCCTTAGGGCAAAAACTAATTTGGGTCATGGCATCATCCGGCACTTCCCTGCTGAGGCGATCTTTCAACATTTTAAAGGCGGACTAACCTTTCTTGGAGGTAATGCAATGGGACAAGATCCTGCGCACCCACAACCTTGGTGTGTCTCATGGGGAACACACATGTTTTTTGTTGGGTTCCATCAAACAAAACACAGCCAGGTAGATCGGGAATGGAACCCAACCAAATTCAAATAGGAACAGAAGGGCCCAGTGGGCAAAGGACGGCCTTGGGTAAGGTCCACGGCAGCCATACCAATGCCAAAAGTCTTTCTTGCCCTATTGCTGCGTGGGCGAGAACCCTTTATTTGATTAGGTTGAAACTCAGGTTGGGGAGAACAACTCCCCGCAACAGCTTGCAGTCCAGAACTCCTTCTGCACGATAGGGTCATGGAATCCTTGAGGGGAACCCTTGCAGAGGATGCGCCGGGGCTGCGCTGCTTGGGGCAAAGTCAGAGTAATTCCGACGGGGTGCACAGTGCTTCTTGAGCATGCCCATTTCTCCTCCGGGTTGAATGCCCAATCCATCATGAGACAAACTGATTCACCCGAGGGGCCCTTCCGGTAGACGACGCTTCCACTCCCCGGCGTTTTGTTGTTGCGAACACCCTTTTTCCCAAGCCACAATGTCTCATGGGGGCTGGGGGGGAGGGAGGGAAGCGGGAGAAAGCCCAATTAAGCCCTTATCAAGCCACCTTATTTGGGGCTTATTAAGCCGCCTTATTTGGGGCTTATTGGGGCTCCCTCCCTCCCTCCCCCCCAGCCCCCATGAATGTCCTGGTCCTAGGCACCAGTGAATCAGAATCCGGCTTTACAGGGATCTGCCCAATGCAAGGCGCCCGCATTAAGGCCAATGTCCCCTCCTGAGTAGTGCGAAAAGTCTAGAGCTTTTTTCCTCGCCACAACGATCTTCCCCAAAACTTCAGGGAAAAAAAGGAAGAAAACACGGGGGAAGAAAAAAACGCAAGTCCCTGAAAGTCCAGAGGCCGCTTCCGCCTTCCCCCCCCCCCACCTCACCTGTGATTTACACAGTATCCTCCCCCTCTCCCAGTCCCGAACCCCGGTCCCGGCGCAACGGGGGCGTCGGCAGGAAGGACAGCACCAGGCTCAGCACCGCGCCGTCGAAACTCTCCGCGCGCAGGGCCCGCAGCTCGCCCCGCTCCACCACGAAGGGCGCCGCGGCAGCGTCCTCCGGAACCAAACGAGACCCACGGAGTCACGGAGTCGCTTGGAGGCGAACCTGCGGAGTCGGGTGGAAACAGCTTAGGCGGTTTAGGGCCCTAGGCATGAATGATTGCCCAACAGAGAATAAATAGATGGCAACTGAACGCTTAAGCTGGGAGAAAGCAAGTCCTCTGCTAAAGATTTTCTTTTTTAAAAAAAAAAATCTTCCCGTGTGATTGCTCTAAAGCAGCATTGATCATGGGTCAGGTCGCAGAGCAAAAGTCGCTGAATGTCCCAAAATAAGCGGCTTCTAGAGGGCTCTTGCATGTCTATCCATGCATGTCATTTCTATACCTTTATACAAACGCTTTCTGACCATCATATCTAGTGACCATTGAACAAGAGGTGTGTAAGCATGCTCAAACAAGTGGTTGCCATTGCAGAAACCACCCAAGAAACTCGAAAGTGTGACTCTGAGTGGAAGCCCTCTGATGGAAACATCGTGGATTGCATGACTGCTTGTACCCTTTAGACATCCCAACAACATTGTGACGCTTAGACTGCATCACTCTCCAGCAAACAATATGGGAAGACTCCAGTTGTTGTTGGCTTTCTTCCAGGGTACATTTGTTGAACTCAGGTGCCTGATTGTTGGGCCTGTGCACTTCCACGTGTGTATCTTCATGCTGAACAAGAACGAGTCTTTGTTGGGCAAACGGAATGGGGGTCTACTGGGGCTCCCTGGGAAATCTGGGGAATGCTGGCACCTGCCAAATTCAACAAATGCTATCACAGGATTCCACTCCCCTTCCTTGATCCTTGATCCTATTTCAAAATCAAAATCCTAATGCCAAAGCCTCTGGAGGACACACAAAGGCGGTTGAGGGGCTGGGATCCCTCTGTCGGCGGAATTGGGTTGATATCGCAACCGAGTCTCATCTCTCCACGTCTTTGCTTCAGGTTCAAGGAAACCAAAGAAGCACCGCCAATGGCTTGACTTCGCCATAAGAGGCAAAACCCATGTGGACTTTCTGAGCGAGATGTTCAGGAGAGTCGAAGAAATCTAGCACAACTCTGACCTGTCAAAAGGTAAATGGCTCCAACCTTCTGGAACCTTTGCTAAAAGTGGACCAAAAAGGGAAACCAACAGGTGTTTTAAGGGCTTTGAACTGAGGCCATTTTTTGAAGAGGGGCTTTGAGAGGTCCTGGATCTCCACTTGCAGGAAGTCGCCCCTCAGCACCCCCTCCGCCGCCGGGGCCAAATCCACGGCCACCGCGTTCAGGTGATGAAACGCGCCGTAGCTACTGCCAACGTCCAGCAGACCTTCCCGGGCGAAATTGTGTGTGTTTTAGAGTTAGGGCCCTGTTAGGTTGGAAATTGAAGCCAGGTACATGGGTACTTCTTCATTGAAGTTGGTGCCCCTTAATCAAAACGAAAAATCCCCAGACACATACCTGACATGGTTTTGCTGCCAAGCAATTCAAGCAGTCCCTTACCTTGTGAACTTTTGCTCAATCTGCAAAAAGGCGGGAGGGTGACAGTGGGAACCAACTTGAAAATGGTTCCCTAGAAACTAGGAGTCTTGAGGCATATGGGACACCGGTGTTGAAGGGTGGCGGGTCACAATCACCGGGTTTCCCCTGCAAAAAGCAATCTACTGAGAGGTTCCAATGAAAGTGCAAATTTGTTCAGGTCCAACAAAAAGAGAAATTCAGGGACTATCACTTGTCAGCTCATGTGGTACGTCAAGACTAGTTTGCTCGCGGAGCGTCGGACACTTGAATGTGGGGTTTGGAGGGGTGGCAAGGTGGCATCCTGAGTCACACTCAAAGCGAGCTGCTGGATCCATCTTTGGAAACCCCCTGATTGGTCGTCTCACAAGTAACAAAAGCGGGCTATCCCAACCAGTCGAAAGGCAGGGCCCCCTTTTCAGGTCCCAACAGTGCCCTTTCATTCCTTTTGGGGTGCAAAGAGTCTCAGCGATTGCATTTCCCTAGTCTTGTGAGCAACCAAGGGGACCACCCTGTACAAACCAAGAGACAAAAAAATGGTTTCCTACTATAGAAGCAATTGGGATCCACAACGAGCCCCAACCTGCACAATCAAAAACCGCTGGTAAGCCGGTTGATTCATACTCCCCTCGGGCGGGCGCAACGTATGATAGAGATGTCTCACTTTCGAGGAACACACACACACACACACACACACACTCACACCAAAGTTGAGCAGCGCCCGATACCCAATGACCTTTGCAGCTAAGTGGTTGCACAAGATTGACATAGTTCCCCTGTAATCCCTGCTTTCTACATGACTCACAAGCAAGACCGACATACCGCTGCTGAAAGGTGGGCTAAATGTCCACTTTCCTGCTGAGGATCCTTGGGGCATGGAAATTCAAAGATGAAGCGTGGAGATCCCGAGTGAAACACAAACCGAACCTGGTACTAAAGAGAGTCAAGTTGACACTCGCTCTAAACTTCAACTCCCCCTTCGATTGCTCACCTGTTAGGGAGAACCGGGAGAAGGGTCCAGCTTCAAACTCAGAGATGAGCCGTGACCCTTGAAAGTAACATGCACCCCAATTTGAACATTCAAAAACCAAGCGGCCGCTACGGTTTTGTGGGTGAACCGGGGTTCTGGCCCCTGGAAGCCTGCGGGTATTTTCGTCACTCTGTTCGGTCCCTTTTTTGGGGGGGCGATCCCATTTTGTGTGGTTCTCACGACCCGCCAAGCGGAGAAGGGAAACGGATCGGACTTTTAGCGGATCGGACTCCGAGCGGCGGAAGTCGCCGAGATGGCCTATCGCAACGCCGAAACTCGGCAGACAGGCAGCGGAACAATCATCCCCCCGAATGGGCACCGTACATACTTTGCACAAATGAACAAGCTGGGCTACGGAAGGAGCAGGGATATGGGGGGATCCCTTGGCGCCAATTCCCATATGAAGCTTAGTCAAGGTGCATTCAGGGGAATACTCCCGTATCCCTGGTTCCCCTGTATCCCTGCTAGTTGGTTTCCCTGATATACTGTGCATGGACAAAAGCCATTTCGCGCAAGTTGCCAGGGAGTTTATCCCAGTCTTCAATGTTAACAAAGCTGGGCGGTCCAATTCTCTGACCTTTCATGGTTTGAATTCTTCCCCAAAAAGGGGATGTTTCCGTTCCTGTTCGTATTCTTTGCCATTTATGCCATGAAAGCTCGAATCTTGTCCGCCATGGTCACGATTGGACAAAACCTGAATTTCGATACCCAGAGGCTCCCGATCAATTTACGGCCCTCAAACAGCCGGTTTTGAGACCCCCAAACACCTCCGGGGTAATGGAGGGGTTGGGTCTTCCATTGAAAGCCCCGGCGCCCCGGTAGAATCGGGTTGTGCCAACATTCCGATACCCGGTCAGAAAAACACCCCTTGAAACAGGGAACCTTTCGGTGTCCTGTTGGTTTCCCTTCAAAGGACGAGATCTGTTGGTCTTTGTCCCCCCAATTAAAAACATTAGCAGTGGGGACGCACCCAGCTTTACCCACAAAGTTAAAGGTGACAGGTCGAACTAAGTCCTTTCGTCTCCCAGCCACTACTATAAATGTTAACCTCGGATCAATCCGGAGGACCGTACTGCTCAGCGATAGTTCCCCTTTATCTGTTATAGGGGGTGTCTCTGACCAGATCCGCCGGACTAATTTGAAGTAACATTATTGCAAAGCTTTCCCTTTTTGCTGTTCACTGGTGGCGTTCCCTGGCTTCCTTTGATACTGACGACAGCTTCTGCGTGGGTCCCTCCCAAAATGTGCAAAGGACCTGAAGATAGCTCACAATTGTCCTAGGACGTGGAGTCCTTTGAGGCTGCCTTTCATAAAATCGAACACCATTAGAGTGTGCCAAAACTCATGGCCAAGGGCGTCGATTGCACGTTCTGGCAGACGGCAGTCATGCCGAATCTGGTAATTACAAGAATGGGACGGTCGCAAGGCTCATTCCCGAAAACCGAAGCCGACGAACGCCCTTCCTCGCGAACTTCATGACTCTCTCTCTCTCTCTCTCTCTCGCACACACACACACACATGTGCGCAGCGCGCACGCACGCACGTCATCCTTCGACATCGACGCCTGGAGTCACACATCGCACCGTCTCCAGCTCCTGCAGCACCCAGTCCACCGTCGAACGGCTCCAGGCCTTGCCTCCGACCGGGGCAGTTTGGAGCCAAGACTTGCATTTACCTAGTTGTTGTGGATGACTCACTTCCTGAGTGGATGGGCCAAAAAAAACACTTTGCATTTGCGACTAAAATGGTCCAAACCCAAAAAGTATAAAGTCCAGGAACAGGAAATAAGATGAACCAAGTGACTTTGGGTGTATCTCTGGGGAATCGTGCAAAACTGGGCGGGGAAAGCCTTTGTTTTGGGGCAGATGGCGGAGGGCTGCCTTTGGTTTGTTGTGAGTTGAACATTTCGTTTGGAAGGGGGAAAGTGGGGGTGCCTTTGGTTGTGTTGCTTGTTTGATGTGTGCTTGGGGCTGGGGAGCGGAGGCGAGGGTGTCGTTGTTCTTTGTTTGTTTATTTTGTTGTTGTTTCTTGGCAGAGGGAAGGTGTATCATGTGTTGCCTTTGCTGTTCACCTTTTTTGTGGGAAAGAAAGCATGGCTTCCTCTCAAAGCGCGCATTGTGAGCACTTTGACTTTGGGCTATATCTGCTCGGTAGAGGTTCAGGTTTCCCATGAACAAAGCAGTTTCCCCACGCAGGCTTAGGGACATGAACGACGCCACCCCCATGACCTCCCCAGCTGTTAAAGTTGATGACATCATCGGTTGAGGGTCTGGCAGACTCCTGGAATAAACTGAAGCACCAACACGAGACTTCGAGACACGAGCTTGTGTCTCAGGGTGTTCTTGAACATGGGGCATGTACTTGGGTGTCTCAACATGGTGGACCCCTTTTGGTTTGGTACTTAAATATCTAAAACAAAACATTGCATAACAAAACAGCATCACCAGCCAGGACCCGCCCAACAACTGCTTTTTTTGGACGGCACTTGGACGTTTAGACACGGCCGGAAGCAGTCGTTGGGGGGTGCTGGAAGTAAATGCCCATAATGTCGAACAATGACACAATGACACCTGCAGTTTGCAATGACACATGTCAGCTATGGCAATGGATCCCATCAGTTTACAGCCTGTGCCGCCAAGACACCGCCGACCACCGGCGCAGACTTTCCTGAGGGGGGTTCCATGTGGTGTTGCCAGGTTTAAGAATATATCAACGATCCATCCCCGTGTCTGGAGCCATAGGAAATTCCAGCTCCAGCTGCTGTACGACTTTTTTCTGAAGGACCTCATTTTCTGATTGACATGCGAGAAAGACCTGGAGGAGCTTCACCAAACTGAACACAGCAACGACTAATCATAAATCATAAATCAACCCGAAACCCAACACTTGCTAGCTCTCAGCAGGAAATGAGGGAATAACCCCAACAAACTATCCCCCATAAGGGAATCTACGTTCATTCCCAATCCCTGGCTCAGTCCCTACTGAGCACCAGCAAGTTAAACCAACCTCCACAACCAGGCGTACTCACATGTCAGTTTTGAACACCCCGAAAGATAAGTTGCCAAAGCGGTCACTCGCTATCCCCAACGGGACGCATGGATGCCAAATAGAGGTACCCCCCATGGGAAGCTTTGGTTTCTCACATCAACCCCGGACATGAGCAGCCCCAAGTAAGCAAGTCTGTTCAAGGACCTTTTGACCATTCCCGTGCAAGCAATCACTCGGACTATATGGAAACTAACCCAAGATCTGTGATACCAAAGTGGTTGATTCCCATGCCTACTACATAGTCAGCTTAAAAGGGTTTCCCATTGGCGGCTCAAAATGGCAACCCCAAACCCCACTTCCAACAACCATGGGGTACCTCTCAAATGGGTGTGCTTCACCTGTATAGCTAACCAAGGACACCACCCTTCACAAACCAAAACGAAAATAAGCGAAGGGTTAGAACCCACCACCCATTTACCTGTATAGCCAACCAAGGACACCACCCTTCACAAACCAAAACGAAAATAGAAGGGTTAGAACCCACCACCCATTTACCTGTATAGCTAACCAAGGACACCACCCTTCACAAACCAAAACGAAAATAGCGAAGGGTTAGAACCCACCACCCATTTACCTCTATAGCTAACCAAGGACACCACCCTTCACAAACCAAGACGAAAATAGCGAAGGGTTAGAACCCACCTCCCATTTACCTCTATAGCTAACCAAGGACACCACCCTTCACAAACCAAAACAAAAATAGCGAAGTGTTAGAACCCACCACCCATTTACCTCTATACCTATCCAAGGACACCACCCTTCACAAACCAAAACGAAAATAGAAGGGTTAGAACCCACCACCCATTTACCTCTATAGCTAACCAAGGACACCACCCTTCACAAACCAAGACGAAAATAGCGAAGGGTTAGAACCCACCACCCATTTACCTCTATAGCTAACCAAGGACACCACCCTTCACAAACCAAGACGAAAATAGCGAAGGGTTAGAACCCACCACCCATTTACCTCTATAGCTAACCAAGGACACCACCCTTCACAAACCAAAACAAAAATAGCGAAGGGTTAGAACCCACCACCCATTTACCTCTATAGCTAACCAAGGACACCACCCTTCACAAACCAAGACGAAAATAAGCGAAGGGTTAGAACCCACCACCCATTTACCTCTATAGCTAACCAAGGACACCACCCTTCACAAACCAAGACGAAAATAGCGAAGGGTTAGAACCCACCACCCATTTTCTAACTCTATAGCTAACCAAGGACACCACCCTTCACAAACCAAGACAAAAATAAGCGAAGGGTTAGAACCCACCACCCATTTACCTCTATAGCTAACCAAGGACACCACCCTTCACAAACCAAGACGAAAATAGCGAAGGGATAGAACCCACCACCCATTTACCTCTATACCTAACCAAGGACACCACCCTTCACAAACCAAGACAAAAATAAGCGAAGGGATAGAACCCACCACCCATTTACCTCTATAGCTAACCAAGGACACCACCCTTCACAAACCAAAACGAAAATAGCGAAGGGTTAGAACCCACCACCCATTTACCTATAGCTAACCAAGGACACCACCCTTCCCAAACCAAGACAAAAAATAGCGAAGGGTTAGAACCCACCACCCATTTACCTCTATAGCTAACCAAGGACACCACCCTTCACAAACCAAAACGAAAATAGCGAAGGGATAGAACCCACCACCCATTTACCTCTATAGCTAACCAAGGACACCACCCTTCACAAACCAAAACGAAAATAGAAGGGTTAGAACCCACCAAGGGATAGAACCCACCACCCATTTACCTCTATAGCTAACCAAGGACACCACCCTTCACAAACCAAGACGAAAATAGCGAAGGGATAGAACCCACCACCCATTTACCTCTATACCTAACCAAGGACACCACCCTTCACAAACCAAGACAAAAATAAGCGAAGGGATAGAACCCACCACCCATTTACCTCTATAGCTAACCAAGGACACCACCCTTCACAAACCAAAACGAAAATAGCGAAGGGATAGAACCCACCACCCATTTACCTCTATAGCTAACCAAGGACACCACCCTTCACAAACCAAAAAAGAAAAGCGAAGTGTTAGAACCCACCACCCATTTACCTCTATAGCTAACCAAGGACACCACCCTTCACAAACCAAGACGAAAATAGCGAAGGGTTAGAACCCACCACCCATTTCCCTCTATAGCTAACCAAGGACACCACCCTTCACAAACCAAGACAAAAATAAGCGAAGGGATAGAACCCACCACCCATTTACCGCTGTAGCTAACCAAGGACACCACCCTTCACAAGCCAAGACGAAAATAGCGAAGGGATAGAACCCACCACCCAGCTATAGAGGTAAATGGGTGGTAAGTCGTTTTGGTTTGTGAAGGGTGGTGTCCTTGGTTAGCTATAGATGTAAATAACCAAGGACACCACCCTTCACAAACCAAAACGACTTACCGCCCAATTACCTCTATAGCTAACCAAGGACACCACCCTTCACAAACCAAGACGAAAATAGCGAAGGGATAGAACCCACCACCCATTTACCTCTATAGCTAACCAAGGACACCACCCTTCACAAACCAAAACGACTTACCGCCCATTTACCTCTATAGCTAACCAAGGACACCACCCTTCACAAACCAAAACGACTTACCGCCCATTTACCTCTATAGCTAACCAAGGACACCACCCTTCACAAACCAAGACGAAAATAGCGAAGGGTTAGAACCCACCACCCATTTACCTCTATAGCTAACCAAGGACACCACCCTTCACAAACCAAGACGAAAATAGCAAAGGGTTAGAACCCACCACCCATTTACCTCTATAGCTAACCAAGGACACCACCCTTCACAAACCAAAACGACTTACCACCCATTTACCTCTATAGCTAACCAAGGACACCACCCTTCACAAACCAAAACGACTTACCGCCCATTTACCTCGATAGCTAACCAAGGACACCACCCTTCACAAACCAAGACGAAAATAGCGAAGGGATAGAACCCACCACCCATTTACCTCTATAGCTAACCAAGGACACCACCCTGCACCAAACCAAGACGAAAATAGCGAAGGGATAGAACCCGCCACCCATTTACCTCTATAGCTAACCAAGGACACCACCCTTCACAAACCAAAACGACTTACCACCCAATTACCTCTATAGCTAACCAAGGACACCACCCTTCACAAACCAAGACGAAAATAGCGAAGGGATAGAACCCACCACCCATTTACCTCTATAGCTAACCAAGGACACCACCCTGCACCAAACCAAAACGACTTACCGCCCATTTAACATTTACCTCTATAGCTAACCAAGGACACCACCCTTCACAAACCAAGACGAAAATAGCGAAGGGTTAGAACCCACCACCCATTTACCTCTATAGCTAACCAAGGACACCACCCTTCACAAACCAAGACGAAAATAGCGAAGGGTTAGAACCCACCACCCATTTACCTCTATAGCTAACCAAGGACACCCTTTAAAAACACGAAAATAGAGCGAAGGGAGTTACCTAGAAGCGGTTGCCTGTGATCCGCCGGCTTTGTTTAAACCCTCCAACCAAATTGTGGGGCACCGAACAAGTTTCTCGCAGGGCAGACGATTTGTCTCATGGCCTCGGCGATCTGTTTTTGCCTCGCCTCTGAGTAAATTGTCGTTTTTTTCCCTCTATTCCCTCTAGTCATAGATTCCCTTCAAGGCCAACAGGGGAAGGAAGGAAGAAACGCATCATTCATGTGTTGGTACAAAACATGGTACCCCCGAAATTGTGCGGCTTTCCTCGTGTTTCCCTTAAACCCACCCAAACAAAATCGGCAACGTCAAAACCAAACCGCCCAAAAACGGCAACACCAAGACCAATCCGCGCAAAAATGGCAAAACATCCCAAAGAGAGAGGGGCAAACTTGAAAAACCAAACCCACCCAAAAACGGCCACCAAACGAAGCCAAAAGCGCGTCGCGTCGCGTCGCTTCCGCCGAAGGCGCGGTAGGCCTCCAGCTCCGCCTCACTGAGCTCCAGGCGCTGGCGCGCGCGCAGCGCCGAGTGGATGGCCTCCTGAGCCGCGAAGGCCTCCTTCCTGGGGTTGGCGGGTCTGCGGGTCTGCGTGTCCGGGTCTGGGCCGGTATTTGGCTCTGTGTTTGGGTGTGGGTCACTGGTTGGTGTGTTTGTGTGTGCTTTGTTTGTATTTGTCTGTGTGTTCTGAATGGGTGTGTGTGTGTGTGTGTCTGTGTCTGGGTATGTGTTTGTGGGGGGAAGGTGGGAAGGGGTTGGTCTCTGGGGCCGTGCTTTATTTGGGTGTGTTTGTGAATGTGTGTGCTCTTCTGTGTGTGGTTGTGTGGCTGTTTGTTGTATTTTTCTGCGTTTGTGTTTGTGTTCTTTGTTTGCGTGGTTGTTTGTTTGCTTGCTTGCTTACTTGCCTGTTTGTTTTGTTAAGGGTGCCCTTTTGCGGGCTGTGTTCAAGGGAATCCAAGGGGACACCACCCAGTTTGGGGGGTACCCCTATTTTGACACACAAAGTCCGAGAAAAAAGATGGTCTAAGAAACCAACAATTTCCATGAGAGAGTTACTTTTGGTGGATATCTGGGATAGTTCCCTGTAAATGCCTGGAGGTGCTTTTCCTTGCGGGGAAGGGGAGGGAGGGAAGGAGCGGGGAGGCTGGGAGCCCCGTGAGGTTTCCAACCTGAACGAGTTCTTCAACAAAGTGACTTGTCTTGTGTCTTTGTCCAGAATTGAGTCATCATACCAGGGGTTCATATATGGGTTCATATTCCTGATCACGGCACACAAATCCGTGAGCTCGCAATATGTAAGGCAAACATATCATATATGTCTGTGATATAAATTCGCTCCCCCGGTGTTTTGTTTGCAAACCAAAGCAACAGCTGGTTCCAATTCCCCTTGAGGAACTCAAAGGCACTCCAAAGGTAACTTTCCCATCGGGGTGACTTCTAGTTCAAGCTGAAACCCGGGCTCCCCAATGCTTGCCAACATGTGAATAAGAGACGCTGAGAGGATTTGTTGTTTTTTATTGGGTCATTCAGCTACCATACCTCACCGAATAATAGCAAGAATGAAAAACCATCCCCCTCGTAAAGAACCTTCATGGCTTGAATCTCTCATCCCCCTTGGCCCGGCCCGGAAATCGGACGTGCCCTTCAACCCCCCTGGATCTGTATGATGGACACTCCTATTTTTGCTATCATTCTTCCAGATTGTTTGACTGGACCCTAAAGTGGTGCATTTTGCTTTGAGGCCATCCTTTTGTATTTTTTTCAGGAACAACAAAAAGAGGGTGCTTCTCAAGATAGGCTTCGGTCCCCAAGTCGTTTGTCTCCTTTCGGCTTCCCTTTCAATACCTTCTGGTATCTCTTTTCTGCGCTGTCCTCAGATCCCTCGCTAAAAGTTGTGTGTGTTTTTTTTGTGGGCTATATGGAACTTCCCACTGAGCACTAAGAAGCTAAGAACCTAAAGATCTAAGGGGATGGCTGGGAACCACCAAGCTTTTGTGAGAACTTCTCAAATGTCCACGGCCCGTCCGTCTCTCTCCCTCTCGCTTGCGCGCCTCTGCCGCTGCAGACGCCGCAGCTCCTGCAGCCCCGCGTAAAAGCTGGCGGACGGCGCGGCAGAGGCCGCCGCTTCGCGCGCCTGAATTGGCGGCGCGGTGTTCATAGGTGTCCTTTTAGGGGAAATAGATGGCCCTGGTAGATGATTCAACCACTCCAAAAAGGACACCTATGGCGGTGTTTCGCCCGGTCTGCGAGGCTCCCGGGTTGGAATGCACCAAGACTTGCTGGTGACCGATCGCTTGGGAATGAGTGTTCCGGGTGTTGGGAATGAACCGGTTTTGGGGATTTCCGTAAATGAAACGCGAGGGGATGGTTTATAGGGCTCATTCCCTCATTCCATGCCGAGAACCGGCAAGAGTGAAACAAACTTGCTGGAACATCAGCTTCCCCGATTGGTTCATCAGTTCTTGGAAAGACCATTACGGAGCAACCCTGGCGGCCAGAGAAGAAAAAAACACTCCAACTGGTGCTCTAGTACCCTGGAATGTTTTTTGTGGTGCAAAGAAGGTTAAAGTGCTTCTTGAAAAAGGACTTGGATCCTTTATTCAGTGACCAAAAAGGCAAAACTGATTTGGGAACATTTCTTGTTGTTTGATTGATTCGACTTTTAATTAGTGGACAGGTTTTGTATGAACGTGTCGGGCCATGCTATATGTGAGCCGAACGAACCCTCGTTAACAGTTCATTGTGTGGCGTATTGAGACCGGTGCCATGGGATGAAAAACCTGAAGTTCTCCGAGTTTTGGATTGGAAGCCTCACCACCCGGGGGGCATGTGCACTCGACATGTAAATTCGACGAACGGACAAAGGTACTGGTGGGTCATGGTTCGTCGAGAAGAATGAACCACCGCTGCTGCCAGTCTCCAAAACGGCCCAAACAAACCTGGCGGGGCAGTAGCGTTGTTCCGGCTCAGGCGCAGCAGCGGCTCACATGAATTGACATATGCAGCCAAAAACACAGGCCTTCCTGAATCACGCACACTTTGGAAGAGCATATATTGCAAATGCTGGCAGCGTACATCTTGGCAAATTGTTATGAATGGCCTGGTCATTCCTCTGCCCGCTTCAAGCATCGCCATCTGCTGAGGGATGTTTGGGGGGGTCTTTGCCAGCATAAGCCCGGGATAAGCCTAGGACAAGCCGTTAAGAGGTGAACAAAGCCATAAACCCCGTCCCCATTGACCCTATTAGGGTTTGCCGACGCGAGGTGATTCCCCCACTTTGCTCGAACCTTTGTTCCCGCTGGTTGACACAAGCTCGGTACTTTGCTCGTGAAAACCGAGGGTCCAGTCCAGTTCTCCCCAACACCAACGCATCCCATTTCCGCCACCGAAAACGCTCTCTTGAGCGCTTGCTGCGCTCAAGGAAGCCAGTCACACAAGAAGCCTGACGAAGACCAGTTCTAGCTCACATGTTGCCAATCAAAAAGACACATCTGATTGTGGCTCATGTTCAGCGAATCTGGTCAAAAGTCAAAACAGATCCCTTCTAAGGACTATTAGCCGCGTTTGTGTGACATAGGCAGGCCGTGAAACCGAAACGGGTCTTCCAGGGCCTTGACACGTCACCTTATATAATGAAGTCATAGGCCCAAGAAGGTGATGTTCGCATCACCAGAGACAGAGGGGGGGGGGGCACTGACCCACTTTTCCGTGTGGGCCTGTGCTTTTTGAGGGTACCCATGGATAGGGTTGGTCTAAAGAGGAACCAAGCACCACCCTGGTTGGGGCCTCTTCAAAATGATAAGGTAATCATGTGCATGGGAACAGCTGATTCTGAGAAGGCAAAGAGGTGCCCGTCTACAACATGAACGAGTCAGCAGGGAACGTGATCCAAACCCTGTTGACCATTTTGTTGGTCACTTTTGTTGTTTTGGGGGAGGTTGAAGAGGAACCAAACAAAACTTGTTCTTGATGTGTGGGGGGAGGGTACCCATAGATAGGGTTGGTTTCAAGGGAAACCAACCTATCAAAACACTCTTCTTGTTTTGGGGAGCAGATCCCCTACTGTGGATGGACGAAATCCTGCACCACAAATAAAGCCCTGGTTCCAATGATTCCCCTGAAAATACCAACCAACAATGGTTTCAACCATGGCTTCAAAGTGGTGCGAATTGGATTTCGTCTACCAACATGCTCACTCGACTGGTCATGGCGCACCCAGGCAGGCTGCTCTTCCAGCTCCTGGCTGAGTTCCGTGGATTGGTCAGGTAGACCACAGGCGACCGTTTGGACAAATCGATGGGTTGTTGGGGGAAATGGAGGGCATAACACCCATCTAAACCACACGTTTGGACAAATTTGATGGTTTCCCTGGGAAATGGATGGCATAAAACCCATCTAAACCCGTGGAACCCATCTATTGCTAAGCAAACTAACCGAAAAAAGGGTCCAGACTTGGTGCCCAAACTTGTTGGCCGGACTTCTTGTGAACCACTCAAGTGATGTTCCTAAAAGTTGCGAGTCCAGCAGCACTTGTCAAGACTGGTTCTTCACCACAAATGATCTTCCGAACAAGTTGCAACTCCAGAAACTCGGGAACAGTCTTGGAGCTTCAGTTCTTGCCAGTCGGAGCTCTTGGTCTGGGAGCTTTCTGTTTTTTCTTTATTGTTTCTTATCTGAAAGAGATAACCGCCTGCGAAAGCCTCAAACTTCTAAAGTTGAAGTTGGTCTTATACAAATGGTCGGCCTTCCGCTTTTCCCTTTAAACAAACCTCAAACAGTGCCTTGTGTCCAAACCTCCGGTGCATTCCCACGAAACAAAAACACGTTGTTTTGGTAGGTGATTTTGCAGGGGACCCCCTCCAAACAAACAAGTAGGTAAGTAAGCAAACAAACAACAGACTAGAATGCTGCACTGGATGTTTGGAATGGAAACTGGTGTTTTTTTTTGCTACACAGGGTTCTTACACTTAACAAGGAGCCACACCAATTTGCATAGGATCCAGCCCCTCCCCGTTTCCAAACCTCCATCCCCCGGTTTCCCTCCAAACAGGCCTCAATGCGGCCTGGGATCCTCGCAACCCTGAAGCAAGGAATCCCCAAGTGAAGCACATGGTGAGCTCGATTTACCTCCTGGCGAGCTCCCTTTCCACTTGACACGTTTGATCGTAGGGATCTTTCCACTTGACAGATCCTATGATAGTGGGGATCAAGCCAGGCTCTCGCCCTTTCATCCCCCCTCCGCTCCTCTGCAAGCAGCATGCCCACCACTCGGATTCTCTGCCGCAACTCTCCTGGGCGCCATCTTGAGGTGTGTTCCCCTGCTTTAGAGTATCTCACTTCCTGAGTGGATTGGCCAATGAAAACCTCAACTGTTTGTTTACCACTAAAATGCTCCAAACCCACAAAGTGTAAAGTCCAGGAACTCAGGCAGCGAGGTATCCTTTTCGGGTGGAAACCAAAGAGAAACCCTCAATTTGTGTTTCTTGTTGGTGGGTCGCAAACCTTTGGTGGGTAAGTTCGCTGCAATCTGCCCAGATCGCGGCGTGTCCTTGTTCAAAGCTTGAGGGTTTCTGGGGGCTCGTCTCAAGGGACACCAAAGGAATACCACGCATTGGGAGGTTTCCAGTGTGTGTGTGTGTTTTATGCTTAGCATGGACCAAAATTACTTTGATGCAGTTGGATGCCCCATCTGCAGACTCCGCCTCAAGTGCCAATCGAGTGACACAACAGGCAGATTCCACACGGGACATCCACTGCTGTCTAGATTCAAGGGTGGCTGGATCTAGATGCGAATACGCCAAATCTGTCGGGGTAGGCTTCATGGACCAAGTCTATGTCAAGGGCTGATACATATGGGCATGAATTCCAATTACCCTTTGGTGTACATATGTGTTCATCATTTCGGTGGGGATGCATGTCCACCAACCACTTCTGAGCAGGTTCCCATTATACCTGTTCAAGGGTCGGCTGTTCCATCTGCCCTGCGTCCTCCCCCCGTCCAGGCACGAAGAAAAAACAAGAGAACCTGCGCAGATTCGACCCTTCGGTGTTTGGCGGGGTCCAAACTGAGTGCTGCACGTGCTATCTACATGTGCAGCTATGGCCGTTTTTTTTTCTGGTGGTCCCCCGGGGCCATGATCCAAACTGTGGCCGGGCTCATTTGTCTGTTGCCTGCAAAGGAAATCAGCTGGGTGTGGCTCAAAATCAAACAGGAGGAGTTACGCAGGTTTTGGTCCATGTTGCAACTTACCAGGGTTCCATTTTGGTACCAGTTTTTTGAGCCACAGCCAGCTTCTCCCAGGGCACGCAATTGAAATGAATGCTGATAGACCCGACGCAGCTGGTTGCCGAAATGATATAATGGTTGGGGCACGTCTCCAAGATCACTGAAGCCAGTGCCTTGTCAACCGTACTCCTGTTTCAAGTTGCAACGCATTTGCCAATTAATGCATAGATGATAGATGCGCATCCCTACATCCCTCTGCCAACTGACAAATGGTGAACTCCGATACCATTCTCAAGGAATGCATCAATTCCCTCCTAGCCACTTCTGGCAAATACATTGGTCTTTGCCAGCCCCCAGATTTATACACCCTGCCATCTGGAAGAATCTATGTACCTCAAGTGCCCGGCAAGTGCCCGTCGGTGGGCTTCATCTTGGGGAGGGTATACCCCTTCTCCCACGGAACCTATGGGAAGGTACCTGGAAGATCCATTTCCTCTTGAGACCCCTGTCAGGTGCCATGAGGGAGTGTACCTCTCTCCACGACCCTTTAAAAATGGGTCCATGACCCCATTATTTTGGGTCATGATCCCATTTTTGAAGGGTCATGGAGACTCCAGGTACTTGATTTTGGCTGAACAAGCAGGGATATGCTGCCCCAGCCCTTCGCTTGCAGCAGCGCGTCTTTCCGAAGCACCGTCGCCTGACGCGCTGGCTGAAAGAAAGGGGTGTTCCCACACAGAGAACCTACCTCCGCTACGGTTACTTCCATCTGGTTAAGGTTTCAGGAAAAAACAATTAAACTATTTCCAGTAGTGATGAATTCCTTTTAAACCCAACAAGGGAAAATAACAAATATTATTTTGCAAATGGAGGCTTACCATCAAAAACAACACTTTTTGTGCGAACCCCCGGTCCCTCTCCATGATCTTATCAAAATAAGGGGCCCAAAACTTGTGGGGTTGTCCAGTTGGTGTCCCTGACAACCAACCAGAACAAAGGCTACCCCCCGAAACAAACAAAATAGGTCAAAGAAGTTCTGTAAAATGGTTTCCAGTTGGAAACTAGGTGTCTCTCAAAACAAAGGTCTCTAAAAAAAGCTTGGTTTCCTTCTGGCTTTCCTTTCAGCCGGCAAAGGGTGCCCTCAAAACGAGACAGACCCAACCAAAGCAGTGGGTTCTACCAGAACTCATGAATCAGCTTCTGATTTATACATCACCACCACCACCACCATGCAGGATCATATCTCTCGCCTTTGAATCGACCCATGCCACTCCTCCCCCCTCCACCCTGTGACTTTTGGACGTCCAAGGCGCCCAGCTCCTCCGACGCCAGCGCCTCCAGCGCCTCCAGCGCCGCATCCAGCCAGCGCGCCGCAGCCGGCGCCGGAGCCGGCGCCACGGAAGGCCACGCCTCGTGGGGCAATTTCAAGCATCCTCCATCACAATACACGCACAGGGATCCTTGCATACACCTGAACATTGCAACTTGTAAATGGTTTCCAACTTTATTTTGGTGTTGAAAAGGCAACATGTTTCAAATGGTTGCAACATGTATCTTTTAAGGAGCCCTGACGCACTTGGCAGATAGCTGACATCTGGCCAGCTGTATGGTTTAACCGCCCGGTGGCTCTTGGTTGCACACGATGTTTCGTGGTGAAATAATTCGATCACCCCCTCTCATTTGCTTTCTGGGGCATGAGTCATGAGCAAAGGTGCCTTAGTTATACTCCACACCCCCATTCCATGGCTCTTAAACAGTGGGAAATCACCAATCCCCCATATAACCTTGAAATAATTCAGAAGTGGTTGGATAAACCCCGAGCACCCCCATTCCAAGGCTCCCCAGTCAGCCTGCTGAAGCTTCCGGCCCAGGAACGCTCGCAGCTCCGCCCGCCCGTCCCGGCCTCGGAAGAAACGCTTCCGAGTGCTCACGCGTCCCGAGTCTCGGCAAGGCGGCGCATGGGATTTGGCCATCGACCGCACTGCCAAGGGAGCCGGGGGAGCCATGCCTTACTTTCCACAGGCAGTTTTACCTGGCGGAACCACACCCAGCAGAAGGCTAAAATTCTACCGGTGCAGCGTGCAGTTGTTTTTTTTCTTCGTCTTTTGGTTGTCTTTCTGACAAGCTGGGACCTGCGAGTCCGTCGGGTTGTCGTCTGCCAGGCCGCAACAAATTCCAACGGTCCCAAACCTGAAACCAAGACAGGTACATGGCATTGGGTCAAAAATGGGGACCCAAAATGGAAGCCTGGTAAATGGGAAACATGGACTAATATGTAGGGGACCGGTGGCTTAATTTTGACCCATGCTCACATGTCCACGCGCGGGTCGCTGAGGGCTGCACTCGCTGTCGCTCCTTCAGCCATACTTTGGCTGAGCGGCCATGGCTAAGGCGCGCTGGTGCTGAGGCGCCTCTGGGAAACAAAAACAACAACAACTTCGCACCAGTTAGGATCAAAGTTCCACTTTTTGACTTCCGCAAGGCAGGCTTAAACCCAGAGGTGGCTGATTCCCTTTAAGAGCGGAACCTCCTTGGTTTAAGTCTACCTTGGGGTAGTCAAAGTAAAACCCTGGTTGAGATCGGTGGTACTGGTTGGGCTTCCTTCTGATTTCCCTCGGTGGCCTGACAGCAGAAAGTAGCCTAATAGACCCATCCAGGTCTGACGCCACTGCTCCCTTGTGAAGACCAGCAACCAGGGCCTGCTTCGGAACGGAACGTAAAGCAAGCTTCTAAGGCTTGGGTTGCTGTTGCCTGTGCAAAGATTCACCAGCTGAACCCCGACTCGGCTGACTGCATGGCACTTTGCTCGCTGCGTGTGACCGTGTGAGCCAAAGGCTGCACATATTCTACGCCCTCAAGGAGAGCAGTGGTCAGCCAACAATTTGAGCAACCAGAGATCCCCTCCCTCGAGCACAACTTCTCATACAGCATTTTATAGTACCACCTGGGGAGGGTCCCTTTGACTGGGTCCCTTTGCCCGATCAAGTGAGAAGCACCGACAAGCCCATTGACACTTCTACCAACATGCTAAGGTTTGTATAAGCCTTACCGCAAAAGCCAAGAAAAACCCATGTCAAGTAGAACCAGCTACTCAAATAGCAGCGGGTCCCAGCCGTTGCCTGGGACGATGCGTGCCGCTGACCAGAGGGAACCACGTGGTCACCAGAGCCTGCGGGAAAAAATGTCGTCTGTCACTAGCGCCCAAAACTGATTCCCACCAGCGTCGCCCCCCCAACAGCTGTGTTTTCCCATGTTCAAAATCCCAAGTTGAGGTCAAGTGTGGGGGGGGGGGGCGGGTGTTGGCATTGACCATGTTGGGTTCTACCTGGCAACCTTGGAACAACTATTGGTGGGTGTTGGGTGCTCACATTTGGGTACGCCTCAAATTCCAGGCTTCAAGCTGAGGAACTCTCCAAATGGATGCCCTTCAAACCCATCCACGGGGGTTCTAGACGCCCCCTTCGGTTAATGTTCCATTAGGTTTGACGAGACACGCCCACTTGTTCAGGCGTTGATGTTCCAAAATGCTCAATCAGCGGACTTTTTCGAGCTTTCTGTCTGTTTGTTTTGAATTGGACAGTTCTTCCTGGATCTTTCTTTCGGGGCAGAAGAAATCTTACACGTGTAGTATTTTTGCAAGAAGGGGTAGTGTTCAAAAGAAGGGACAGCCATGCTTGCGACCAGTAGCTGATCAAACAAGGAAGCAGTTACACATTGGCACACCTTAGACTGCTGAACTTCATTTTTGTGTGACGGGGGGTTCAGTTCTAAAGGATGTCGCGAACACTGAAACCCTTTCGGAGGGAAGGGATCGGAGCCTGGCACCTCCGCCGTTTCTTGGGGGGGGGGGGAAGAACCCGCCCCCGCAGAATGGATCTAACAAACAAAAACAAGGAATCGGCATAAAAGCTAAGCCCTGCGCCCGAGCCGAAACTCAAGTCCCAAAATAACCTCCTGGACGCCATTGTGAATGGGGCTGCTAAGCATTGGGCTAAATGTTGGACCAGAAAATCTTGGCTCCCTTTACACCAGAAAAATGCAGAAAACAACCACCAACCTGGGCTGTCCTCAGAACAACTGCCAAAAACCTTTTAGTATGTTAAATGGAAACCAAACCACGAAACCAACCAAAATCCGAAAAAGCAAAGGAACCGGACGGCTGGGAACTACCAAGCAACAGGCACCCTGGAGCTGCAACATGACCCTGGCCCTGCAAACCAAGAACCCTCCAAAACCCTAAGCCCCGCCTTCCAGAACTCTTTGAAGTCCACTGCCCCGTCCCCGTCCGAGTCGAAGACCTACAGCACTTTTTTGCCCCAAGCGGTCACCGGGTCCGGGTCCATTTGGCCGGGTCCAGCAAAAAGGGGGCCAATATCCAGGAAGCTGCCTTGGTTTTGCGGATCTTATACATGGACATTTGCCTTGGCTCCGCAAGCTTATCTTACGGGAATCCATTTCAGTTTTTGAAGAGGAGCTTTCCCTTTGCTCGTCATTTGCCACTGGGATCCATCCTGTTTAGTTCAAAAGTGGCCAGAGCCACTCAGTGACCCTGGCCCAGCTGCGATTGACCCACCGTGACCCCTGCAAAAACGTGTCGATCGGCGCGAGAAAGCTAGGGGAAGGAGAAATGGAATTGGGCCCCAGGCGTTGGGCCCCAATCCCCTGCCCTTGGAAACCACCAGCTGGATGGTTTACAACTCTCGTTCCCCAAAGCCAATACCCAATGGCATGCTGATTCCCTGCTAGCAATCCATCAGCGAAAATCCATAGGCCATGGCACACCCACCGCGCGTGGCGAGGCTTCCTGGGCCCTCGAAGAAGTGTCCATCCAGATCTAGGCTGGATGGAAGAACCCCAGCCAAAAAAATGGATTTGTTTTTGCCCCGGTGAGTGGGAAAAACAGAGGGAAACAAGCGAAAAAAAGCCAAAAAAAAAGGCAACAAGGGGAGCTAATTCTGGGGGAAGATATATGTCAAGGTGCCCCCCTTGCTTTCTACACCGCTCAATGCGCTCAATGCCGCTCGCCTCCAGCATGTCGTCCACCTGCTCCAAAGTGGCCTCCGAAAAAGCCAGTCATGCGGCCACGAGTCACCCGGTTCAGACAAACCGGGTACCAACCAGCACCCTCCAAGGGTAGTCCATTTGTACCCCAAATGGCTCACCCAAGAGTACAGGTACAAATGGAACATCTCTGGGGCGTGCTGGAAGCCATTTGTCCAATTCCAATGTCCTTAAACAAAAAACAAACTGGCACTCCCCAACTGCTTCTTAATGGATATGGTCGGGAAAATACAGTCGTCGGGGGTTGGTGAGAAGCACTCCACGACAAAATCGTCCAATTCGCCTCAACGCCGACCCGCTGCAAGGCACGCTGGAGCTCTAGTCGGTCGATGCCTACGGCATTTGATCGGTTGCGTGGTCACACGGGGGAACACAAAAAGGTCAAGAGGCCTCGACCCTTCAAGTACCGCGAAAAATGCGAAGGCGCCCCACAAGTGTGTGGCAATCTCCCATTTTTGAGGGTAGACCAAAACCAATCAACAAACCCACCCTAAGGGTCCCCATTGATTTTGGGCCCTCAAAATTGGTTGTTTCCAACGGCCCCTGACTGGTCGGGGTTCTCCATTGGAGGGGGGGTCTGTGTTGGAAGGGGCATGACCCTTAGGGCAAGCCAAAAAGACCGCCAAATATGGCAATGTCCCATTTTTTTAAGGTAGACCAAAACCAATCAATAAACCCAAGCCCAAAACCCCCCCCCCCAAAAAAAAAAATAACATCTCGAAGCCTCCGATAGGTGTCCCCGTTCGCCAGCGCCATCTCTGCTTTGGGCGCCGGGCGCCCGTCCCCATCCAGGTCCAGGTCTGCGAAGAGCTGCTGCCCCGCGCCAGCGGCCTCGGGGGAAGGAGCCCCCCGGTTGAAAAGCGCCTCTGGTTGCAGGTCTTGGGGCTGGTTTTTGAGGGGGTTGCCACCGGCAATGGATCTTTGGTCATGGTCTTACCATTTCTTTTAATGGGCCATGAAGTGTTGACACACGCCGAACCGAAATTTGGGTTGGTCTGTGCAAGGGTTTTTTCGCTTGAGATGGGTCCTCCCACCCAAAAAAGCCTGACATACTCTTCGGCCGCTTGCCCCGATCCATCCGATCCTGAGGCCACCGCTGCGTCAGTGATGCCCACCTTGCCGGCCTACGTGGGAGGTGAGGCTGTAGGCTGTGTCTGTCTCAAAGGCACCCTGTTGGTTTCAAGAGAAACCAAAGGCAAGCCGGCCACGGGGGAGTTGCCTATACACAGTTGCCCTCAGGGACCCAGAAATAGAAAGACCTTTACTCAAACTGGACCCAACGCGGGAAACCAAAAGGTCAAAAGATCGGCTTTTGGCAAGTGGCCATGGGTCAAAGCCCGTACCCCCAGTGAACATCCCAATCCACACTAAAATAAAGCTCAAAATGGGTGGTGAATTCACCTACCCCGAAATGGGATCCCATTGGTTTTGACGCACAGCCAGTATTTTCACACAGATGGGAACTTTCACATTCCTTGGCGATGTCATGCTGGGCCTTCCCCTATTTTGAACGAAACCCAGCCAAGGGGTTGTGGTTCTTTTGTGTTCCCTCACAACGTGGCCAAATACGAGTCTACCAGGAATGGAACCGTCCTCTTTTCCCTTCAATCCACCAGAAATCATGCCTCAGCTTGCCTGGATTAAAGTAGCTGGTCACATTCAAAAAAACAAAACAATCATTCTCACAAAAGGCTCAAGGTAAACGATCCAACTCCCCACAGCCAAGTCGCACCGCCGCTTTTTATGGCAGTTTCGCCACGAACCGCCGCTTTCTCCCGCGTGCCTTGTACTCCCAGTGCCCACAGGAGCCGTACTCCGCCTGCCGGTGCCTCTGCCGAGGGGTTCGAAGTTCGGGAGTCAAACATGCAAGTAGATGATCTTGGTTGCTGTTGACCCCTCTGCAAAAAGTTTAACTGTTTGTGGCTTTAGTGGAACACGGCTTGATTTCCCAAAAAGTTAAAGTCGAAAGATCCAACCGCAATAGCAGCCAAGTGATGGAACTCCATTGGGGGGGTGGGGGAAGCAAAGGCTTTTGGGGGGGAAGGCAAGGAGATGGGACAAACGTGCGCCAAAGAGAGCTTTTGGGCCATCTTTCAGTGTAAACAAAGCGAAAACAGGCCGTTGTTTGGAGGTTCCAGGTTGTTCTGCAGGTTGCTGTTGCTGTTGCTTTTGTTCGCTTTGGTCATTCTCCGTCGTTTGTCTGGAGTGGTGTTTTGAGGCTCCAAAGTTTTCTGCACGTGTTGCTTCCAAAGCTTTCTGCATGTGGGTTACCAGCCAGCTCCAGCAAGTCAGCTTGCACTATAGCTCGTAAGCAAAGGACATCGCGATTTAAGTCATTCAGCATCACTGCGGTCCCCGGATATTCACCAGTTACGGTGATGACTGGAGCAACTGGCATGGATGATGCCATATCTTTGTCCTGCAGTCTACCAGCCCACTCTCCTTCAAGGTGCATCTATCATCTATCTACCTGCTCCAGCGATACCCTGACTCATTGCATGGTTGCCCCCTAGAGGCGAACAAAAACCTGGCTTCAGTGTTCGTCACCAATACAATCGTCCCAAAACAAATGAGTCCAGGAACTCGCGAAGCAGCGACCCGAACCCGGGAGATCACCAGATGCTTGCGCTTGCATCCCTTCCCAATATACCCCTCGGTATACCTTGGGCTAAGTAGCTAATGACGTCTTAATTAAACACGTCCAAACCTTGGACGGGTCATTTTGGGCCGCCCTGCCCCCCCCCCGCCACCTCCGGTGAGAGCCCGCTACTTTGAACTTTGAACTGATCGTCTAGGCATATCTACCCCACTCGCAATCAAACAAACTAACAGCCCTTCCAACTGGTATCGTGTTTATCTGACCAAATGCATCGAAGATCTGACAAAACTTTGGCTATTGACCCTTGGGTTCCGCTCCCTACTGGGGGCTCTAGCCTTAACACCTCTTGGGGCGCCTACTCAGCGCACATTCTGTGTACAGGGGTGTCCTCTCCGCAGTGCACTGAAGGGGGAAAAAGTTCACATCCAAGGGAATCCACAGCATCAGGGGTCCTGCAAGCGCCAACTTTGAACAACATGCCCAGTCTCTTTTAGTTGCCGAGCGTAGCCAAAAGTTCCGGGCTATTTAACACCGGGTAAGGTTCCCAAACTGCACCTTCTCTATTAGCTTCCGTGAAGTGGAAACCCCGAATTCGGGCTATTTGCATAGGTGTCCTTTTAGGGGAAATGGATGGCCCTGGTAGATGATTAAACCACCAGGTAAACCAGGAATCACCAAGTATTTTTCTAGCAAAACAACCAAAAAGGACACCTATGGCTACTTGGCCTCCAGTCCTTTTAAAATCCTGTGCAGCGGACTTGAAGTGATTTACATGTTGGGCACCCCTGCATCTCTTCAGTCCGGATCTGCACCTGCACGAGGAGCAAGCCCAAAGAACACTGACTGCAATCACGTGTTATATATTTGGGACTAAAGCAACAGTTGTACATTGCGACAGCGTTTTTTTGCTTTTTATGAATATATATATAATATAAAATTCTAAAACAAGTGCGCCAGTTAGCTTAAGCTTCTTCTTCTTCTGGTCATACGGACCAAACTGGGAAAAGTAACAGGTTGAATCTCAGGCAAACCCCAGAAAATGGTAACCCTTCGCTATCTTCCTTTTGGTTGTTACAGTTTGTTTCCTTGGTAGCCTACACAACCCGGGAAATGGATACCCTTGGATTGAGCGGATTCTTCGAAGCTACAGTGCAGTTGCAGCAGGCCAACAACCTCAGTCCCCTCATTTTCTAAGGTTCGGAATGCAAGCCTGAGGGAGAACGGTTGACAAAAGGGTGAGATATCTTTCCTTTTTTTTACGTTGTTATAGATTTTGTTCCCCTTCTTGTGTACTTTGTTTGGGCGGGGTCCAACCAAAAACTGTTTGACAGCCGGGCATCGGGAGGTGCAAACTAGAATGCTTGGCTTAAGCATTTCAGCAAAGGGCATATTTTCGCCTCGCCTGCACATGGCCAGCACTGTCTGCATCAGCAGCAGCCGTGCCGATCATGATCCATAATCTCTTTACAGGTGCCTGTACAGCAACAGGCTGTGGTTCATTGGCAGGTGGTCGAGCCGCATAAAACAAGACAGGTGGTCGAGCCTGCCTGATCTGGCATCACTCATCGAGGCAAATCGCTATCATGCACAAAATGGAATCGGGAATCCGCAAGTATGGGACTCCTCTACCCCTGAATTAGAACGATTGATATAATTTGCCCAGACTCGTGTCTAGTAGGTCCTACATAGGTTTCGCAGAAAACCATGGCACGCGCAAAACCGCTTTCTCACATCGCGTGGGAGTCTTCCTCATCCTCGGTGAGTGTCCCCTGTAGAGAGAAGCCAAAGCAAACCAATAGCCCTCGGTGAGTGGCCCCTGCGAAGGGACGCCAAAGAAAACCAAGACCTGTTCTTACTTGGCTTGCTTGGCTTGCTCCGCATTTTTTGTCTGTTGGATAGCTGAGTTGCCCATTTCTAAGAGAGAAACCACAACCATCTCCACAGGGCTTGGGAGCCCTTTGAGCGCCCCCCCCTCCCTTTCACGGCCTGCAACCGAGGAAGTTGCTGGATGTTTTTGACAAACCCCTCATCTCCAAAAGGTCGCTCCAAAAGGTCACAACAGCTCGAGTGAAGCCTAGGTTACACATTTGACCCCACAAGGTCAAAGTCACTCATGTGATGTGCGTGTCATGGCCAACAAACTTTGCAAATAGCAAACTGTCGGGCATTAGTTGGCATTAGACTGCTTGCCGGTTGTGTTTGTTTACCTGTTGCCTGTTCTAATTCACAGTGCATCCTGGCAATTCAATACCCTCAAGCCTCTGCAAAAGCAAGTGTTTTTTTTGTCGGCCTGGCTTGCTGTACGAGCCCGAAATCAGAATGTTTGGTGCAGGGTACACCGGTGGCACAAGAAACGGGGCTTGCCCAGAACATTGTGCCACATGGTCAAAACCAATTGACTGCCTTTGGCTGTCTGGCAGAAAACCCCCTTTGACCAAAAAGGTCGGTATCACTTGACCGCATGGTTTTGTTGCTGATCGCTGAGCAATAAATTTCTTCAAGGTGTAGAGGTTCTTTCGGTAAGACCAAAGGGCAAGCAAGAACCCTCAAATGCCATGGGTGTCTTTTCCAGATGGTAGTCCTTAGGTTGCGATCTCATAGGGAAACCACCCACTTGGACCAACCTGAAACGTCACCCAAGGGAAACTCCCCTTCGGGCCAGGCTGGTGATGTTCAGAACCACTTGACTTACTGGTGCTCTGTAGAACCTGGCAGTCCCCTTAAAGGAACCCACAAGGGCTGGTTTGTAGTCATTCCCTCATTCCCTGCCTATCGCACCAGCAAGTTGAGAACTCCCTGAGAACCATGTCTCTAGGGGTGCCTTCCCTATTCTTTCCAGGGATCCTTCTTTTCAGCAAAGCATCAAAACCCAGGAGAACAGCCGGTTCTTGAAAAGAACGATGGTTGAAAAGAATAGACAAGGAATCAACCCCTGGAATGTCCACCGGGGTGCGGAATCCTCCTCGCGCTTTGGATCGGGAGCGAACACCACCCGGTCGGCCGCCACGGCCAGCAGAGCGGCGAAGATGCTGCCTAAGGCGGTGTTTGTTGGTGTTGAACAAATGACGTGAGCAGTCTATTTGCTTGCTTGCCCGCGTGCTTGCTGATTGTGTTTTGTTGTTGCTTGTTGGCTTGCTTGCTCTCTCTTGCTTGTTGGTTTGGTTGGGTATTGATTGCTTGGTTAAGTGATTGCTTGGTTGCTTGGTAGGTTGGTCGGTTGGTTGGTTGGGTGGGGTGCGTGGCTTTGCTTGTTTGCTTGTTTGCTTGTTGGCTTGTTGCTGTTCTTGAGTTTGGGGCGGCACGTGCTGTGGTATGACATTGCTCGAATTGTCTCTTTCGTTAATTCTAAGTGTTCTCCATTATCACCGCCCACCCTCCAGGAACAAACGAGCAACTATTCAGGGAACTTCATCCCAAAACCTCAGACTTTCAGGCTAGATTCCCCGCTTGAGCATTGGGTGGGGCAGGGCTCTGGGAATTGCAACGTAAGGAAAGCCCCCATCAGCGGTCTGCAATTGACTCACCTTCAAAGGAAGCAAAGAGTGCTCAGAACAGTGTTGGTTTCCTTTTGGGCCAACTCATGCGTCCGAAAAAAATAAGCTCAGGTGATATCCCCAACAGCATGTGCTCTTTTTAGTGCTCGCCCCACTCCGCAGCCCTCGCAGAACCTCGTGGAACCCTGGTGGAACCCTAGTGGAACCCTGGTGTGGAACCCTGGTGGAACCCTCGTGGAACCTTACCTCAGGGCCGCACCAACCCGGACAACAACGGAATCCCTCAAAAGGAGATTCCTGCAGAAACGATCAGTATTGAAAGTTATATCTGCAGAAGTGGAATTCCTTGATCCAAAAAGGAAGGTCCTCTAGTGGCACAGTCCGCGAGAAAAAAAAAAAAAAAAAAAAAAAAAACAGCCGCTGATGTCAAAATCTTGACATGTTGAATTGGGAGATGTCCGCTACCCGCTACCGCTTGTGCTTCCGGACAGTAGGAGCCCTCTTTTGAATGCCCTTTGATAGAACACGAGAAGGAAACCCAATGATTTGGGGGAGAAGTTCCTATTTTGGGACACCCGCTTCTTTCCAAGCTGCCCACCATTGTCGGCCAGCACATGTTCCAGGACCTGTCGGCGACTCGAGAAGCAAGATTCTCAGGCACTCCGAGTCGGAACAATAAGCTTCCCCCCGTCTTTTCTCATCATAAAATTGGATAAGTGACTTGACCAAAAACCATTCATCTCGCCAAGGGAAGCCTTTGCCCTTGCATTTTCTTTCATGGAAGTCGGTTGACTAACTCATACTAAACACTTGTGACATGTGGGCCAAGCAGCCCTTGAGTACACGGGGGGGGTAGAACACAAGGCACCCTTCGCTATCTTTTTGTTCCCTTGCCGGTGGGGTGTTTCTCAACAGTCGGTGCCCCTCCAGGAAGGTTTCCTGTGCAATCCAAAAAGGGATCCATGTTTTGAGACACGTTCGGACACGTGCCTTAACGCATCGTGCGCCTGGGATCCTCGCTCGCATCAGCCTTGCCCTCGACATTCTGGTCCCTCTCTTTCAACATCAGGTTGTCAGATTTTCGGCTCATTTTTGGGACTTGGCTCATGACTTCATTTTTACAAAAAGTCTTCGGCGTCCTGTGCTGCAGACTTGGGCAACCTCTCGCTCTCGATTCTGATCGCCTCATGTTGGGCAAAACCTAATGAGCCCGCGTCGGCTAGTTGCGGAGGGCATCCACATGCGTCGGGTCAACATGTTGTGAAACCAAAGTGCTCAAACAGAATCTCGAGATCGGCTCAGGGTCATTGAGGGTGGGTTTTGGGTTGATTTTCGGGTTGGTTCCGTAGATGTAGGGTCGCTTGAGGGTGGTTTAGGATTGGTTTTGGTTGGGGTTGGCTTGGGCTTGCTTTAGCCTCCATTTGCTCAAGCCCCCTGCAAAAAAGAAAGCATATTTCAAATAGTGATACATTCCCTCTATAACCAACAGGGGAAAACATAACTCATATTCTTCAGCCAATGGACGTTAGGGCAGCTTGAGGGACGCAATCCGAGCACCCCAAAGGCAAAATTGCGCCTCACGCCCATGAGGAGCAGCCCAAAGGACCTCAGGAGGTTGGGCACATCCATGAGCTGCGGCAAGCCCGCCAGACTGCAGGCGATATAGGAGAAGCCTGCCACATATCCATGCGAGACCCAGCGAGCCGACGGCCGACGGCCCGATGGCCTTTGCCTGGCTCAACTTCCTGGCTGACATGAAGATAGGTCCAACCCTTCAAGGAAAAATAGATGGGTTGTCTTGGGAAATAGGGTATAAAACTCGTCTAGGTACCAGTGCTCCTCTATGTTTAATCATAACCCAAACAAGGACACCCGTGGTCATGATTGGAGGAAGGTAAACAGCTAGATTCTCCCTTTGGTGTTGATTCTTTGCTCTGCGTTTGGCGCCAAAGGCGATAATTTTCATGTCCAATCCTTTGGTTGCGAGTGAGTCACCAAGGTTTGTTGCAAGATTGATGGAGCCCTAGAAGCGGGTAAGTTCCGCGGGCGCCTCGTAGGTTAGGGGGGTAAGCGATCAAAGCTTTCCCTCAATGCAGCTTCCCCAAAAAGAATGTGTCGACTTCAAACGCCTTGCTGTCAGCTGGCATGATTGTTGTTTGGAGGGAGGGCAGCCAGGTTGTCCATCTCGTTTCTCATGACTGGTGAACTTTTGGTCACAGCACCGAAGGTTTATCCTTTTTACCTTTGCGTCCGGGTCCGGGGTTGGTTGCTTGAGTCCAGATTTCTGCTAAGTGGTTGGCACCCCCTACTTCAACCCCCAAATAACCCCCTACAGTTCGTAGGGGGCCATTTAGCAAAATCAGTTGAAACTACGGGTTGATAAAACAAATGCGGTTTGAGATGCGCTCGGCCCATCCTGACTGCCCCAGCCAAAAAATGCGGGGGGGGGGGGGGGGTTGGGTGGGGGGTGTAAAAAGTAGATTTGTTGCTGTGGATGGAGAAACTCCACCAGTTCGGATGGACGAAACCTGGCGCAAAGCGGATTCTGTCCCTCCGTGCGTGAAACGTATCCTAACTCTACCAATGGCCAGCGCATAAGGAACCCATGACCCGATGCCCAGCCTACCAGCACAGGCACCGCCATACTCCTAAGCCGATTTGATTCACCGCAATGTGAGAGAAGGACCAATCCAAACAAAGCGCAGTGTTACACACGCACTCCGCGACATGGGTGGTTTCGGTTTCCATTCGAGACCTAACCGAAAACCATGATTCCTCCAAACCAAACATGAATGATGTGTGGCTGCGCCCACCTGAACTTTCTGCCAAAGTTTCGCGATCTCAGGACTCCGACGGCTCCAACTCGGAGTGTCAATTGGTATATGCCTTCTGCTGGTTTTTTGTGAGGGGTTTGGTACCTCCTTAGGTACCCAGGGACCCAAAAAAAACACACACACACACACACACACACACTCCCGCAGGCTTTGCCTCCGATAGGGACAAGTTGGACGTTGAACTAAGCCAAGACTTCACACACTAGAGCAAAAGCCCCAGTTTCAAGGCCGGCAAGTTCGAGGGGCGCAAGGGGTGTGTGCTTGTGTGTGTGGTGTGTGTGTGTGTGTGACGCGACACCATTGTGGTCGGTTCACCAAACAAACACTTACTCCCCAAAAAGGTCTGGAAACATACCAGGAGAACAAATGAGACACACCATGTGCCTTGCGTTCGATTCCTGGCAAGGGCAACAAATGAGTGTCCGCAATATTGGGACCCTTACGGTATGGCGTGAGTTGCTTGGGAATTCGACAACTCTTTTGGCCTGTCGATTGTACATCCTCTGCAGCCAAGTGTCCCCTGCCGCTCATGCGCCCATAAAGGAACCAGAACGATGACCAGGGACAGGATGGTCTGCACAAATTGCTCGCTGCCGGCCGCAAACAAATGCGATTGTCTGATCTGTTCTCATGCGTCAGCCGATATACTAGAGTGATCTGAGGGCTTTATGAACACTATCTGAATCCTTTTCAAGCGAAAGGAAGGAAGCTTGTATGTCACATGTCTACTTCAGCCGCGAGCATAACCTTCGTCCTGAATTGGAAACAAGTGCCCAATGTGCAAGGTGAAGTCGTAATCCCAAAGACTCGCAACGAGCATTGCCACTCGACATCTGCCGTTCAATGGTATGGCATTGCGCGGAGGTGGTCACGATTTCCGCTTTCGTAAGATCCTTCCCAGAGAAGGAGTCTGGGAAAGCCCCGGCTCATTTCAAACAGGCCTGAATTGGATGGGGTCCAGCCATTTTATGACCCAAGATTCAGGGAGCCAACCAATCTTGTCACTTGTTGGAGGAAACACAGCGAAATGGTCTTCGCCGGCCTTTCAGCCCACAGGCCCCGTTGGGCGCCAGGAAACCAAAGGCGTCAAAGCCGCTCAAAAAGCGGCAGGGGCGGACTGGAAACCCTGGGTGTCCTACCCGAGTTTGATCGCTTCCCCCCGTTTCTGGTTGGTTCCGTTTTGCGGGAGATGTTGGTAAACACAATGTCAGGCCCTTGCTCTCACCAATCCACTCAGCGAGTTTCTCCGCTGAAGGCGATGCACGAAAGCAACGTGGACCCAGGCTCCTGCACCATTCCAGTTTCCAGTTTGGCAGGACTGCGAGCTATCTATCTTGGTGCCATACAAGCCCGCCAACCAACTATGACCACCTTAACCGGCTTGTCCGAATTGCAAGTTGTGCAACCAAACTCCGTGAGGACAACAACCTTCCCAATGACTGCTCCGCACTTGAAGAAGGGTACTATTCCCCCGCTTCAAAATTGCACCAAATACGACTGGACCTCATATATTATTCTCATATGGTTTTGCATTTTCTGAGAGTACCCCTTCTTTTGTGGCTTTGAAGGAATAATTACCAGAAGTGAAACCACATTTGCTTGGTGGGGGCGTTCCCTGACAAAGACACACAGACTTAGACTCCCAAAGCACCCAAGATTGGGCCGAGAAGCGAAAAGCAAAAGCCGGGGCATCGTGGGGCCCATGATGTCGCTCATCATGGTGAAGTTGTCCTCCATGCAGGGCCTGCCGGGAGGCGATTCTCCCGTCTGGGAAGGCCAATTTGTTTCCAGTGATAGATCGATTCCTTTAAAGCCAACAGGGAAAAATAAGAAGCACTTTCATTTCAGAAAATTTGGAAGTCACACAAAATAGGCAAGCCGCAAAGGCGAGTTTTGGACGTGGGATGTTTGGTGGCAGGCACCCGAGAGAAAATGCAAATCTTGAAGGTCCAGTTCGGTTTCATGTTCATTTTCGTGTTTGACTCGTGATCGGATTCAGTCATATTTCTGAATCGAGTGTTCGTTAACCAAGGCAAAGAATGGGGAACTTGGTTTCTAATAAAAGACTTGATGCCCATTCTTGACTGAGAATCCCTTCGACGTTATTTTACCGGAACCTAGGAACCCCCGCAAAAATGCAAGTAATTGCCATTATATATGATTCCCCTTTTAGTTGGGTGGCTTCTTCACTATCCCGACCAACACAACCTGAGGTTGAGTCTTTTTTGGAGAGCATATTTACTGTTTTGGGGTTTGGTTTAAAGTGAAGGAGCCCACCCCGTAAAAATGGGACTTTCTAGTTTGAGATAACCTCCGCTGATTTGCAAAACAAAAACATACTGGGACTGCCAGAATATCGCTGACGCTAGCTTGTCTACCCTTGGCTTGGACCTGCGTTGGCCTTGCGTCCAGCCGGTTGGCGCGGCGAGGAAGTCTTGGTTGCTTTTCAAAGGGACTTTTTCCAACAAGTTGAACAGGGTACCCCTTCTTTCGGTCGATGTTTCTCCTTCGACCCCCCCTAATGAAAGGAATTAAACGTGCACCACCCAAAGTCAGTTCTGTGCGCGGAAGACTCCTTCTTTGGGTGACGGTCCCAATAGGCTCTAGCAAAATATTTCGGATGCCAAACAAACCACATGACCATCCATGCAAGCGATCAAATCCCGTTTGTCAGAACCCGTTTCGGGGTCTGACTCACGACTTTGCCAAATTACCAAAGTGGTTTGCAGGGAAACGGCCCGCAGTTTCTGACGTTTATCCCAGTTTCAAATTCACAATCCAAAAGGACCCTAGAAGCCGGTCAAATTCCCAACTCCCCTAAACACCAGTCAACTGCCCCTAGAAACCGGTCGAATTCCCCAGTAGAAACTGGTCCAATCCCCACTACAAACCGGTGAAATCAAATCTACCCACCCCCGATGGCCAAACCCCAGTCCCCTGACGCGGCGAACCGCCTGCCGACCACCACCATGGCCAGGCATGTCGCCAGGAGAGACGCCAACAGCTGCGCCACAATGAAGGCCGCTACGCCTCGGTTTACGATAAAAACCGGAACAACATTTCGGGGTGGTGCATGTACCCGAGGCCAAATGAGCCGCCACCAAAACCCTCATGCGCCAAGCTGGGATGTTTCTGAATCCGTTTCTTTGGAGACTCGCGCTCGTGTTTTAAGGTTTTGGTCATGCAATCTGACTGTATGTCTTGTAGTTTCTTCCCGTAGTCTTCCCGTAGTCTTTCCGTGGTTTGCTGGTAGACTTCCCGTAGTCTCCCGTCTTCCGGTAGTCTTCTCGTCAGATGGTTTTGCTTCGGCTTCGTGTTGGCCTTCATTTCAAGACCTGAAACATGCCCTGCGAAAAGCCGCCGAAGGCGCGATGCGTAGTTTCCTCCGAACAGGACTTCGCTTTTTGTTTGGGATCCTTTTTCCCTACTCCACTCCAATATCCCATGCACAAACCTTTTCAGCAGTAGCTCACATGGAAGGAGAGAGGTCAGCACAGTTCGTTCTCACTTCAGAGATCCTTCTGAAACTAGACACCCGCAGAAACATCAGGGAACAAGTGGGGACAGGTTCTCAAGAGAAGGTCTTTGAATCAGACGTTTGAACACGCCAAAGAACAGATGCAATTTCTCAAGATGTCTTCAGGAGCCCTTCCTTTAGAATTTGCAAACCCCAAAAAAATGCTTCGGCTTGGAGACCTGCAAAAGAAACCGGCAACATGGTGAAGGGGCTCTGAAGCGAACATGATTGAACTCACAAACTTGCAAGCATCCCAAAATGTTTGTTTCCGAAGAGAACGATAAGTGAGCAGTCTTGCTTCGGAACCCTTTGGACATCATGCACTTATGCACTTGGGCATGTATGTCCAACAGCCATTGCTGTTGGTGTTCGCCAATCTCATAGGCCATGCCTCCATACTTGCAAGCCGTCCTTGAATCCAAATCAGCTTCTGGCAGTGCAGAGGTTCAACCAAAGCCATGCGCGACACGGAAAGATGGTGGGATGGTCCCTTGTAGCCTTCTCGGGTTGTGAGTCTGGCTCAGGTTGAACGTTGACATACCGCTGAGACATCTCCAAGATTTTCCCACCTAAACCTTTCCGACCAAGTAGTGTGGCACAAACATGCCTTATTTGAGGCGTTCCTCCTCATTCCACTCGAATCTTGCCGTATGGTCGACCCATACGGTTCCTCTGCTACTAGAGTATGGGAACTTAAGAATGGGCGAGAACGGGGCGGGGGGCAGAACCCCGATGTTCCTCTTTACCACAAAAGGGAGGATTTGTTGATTGAATCCTCTGTAAGTACTATTATCCTCTGCACAAACGCGATGCGGGCACTGCAAAGGCCGTTTGTCTCCAAATAGGCGTGCTATTTCCAACTTGAAAGAACCCCCCCTACACAAGGCACCGTCAAAATATTTCTGGCATAGGTTTCACATATGGAACACCGGGGCTTGCTCATTTTGTTGGGTTGCGCGGCGCCCGGCACCAATCGAACCCATCCCCCGCATCAACGCCGGTGCGGCGCGTGCCGGAGGCACAGCCCCGGCCAGGCCCAGCGTCAAGGAGACCGCAGGGTTGAAGTGGCCCCCCAGGTTCCCCTCGAGTGACCGGCCGGCCGGTAGGGGACTGTGGTTGATCAGCTTCCCCTTGGTTTGGATGGGTGGCTTGGAGGTTGGTCTCTCTTTTGGCTTAAAGAACCAGAAACATCCCAATCACGCAAGGGGTTCTTGAAGGGGAGGTTCTAGCTCTACCTTCCCCAGTCTCAGGGATTCACTTCAAATATAGGTCTACCTTCTCCATTCTCTTCAGGGATTCACTTAGGTCAACCTGGGAAAATGGGTGGGTTCCACAGAGAACGATGGAAGAAGAGAATGGGGAATCAACCCTCGTTTCTTTGGATGGGTGGTTTGGAGCTGGGTCACTCTTTTGGCTTGAAGAACCAGAAACATCCAAATGAAGTAAGGAGCATTTGAGAGTGGGAAACCCCCTAAACAAGAATGAGTGTCTGCCTTTAAAGGAAACCAAGGGGAAACCACTGGTTTGGGGGGCGGTCCCAATATCAAGACAAGCCCGAATGGGCTTGGCATGTGCAAATACGAAACTGTGATACAAGTGGTTGATTCCCATTCCACTGGTGTATCACTAAAGGGAATTCCACGGGTATAGCACGTGGCGCTGAAACCCATAAAACAGGTCGGGGAATTTCCCTCAGCCAGCTTGCTGGGCTGTTATACATCAAATGGGGGAGTGGTCCTTCAAGAACCTTCAAGAGTTGTCCTTGTTCCCTGCAAGAAACCACCCTTGACTGACTCGGTTTCGCTTCGGGGTCTGCAAAACCCCCCGGTTTCGGCCTTTGGGGTCGTTTGGGCTTCACTTGCGGGCTCGCCTGACTTCTGCATCTGCTTGGTGGCTTTCCAGGAAAAAAAACATCCATTCGTCCAAGTGGCCACGCCCCCAAACATGTTGTCGTCTAGGATGCGTACCCAAAAGGTCTCTGTTGTTGCGTGTTTCTAGTGGAAGATTGGTGGCCGTCACTTAGGCAAAAAATATACCAACCACTTTTGAGGAGCAAACATGGCCATCTTGCCTGCAAAGGGCGTCTTGCTTGCGGGGTACACAGAGTAAGAACATGAGCACCCTGACTTCCAGCCAACAGTTTAGAGCTCGAAAAGATCGAAAGGAATTCGCACTAACAAATGGGCCACTGTACAAATTGTATAGAGCCACCGACCTGCACCGATAGCTAGCCTTTGTGTTGTAGCATTGGTCATAATATGGATATATGAAAAGGGCACCTTTGCTAATGTTGACCTCTGATGAATAAAGGTCCAGTTCAGTTGCCATTTTCGCGGTTAAAAGGCTATAAACTGGCTCGGAAACCCTGTAAGCATCATGTTCGCAACCCGATGTCCAAAAGCTGCCATCCACTGGTTCCAGTGGTTCCCAAAAGGGCCATGGCTCCAAAACCCCAAATCGACTCAGCCCGGTTCCCGAAAAATCGGCTCCGCCTTAGGTGCGAAGGTGAGGCCACAGGCCACCGCAGCCGCGAAGCCAGTTGCCAACGACACCTTAACGGACGGCCAGACAACGGATGGCCCGCACGGCCCCGAAAGGAACATCTCACAGGTGGCCTGGGGACTCCGGGGGTCAAGGTTTTCCTGGTTTCGAGATTGTGAGGTTTTGAGGGGTTTGGCGGCTTCCAGGAGTGCGCCAACGGTTTTGAGGGGCACTCATAGCAAGCTGTTGGGTGTCTCTCTCTCTCTGTATATCTCTGGGCTGGGAATTGAGACACCTTGCCCCGGTTTCCAGGGCTGCTCTACAAATCCAAGCATAAGGGTAGAAAGTTGATCCCTGCAAAAAGACAACAAAAGGATCCAATGCTACTCAACCGGTCAGAGAGAGAGAGAGAGAAACAGAGAGGGGCAGAAGTTATCTCAAACAAATGGTCGTCGCATTTGGCATTACCCTTTGGAAGGCATTCCTTGGATGGAGACGGGCGCAAAAACAAAGGATGTCCAGTTTGTCTATCTATGTTGCCTGAAGGTTGCCTCCATTTCCCATGACGGCTGGCCACCTCCCCTTTCAGAGAGAGCTGTGTCTGTTTCTCTCATAATTGATAGAAAATGAATTTAAGTTTACATGTGGGTGAAGCGGTTTAACATGGACAGAGTCCCTTTAAACTACATAACCCACAAAATTGTGCCCAAAAAGAAAGACCCCCCAAAAAACAACAATTCAGAAGTCAGTTCAACATATACTGTAGTGGCTCGTTCAAGATACCAGTTGGTCGTGATCGAGGGCGCCCTGCTGATGTTGAACAACGAACTTGGATGCCCCCAAATACTATCACATGGTCCCGTTCGGCCAAAGGGTGATGTTTGAACTATCCCAAAAGGAAAGCGATTGCTTTTCTCCTGGACGACCAAAAGGTTCAATAATTAGGATTCAACAAGACCAGCTCATCATTTACTGATTTGAAGCCGTAACAAGGGGGCCAATGGTTCGCGACCATTAGGGGTCAAGAGCCATGATGTATACGGCTCTGAAGCTGGAAAGGACGACACGACTGTCACGGTCAAGCATCCTCACATCTGATCTATTTCAAGAACTCGCACAAATGCAGGCCGCCTTTTGACTCAAAAGCTTCAAAGGCCGTTCCTCTGAAACAGCCAAATCTCGAAGCTGGTTCGACAAATGGGTTCCACCCAGCACCAAAGGACAAGGTGCGTATCCAAAAGGAACCCATCATTCAACCGGTCACAAAAAAAACAACTTGGGCCATCCCGGAACCGGCCTGGACGTTCAAGGTCGGCGGCGGGCAAGGCCCGCCAGTTCGCCTGGCAACCCTTGCCAAAGGAGCCACGGTTTTACCGGATGGAACATAACCCTGAGCAATAAGGAGCGAAGCTAAACAAATCGAAGTTGGACTTGGACCAGACCAGCAAGCCCGCCCACCTGCATGCACGCGGTTGCATCACAAAATACATTGAAACGCCCCCTTCCATTCCAAAGGAAGCTGAGCATAAACCCCTCGAATCTCCTTGGCCTGGCATCCAGCCAGTTGGTGCGTTGCATCAACTTGCTGGTGCTAGCCTCCGATTCGTTCAGCAAATTAGATAACCCCTACCCTCGCACCCAAAACCAGGCCGAGAAAGATCCCAATGCAAAGGATCCTCTCTCAAATCCGACACTCCCTCATTGCCCCCCCTCGGCCCCCCCAACCCCTCATGCTGGACACTGCGCTCCAATTGTTCGCAATTTCCTCAACAAGGGCTATGTCTTTTTGAGGGCTTGGTGCATACCTACTTAGGTGTTGGCACTTGGCACCCCTTAACCCCTAAGCCCAGGGATGAGAAAGAGTGGGCACCCCTTTTCTGTTGGCGGATGTTAAGTGGAAACTGGTGTCCCACAACAGTTCAAAAACGATTGATTTACTACACATTTGAAGATGTGTACTATAGTATAGCCATGTTTGCAGTGGTTCTGCCAGTCAAGCTTGAAACGCTGAACCCACCATGCAACTGGAATTGGGATCCTCCCCAGACCCCCAGTTGCCATGTGAAAAAAAGGGGGGCACCCGTTTTTTTGGAAGATTAATTAAGGGAACCCCCTCTAATCAAACTACAAGGTCAACTGCAACAAGTTTTTGCTTTTGTTGGAAGAGATTCAAGGGAAGCCCCTCTAATCTCACAGGATACAAAACCGGTCACCGCTGGCAAGCCCCGCATCTGCGCCCATCGAGCACCTGCCACAGCTGGGCAGACACGCGGTGGCCGACAGCGCGGCATCCTGCGACACGAAGACCCAGATGGTGGTGAGCAGAAACCTCGTTGCTGGCGAGCTGTTGGTGTGGGCCAAAGGAAAAAACAACCGAGGGTAGTCGGTGTGTGTGTGTGTGCTTTGTGGCACTTCTTTTTTGTCTTCTGAGATAGCAAAACTGCTGTTTCTGCTTTGTGGTACAATGTTGTTTGATGTTTAATCACTAAATATCTTATAAGTTATTGTTTGAGTTTCTTGCGTGGGGCTTCTTGTTTTGTTTCTGTGTCTTGCCGCCACAACCTCAGCGGTATGATATTTCCCCGGGCAGCACCTTGACTGTTCGACCCTGGTTGTTTCCGACCCACTTGTTTGGTCGGACCAGAGCCACACAAAATGCTCGACCGAGAACCACGCTAAGCTCCAGGCATCTTGAAAACCTCAAAAAGTTGTTTTCAGGTCCAGAAAACCTTCCAATGAAGATCTCGACCTCTCCAATGGAGGGATTCGGTCATGCTTAGGGCCTTAAGCATCAAAATCCTACACACAACTTGGTGTGCGAATTACAGCACGCCCGAAAGGTTCCCAAGATCTTGGTGGTTCCCCTGGAAAATGCTCTTGTATACTGTATTCCAAAGGTAGGCTTGAAGGTCCGACCCAAAGACGCGTCACCTTACCCCGCGGTGCCTTCCGAACTGTCCAGGTCGACCCCACCAAATTGGCCATGATCTTTAAGACGTCCCAAGACTTGGTTGCAACGACCCCTCTACAAAAAGGGGAAAACGGTTTGTGGGTCCATTTTTTAAAAAGCTGTTTCAACCAAACAGTTCAAGTCCAGAAAGATCCAACCCAGCTTACTCCGGTGATCCAAAAAGGTCCCTAGGTGATTCCTCCATGTGAAGGCTCAAAAGATCCCGAGGTGCTTCCTCTATGGTTCGGATTCCCATCCTCGGTCCTCCAGTAGAGAGGCTAGAATACGGGTACCCTTTCTTCCGTAGTCTATTGTAGGGGAACCCTCCCAACCGAAAAAGGGGTCAGAAAGGGCACCTGGCTGGGGGACCTAGACAAAATCACCCCCAGTCAATGAGAAAACACTCTTTTCTATGGAAGCACCAACTCACTTTGTTGAGAAACTCCCATTCTGTCTTGGTTGAGCCCCTAAACCCATCGCGGATTCCGTTACCTCCACATGTCTCTCTCTCTCTCTCTCTCTCTGCGAATGAGGGGCTCGGCCACCACCAGCCGCAGCTCTGGCAGCCAGCTCATGAGCGGCAACCGGAGGGGGGTGAAGGCCCGCGCCCTGTAAGGGTTCACGTGGGCTTGGGTGTGGGTTGGGGTGGGTGTGCGCTGAAGTGGTTGTTTGGTTGTGAGGTTGCTTGCTGGGGCTGGTTGCTTCTGTGTCTTTTTTGGTTTGTTTGGTCGTTTGCTTGCTTCCTTGCTAGTTTGTTTGGTTAGCCACTCAGCGAATGTATGTGATGCGTGTTCTAAGCTTTATCAGCTCAAATGCGTGCTTCTCATCTTGAAAATTGATGGTGGCCTGTTCAATCTGTGTTGCTGTTTCTTATCTTTTCTTTGCTGTGTCTGCTTCCATGCATGTGCGTGTGTGCTGTGTGTGTGTGTATGTGTGCGTGTGTCTGTGTCCACGTGATAGGCTAAGGCGTTGCGTTGGCTTCAAACACATGAGAGGCTCACTTCCATGGGAGAACTACTTTATGCTGAGCCAAGGCTGAAACACGCTACATGTTGCGCTCACACGTGTTGCTGTTTTTTTTTTTTGGAAGGGTTCATATCACAAGAAAAAACAAAAGAAAGCCACAATACCGCCCAAAGGGATCCAACTCAGTTTGAGACAAGTTGAAACTTGATGTTCCCTCAAGAATCAAAGAGCCACTAAGCCCGAAAAGGGGTTTGGTGCCCATTCACTAGGTGGTTACCCTCTCGGAAGACAGGTTCGGGCCCTTTTACGTAACACCCCACAAAGCGAAGTCGTATGTTCCTTACAAAGTCCACGGGCTCCGCTGGCAAGGCGCAACACTTCGCGGAACAAGGAGAAACACAACAGCAAAAAGACAATGAAGAAAACGGCAACACGCTGCAAACACTGCAAAAACAAACAGACAGACAGACAGACAGACAAACAGACAAACAAACAAATCAGCCAAACAGCCCAAATGCCAAGCTTTCTGGGAGATGTTCAAACCCACCCGATTTTCAGTCTCCAGTCAAAAGCAGAGACCTGGCACCCCGTGGCACTCACCTAAAGATGGTTGAGGTTCTCCCGCTCAAATGGGCCAAAAGGCCCTCGGTACCCCCATTCAAAGGGCGGCACGCCAAGAAGGGGCCGTGTTTATGACCAAAACCCCCAACATGGTTGTGGAGATAACCTTGTCATGCCCAAGTGGTTGATCCCCATGACTACTTTATCACTCGGAAGGGATTCCGCCAGGGTAAGCGCCACTTTTCCGTAGAAGCCACAAGCATCCCCTCCAACTCCCAGCCTCAAAGGGCTGCCCCGCGCGCTGCGCCACCAGGTGCAGGGAACGGTAGCCGTTGGACTGCGCTCGAAGCGAAGCGGAAGCGACGTAGGGAGCGACTTGCAGGGAATGAGTTGTACACATGTGAGAACGTAACATTGATGTTTGTTGCCAACCATGCATTGCTTCGTGGAAAAGTAAAACTTCATGATGTTGACCATGGTTTCAAACACTGGGTGGGTTACTGAGTATTTGACCATTTGTTGGCCAAACAGTGCGTGAAGATGTCCATGCCCGTTGGTCTCTCATGCCTTTGGGGGGGTGGAGCCAAGCCCGGTTCTTGAATGCGGGTGGAATAAAAGAAGGCCACGAAGCTGTTGCTATTTGTCAGTTTTCATGTCCTTTTGTGGGAAACATCCGTATGGTTGAACACATTGCCCCCTAAGACACGGGAGGTTTCGGCCCTTGGCTGTGTTGCTGTTGGGATTCCCGTTTGTTGTCGGAGGGTTGGTTGCCAAGTGGCCAACTTGGCTTAGAATCCTGACCACTCCTTAGCTCACTTGCTGAGTGGATGGCCCAAAAAAAGTTCAAACCTTACATTTACCACTAAAATGGTGTTCACAAAAAGTTTAAAGTTCATGAACAAAGGCAGTGAGTTAGCATGGCCGTTTCAACCTTTGCTGCGCCAGGGAAGAAGTCGGGAGCGCCAGCTTCTTCTCAAAGCTGCGGCTTGGCTTTGCCGACTGGGCCAGACTTCGAACGGGAACATGAAGGACACCCCGAAAAAGAAAAAAAAACAAGGAGAAGAAAACAAAGAAAAGAAAAGGAAAAAAAAAGAAGAAAAAAAAAGGAAAACAAAATGCAAAACCATTGGCTTTTGACCTACAAGGGGCAGGGGTCACAGGATGTTTCCGAATTCCCGGTGGGCTCCAACGAGATTGCCACTTGAGGTGCAAAGCTGCAGTTTTTCCAACCAAACCTGCCACAAAATGGAGGTTCCAAAAAAAGACGAAGCGGCGGGGCCGGCCGAAAAAAAGTCGCAAAGTCGCAGAGTCGAAAGGAGTCCGCACCTTCGGATTGCCGATGTAGTCCTTCTGCTTGTCCCTCAAGGGCCACATCTGGGCCTCGGGATTCTCAGCTTCGACCGAAAATCCACAAGTGGCCCCCTATGACTGGTGTGTCAGTTTAAGCAAGGCCGCCTTTTCACAACAAGCGGTTGCCAAAGCAACTAATGTCCTACAAGTATGTTTGCTTTCCGCGATTCCACTTCTACTATGCCATGACAAATAGATAAATCTATGACACAGCTCGGTTTGCTTGAAGGCTTTGTAGACACTGATAAAAAGGAGACAGGTGTCCTGACCAACTAACTGTAGGAGGATACAAATTCACTGGGGACTCTTTAGATGTCATTTGCGTGGGCATGTGTGTTCGGCCTCTCAAATGCATAGCCTCACAGAAAACAAACTGAATCCACACAGAGCGCGGAGCGCCGAACAACAAGAGTATAGCCGTTTCAAAAAATCAAGAAACGCTCTGGTGGGTTTGCCAGCCTGGTTTGGCTCAATCGGAAACCGGACCCCGAAGCCCAAAACAACCATAAGACCGTATTCAAATCTACAGAGACGTTGTTTCAAGTCTGAATGTTCTTGCGTCACACTGAAAGCCTGGCAAAATGGTCCACCCGTACCAATGAGAAGAACAGGGCCTGATATCCACACCGAGATCTACCAAGCCTCCAACTACCAGGGCTCTGATTCCGGCCCTGGGGCCCCTGCGATGATATCGCGGACCTCGTAGCACAGCTGCTCGGCCCGCTCGGCGGAAGGAGCCTCTGCCCACTCACTTAACCCTCATGCCATGGTGTAGTTCCGAGAAAAACTGAGTTGTTCAGTGACCCTGGAAAAAAAAGGGAACCCTTTGTGGGAAAGACCATTTTTAGTGGGGCAGCCGCCAACGAAAAGGGGAAAAAGGTGCCACTGAACAACTGAGAAAACAACCGAACAGCCAGAAGCATTGCGAGTCTGGACGTTCTCTGAATTTGGAAAACCGTTTTCCTGCGCCACTGCACACATGCCCGCCATGCAACGCGCACACCGCTCTGCACTAGACACACGTTTGCCGCATGATAAGCGCATGCGCTCAAGAGCATCCACTCAGCACTGCACACACACACACACACTGCCAAATGATACGTGCACCCGCTCAAGAGCATCCACTCAGCACTGAGCACACGTCTGCCAAGTAATACGCTGGCTCAAGCCCGCCCTGTGCTGGCGTCTTGGCTCACCGGCTTGGGGCAGCTTCAGTCAGGTCCCGTTTCATTTGCCGCCCTTTGACGAGTTTGGCATAAATTCCAACAGGAATCCTACTCTTCGGAAGGGGGGGCAGAATGTTGATCCCGGATCGATGAACGGCTGTTTATTAATATGGGGGGTGTCCCTGGTCTTAGTGGTGGGTTCATCACTTTTGGAGGGGAACACCCTCCCATCAATAGACAGAGGTTTATGAATCCGGGGTCAACAAGTTGCCTCACCACCTGTTCAGCAAAACAAACTTTGACCTCGTTTCGGTCTGTACCCTCGTTTCGATCTGTATACCCTCCTGTTTGCATGGAACCTGACGTTTCGGGGTGCAAGACGATGTTCCGAAGGGACCATTTGGCTGTGGCTCAAAATTAAAGAGGAGGGGTTACGCGGGTTTTGGTCCATGTTTCCCCTTGCCAGGGCAACCCATTTTGGAATTCCGGTTTTCTGAATTCGCCACCGCCATTTCTCTGGTGGGGTTGCCATGGCAACATGGACACGCGGTTCCCCCACGAGTCGACCCCTACCCCCAAATCCCGGCTCAGGGCGTCGGCATCCAGAATCACTCGGATGGCAGAGCGATCCCAGACCTGGCGAATCCGGCGCGCATTCCGAACCCCCGGCTCAGGCGAAGAGTCATAAGGGTTCGGCCCGCCCCCCCCCCAAAACAAAAACAACTAGAGGACGATTGGCCCGAAAGCATTTTTCCATAGGTGCTCATCCAGCCGCGGAGACACCTTTTTACATCGCTGCGGCGAACGTGTCTGCGCGCGGCGATGCTCAGTGTGTGTGGTCACATGAGAGCTCCATCTCATCATCCTACTTTCCTCTCGAACTGCGCCGCGCGATTTCTCACGAAAGTGGTCTGCGCAAGCTGCATTGTTCCAGGCTCTCTGCAAGCTGCTGCGCGCAAGTGCTCTGTGCAAGTTGCTCTGCGCAAGTGCTCTGCGCCAGTTGCTCCGCGCAAGCGCTTTGCGCATGCGCTCTGTGCAAGTTGGTCTGTGCAAGTTGCTCTGCGCCAGTTGCTCCGTGCAAGCGCTTTGCGCATGTGCTCTGTGCAAGTTGCTCTGCGCAAGTGCTCTGAGCAAGTTGCTCTGCGCAAGGGCTCTGCGCCAGTTGCTCCGTGCAAGCGCTTTGCGCATGTGCTCTGTGCAAGTTGGTCTGTGCAAGTTGCTCTGCGCAAGTGCTTTGTGCAATTGCTCTGTGCAAGTTGCTCTGCGCAAGTTGCTCTGCGCAAGTGACTCTGCGCAAGTTGCTCTGTGCAAGTGCTGCCGGAGCTGTGGGAATGCACTTCGCGTACTATTTTTGCACTTAAAAGTTGCGATTTTCCAGCCGGAGTACTATGTTTGTACTTAAAAGTTGCGATTTTCCAGCCTGAGCTGCGGGAGCACGCTCCGCATACTACGTCTGTACTTAAAATTTGCGATTTTCCAGCCGGAGCTGCAGGAGCACGCTCCGCGTACTACGTTTGTACTTAAAAGTTGCGATTTTCAAGCCGGAGCTGCGGGGGTGTGCTCCGCGTACTACGTTTGTACTTAAAAGTTGCGATTTTCCAGCCTGAGCTGCGGGAGCACGCTTCGTACACTACGTCTGTACTTAAAAGTTACGATTTTCCAGCCGGAGCTGCAGGAGCACGCTCCGCGTACTACATTTGTACTTAAAAGCTGCGATTTTCAAGCCGGAGCTGCCGCGGACCAGGGGGGAATCGAACCCGCGACCGCGGGATTGCGAAAACTTCCAAAGGCCGTTTCGCGAGCAAGAAAATTGCACGGCGCCACAGCGAGAGCGCTTCGACACGCACAATCTCCGCAGAGGGTTCGCCGAGACTAAGACAAGTTCGCACGGCGCCACAGCGAGAGCGCTTCGACACGCACGATCCCCGCAGAGGGTCGCGCGCGCACCGCAGAAATCGTAAAAAGTCCTCAGTTTTTGAACCTCGACCACGCGAATCTCCGCAGAGGGTCGCGCGCGCACCGCAGAAATCGTAAAAAAGTCCCCAGTTTTTGAACCTCGACCACGCGAATCTCCACAGACAGCAGAAATCGTACAAAGTCCTCAGTTTTTGAACCTCGACCACACGAATCTCCGCAGAGGGTCGCGCGCGGCCAGCAGAAATCGTAAAAAGTCCCCAGTTTTTGAACCTCGACCACGCGAATCTCCGCAGAGGGTCGCGCGTGGACCGCAGAAATCGTAAAAAGTCCTCAGTTTTTGAACCCTGACCACGCGAATCTCCGCAGAGGGTCGCGCGCGGCCAGCAGAAATCGTAAAAAGTCCCCAGTTTTTGAACCTCGACCACGCGAATCTCCGCAGAGGGTCGCGCGTGGCCAGCAGAAATCGTAAAAAGTCCCCAGTTTTTGAACCTCGACCACGCGAATCTCCGCAGAGGGTCGCGCGCGGACCGCAGAAATCGTAAAAAGTCCCCAGTTTTTGAACCTCGACCATGCGAATCTCCGCAGAGGGTCGCAATCCCGAGGGAGGATCAAACTCCCGCCCCGGCGCCTTAGAAACCTAAACTAACTTACATAGCTGCTAACGCCGAAGCTACGCAACCCTCTGCAACTTGGCTTGGCTCTATGTAACTTGGCTCTATGTAACTTGGCTCTATGTAACTTGGCTCTATGTAACTTGGCTCTATGTAACTTGGCTATGTAACTTGGCTCTACTTGGCTCTTGGCTTAACTTGGCTGTACTTGGCTCTATGTAACTTGGCTCTATGTAACTTGGCTCTATGTAACTTGGCTCTATGTAACTTGGCTCTATGTAACTTGGCTCTATGTAACTTGGCTCTATGTAACTTGGCTCTATGTAACTTGGCTCTATGTAACTTGGCTCTATGTAACTTGGCTCTATGTAACTTGGCTCTATGTAACTTGGCTCTATGTAACTTGGCTCTGTGGCTCTAACTTGGCTCCAAGGGCTCCGCACGGAAGAATCCTTCGCGATGCTTTCGGGAAAAACAAATGCTTGGTGTCCTTTTGATTGCCCTGGCCAACAAGGGGGTTCCCTATTCAAACAAGAAGCCAAACAATTACACATGCACACAGTATGCTAGGATCATGGTCTACAGTGGTGTTTAAGGACCCCACCCACAGCCACATTCCAATTATATAGGCCCTCGTAGTACTCACCGAGGGTGCACTTGTTCATCTCCTCTAAAAAGGGGAATAAAGACACCCCCTCAAGGTGCAGAACCTTTGTGAAGTGTGGACAACCAAACCAGTCAGTTTCAATTCAAATGTTTCCTGAAGATTTAGCCACCATTTGCTAAGGACACTGTTTTAGGATGAACCATTTTTTGCTTAAACCAGCGTGATTGGTCGTTTGTTAGGTGAGTTATACAGCTTTGTGTGTCTCAACAGACACGCTTGCCCTGCAAATGCTCCTCATGATCTCACTTGTTCAGTGACCCAAAAGATGGACCAAGGGACCAGGAGAAAAGGGGAGGGTTGACCATGTGTGAGAACTATAAGTCAAAAAAAAAGAAGAGAACATCCACTCCATCTGAGAGATGGGGACCTGTGTCATTCCAGCCACATAAAGCACCTTTTGTTCACCGTGGCGATTCGTGCAATGCTTCCCCAGTGGCCATGGGAACAACTAACTTTTTGCAGCCCCCAAACAGAATGTTGAACTAAAGAGGACTTTACTTGGGGCCTGAAAATGCCGTGATCCCCTCGAATTTGGAACGCCGCCGGGTTTTGAACATGTTTTAGCTAGTATCGCAACAACCTCCTTTTGGTTCCCCCGACCGGGCCTGGCTCAAAAAACACATCTGGTCCAAACAACAAGTCAGGCCTGACAAACCAATAATACTCGCTTTAAGTCTGTCGCATTCATTTCCCAACTGCTAGGGATGCTTCCCGCCTGCGACTCACATGACCAACATGGTGCTATTCAGCCAGTCACAAGGCCCTTTATTTTTAAACCAAATCACCCAAAAAGGACACCTATGGTCAGTGTGTGTTGTTGAGCAGGTTTCATAGAGCCATGGAACACCAATGGAACACCTTGTGGTGCACAATCATTGACATGTCAAACCGGCTCAACTGGTGCCTTCTTGGACAAATGATTGGACACCTGTAATCTGCGAATTCTTGCACTACACATCCCCCAACCACACATCCTGAAAGAATAACTGCACCTTAGATTCTCATGGAAGCCACAAAAATCCGGACCCTCCTCTTGACATCGGATCCCTTTGACCCCAAACACTCCTTGATGTTCCTCGTATTTCCCGTTGAACCATCACCTCACCAACAGGAACCTCCCCAACAGCAACCTCCCCCACAGGAACCTCCCTTTAAAACCGACCCGCAAAGTGACTTCAACACCACCCAACCAGGGACATATCGGACCTTGCAAACATGGCTGACCAACTCCGCTCGCGGTTGGGGCGCCGGCTTGCTGGAACTCAAGGCGCTTCCTCAGATGACGCTTGGCTTGGGTTTATTTGCCCAAAGGACCCGAAGTAGAAGGTCAACCTTTTGGGGCCATGACGAAAACTAGGCCAAAAAGGAAAAATCGAAAGGTGACAAAGTCGGTGTTGGGCAACTGAGGAAATGTATGTGTTGATGTTCCATATTGAGTCTAACCTAAACCGTACACTATGTTTGGAGGACATGGGTGTGAGGTTAAGGCTTATCAGCTTTTGCTTACTGGATCCAAGTAGATGGCACAATTGCCTGTTGGTTTAGCCATCCCCTTTACTTACCTGCGAGGGAATTGTGCCATCTCGTTTCACCCAAGTGCAGTACTCCATGTCCAAGAAATCTGATCCATGAAACTGGGCAAATCATCGTTTTCATGGAGTCTACTCAAACACCAGGGTATCAACCGCTGGATCCAAGGAATCTCAGGGCGATTCCGTGGCTATTTCTTCAAGCCAACCCCAAAAGGTACAAATTCCAGCCACGCGTCAAATAAATGGGTGCTTTACATGTCAAACGCTTAACCCAAATCAAATGTTCCCTTGGTGAAAAAACAGAACACGCAAAAAAACAAATCCATGGGTGGCTTCCCAAGAAGGATACCTGCATCAAATGAACACCCTCCCTCCAAAAAGACCAAGCAAAACCTACAAACACACAAAAGCACAACCGTTCCCAACTAATGGTTTCTTAAAAAATTGGAACCCTAAAAAAGTTCTTCCTTGGGCTTCTCTTCAACTGAGCGAACGGGGCCACCATTGAGAGAACAGCTCAAACGAGTATGTGTCAACATAAGGGGATCCCTAGGCACTTCCGCCCAGAACCAAAGCTCGTCAGACCTTCTTTGAGCGTTTCATGAAAAAGCCTAAGGGACCTTCGGGGGGAAAGACCATGATACCCATGCATCTGCCCAAATAGTGGGCTCCCAAAATGAACGGTGTTCCGGGTTTTTCTAGCCAAATGAGTGGCTGCCTCCCAGCCTATTTGTTTTTTCCTTTGTTCCAAGCCCCAAAAAGGGGTACCAAAAACGCCGCCAAAGGAGATCGCCACCTCCCAGCTCGTCCAGCAAGGCGCTTCTTCATCTTCTTCCAGGTGCTGTAGGCCGTTTTAGCGCGGCCTGACACCTGGAACCCGGGCTCAAACTGGTTGCCTCCATTTGCGTGGTTCGTCCCCTGGAAAAACATCCAGCGGTGATTGATTCCCTTTGTAACATTTTATAACCAACAGGGGAACATAACAAATATTCTGAAGCAAATGAGGAAGGTTGGTCGCCTCCGAAGCTATGTTATATATGTGGGTGCGTCTCAAAATGGAGGCACTTAAAACAGGGTGGTTCTCCTTTTTGTTGCTCCTAACACACCCACCAAAGAACGGGTCCACGGTTTTGAGAACAATCGGCCCCCAATATTTTAAGGCCGAATGAACATGAAGCCGAATCAGAACACCTCCGCGAGCAAAACGGGAAGAGGGTGAAGCTGTTCGGTTTGCGTTTTGGAACCCACCCGACCAAGATCCCCTAGGTGGCTCGGACAGAATGAGGGCCCCTGTATGGACAACCGGCATTTATTCGTTGAGCAACCCTCGAACCTTGGGGAAATGAGCCCACACCCTCAAAGATATCTTCTTGAGCCCCAGCGAAAGCGACATGAAGGCATACCCTTCGCAACGGATTTCTACATTTGAAGCGGCAAGGCACATCCTGGCCATGGGCAATGTGCTCAAAGACCGGAAGGTGGGAATGGTTTAAGCTCTCCAGAAGATGCAAGGGCATGGCTGAGCCATCCCAACATGGCCATGGGTCAAAATCCAATTCGTACGTACCCCCAGTGAACATCCGATTCAATCCAACCACTAAAATAGGTTCTAAAACGGGTGGTGCACCTACCCCAAAATGGTACCCTTGGTTTTGACCCACAGCCACATGGAAACTGGGTTTCCTGTTGGGCAAAAGGGATTCTGTGCGACTTTTAGGTGGTGCTTTGATTTAACCAAACAGGTAGCCAAGGCTACCTGGGACATGGTTGACGCTCTGACAACTTCACCTTGAGGGATTCCCTTATCACACGTTGCGTGAGCATGAATTCGCAGAGAGGGCCAGAAACTCGTACACCTCCAACATATCCAAAATATCGCGTCTTGCTTGTCACCAGCTCCACCCCGACAAAACAATACAATCTGACCAGATGGTCTCACCTGCGTTCGAATGTGATGTGTCAAAAAGAGAAACCCAACGATTTGGCCGTGGGTCAAAATCCAAATCGTACCGCCAGTGAACATCCGATTCAATCCCCCCCTAAAATCCCGACTAAAATGGGTGGTGAGAATTCACCAATCCCAACCGAAATGCTACCCGCAAAAAAAACGGGATCCATCCCACAACGGTTTTGACCGCGGCCACTCGGCTGAATCTTTTCCCCTCGGCCCCACCGCCCAGATGGGGCCGGCGCCCTCAGAGAAGAGAGCTCCCGCAAGGGCTGCCCCGTCTCCAGCACCTGACCGAGGCTCGGAGTTTTTTTCACCGAGGCGCGGGGGCAAAGAACGCGATCCTTTCGCGGAGGCTTCGTTGGCCGTGGGTCAAAACTTAGGAAACCCCTGCATCAAAAAAGGTGGCAAATGGATGTTCATCCACCACAAAATGGAGCCATTGGTTATGCCCCATGGCCGTTTGGAGTGGCTCTAAAGGGCAACCAAAGGGAAACCAAGAATTGTGTGGGCCCCCAATTTTGAAACACACCCAGATTGGTGTAACCCACTTCCTGAGTGGTTGCCAAAAACAGTCCAAACTTCCTGTTTGCCACTAGATTGGTCTACCCTGCAACGTCCAGTGGGAAGTGAATCACAAAAAAAAGGTTGCAACCAGTCACCCTTAAAGGGTAAAACAAGAATACAAATTCCACACTGGGGCTTGGGGTTGATTTCATTCTCAGTGTGTCTAGAACCCACCAGGCAAACAGGACATGGGCTTTCTCTACAAGGACCAACAGGGCGTTGTTAAAACAGGTGGCTGAAGCCTGCCGCTGCCGGAGGGCCACTCGCCAGCGAGCCCAGAGACTCGGCCAAGTCGTGGAACTGCTTGGAACATCTGGGGACACTTGAAGCATGCAGGAGAGCACTGCGGCCAGTTGTTTATCCTATTAAAAAAAGAAAAAAACATGTATGAAACAACACAAACCGCCAAAACAAAACATGAAGAGAACCCTGGTAGACTTGGCAAAATGTAGGAAGTTTGGTATGCTCAAGAAAGCTTGGTTCTACCCAAGCAGTTGTCTGGCTTGCTTTATCATGTTCACCAAATTTGACTTGGGTCACTCGCTGAATGGATGGATGAAGCCTTCATATTAAGTGCGTCCTCTGATGATCTTGATTCTGGTTAGTAGAACAGGCGACCGAGCCTCTGCCGCCACTTGTGGAGGTCACGTTGACAATGCTTTTAAATCAGGCGAACGACTAACAGATCAGGGTCCCATTCACAGCAGGCTTCAGGACAAGAATCTCGGATCGGCTCTTGAGAAGGCTGCGGAAGCATGGCCTGCGTCTTTCACCGCCACAGGACCTGCCATGAGCGGCGCCCTGTTGCAGCCAAGCCGGGCGTCCGCTTCGGCTGCAGGTGCAGGCAGGGGCGGGGGATAGGACCCTGCCAGTCCAGCCCGTGCTCAGCCGCCCCTCGCGGAGGGCCACTCAGCACGGAAAGCAGCTTTGTCTTCTTGAAGTGTGCCTTTTTTTGGGGATGATCTCAAACCAAGGGGAAACCACTAAAAACAAATGCAGCTAAGTGCGGATTTCCCACTAAACCACAATAAGCAAAAATGCGAATTTGTTTCCCAACAACCACCATGCTTTGAGATGATTTCAGCGGTTCCCTTTTGGAGACAAGCCCATCCCAGCCCCGGGCCAGTCGCCTGCTGCAATTCCCTGGAGGCGCTGTTCACCAAGGCCTCGCCTCGTCGAATTTTTTTGAAGAGGCAGTGGCTTGCCATTGGAAGTGGCTCGTCGTTTTAAACGCTGAGACCCCCAAGTTGGAGTTGGCTGTTCCTGTTCGTTTCCATTTAAGGCAACCAACAACAAAAGAACGTCGCACAACATACCCCTGCGAATCATAATGCACCCTTGTTGCTGTTCCAACACCGTGGGGCTGTGCATCGCCACCCACAAATACAGGCACTTATGGCCATTTGATCCTGTGCATGTCTATTGTTGAAAAGAGGGTACGTAATGAACAATTATGATAGTCCCACTGAAACAACCAAATGCTGGATAGAAAACACTGCACAACTGCAACACTGCAAAAGCTATGGCTCCAACAGACAACTGCAAAGCCCCCTCTAAATCCAAGACCCGAACTCATGGCATCCTTCCACAAGGGACCTTGGCCCCGAAACTCTCTCGATCTCTCGAAATGCTTGCTATACGAATCGGGCACCCTGCGTCTGCCAAAGCTACACCATGGTGACAGTAGATGGCAGAGTTCCCGGTGAACCGACAAGGGGATGAAACCAACGTGGGTTGGATTTCTACCAACTTCAGCCATCAGGTAAAACCTCATAAACCCTAGCCCTAAGTTTATGAGATCGCCATAAATCCGAAGCTACCAATGTGCTTAAGTCCCCTGGGGAAAAATGACATATGCCCAGTAGTGACAGGTTCCCTTTAAAAACCAACAAGGGAGAATAAAGAATTTGATACAATTTCAGCATGTGGGTAAGTAAAGGGGATGCTCTGCCACTTCAGCCACCTGTAGGTACAACCTTAAAGACACCTACCTCTAAACCCTAAGCCAACTGTCTCATCTTAGCCACCCCCCAGAACGACGCGCCTTCTGGCCCGCCCAAGAGCCGCCGGAGCTCCGTCCGCTCCTGCAGGGCGGTTAGACCGCTCCGTCCAGAGATTCTGCCACGCTTCTTTCCAGGAAACCAACAGCTAGAAGCCCAGGGAAGTCAGCGTGTTGAAAAGCATCTCAGTTGATGGAGGGAATTCAGCACATAGATCAGTGCACTGAATTGAACATGGAACTACACCAAGTACCTGCTAAAACAAGACAACTATGCACTGTTGTTTTTGCACCACAACATCGGAACGAATTGCTATGAACGCTGCTGAATCCTGAACAAGCAAGTATCAGCACCAAATAAGTAGGAGTTGAACAGCTGTCTCAAAATCAGGCGACCGCCAAGAATGGGTGAGTTTGTTGGTTGCCAATTCAAGGCAACGACAACAAGGTATCGTTGGATTAAGGCACACGTAGGATTTGCACCGAAATGGGGGAGCAGCTATATATGTGTTGGTTCGATTACTTCTGGTGGATTTGATTCCCTCACCTTTCAAGGTTCCCAAATCCTCGTTCCCAATGCGGCAGAAGTCTACCTAATTGTTCTCGGAACAGAGTAGGTGGGAGAGCTACAGCTAGACTTCTGCACTATAGCAAACTTACCTGGAAGTCGAGCCCACCCATTATAAAGGTCTCCGACCTGGTCAATCCTTGATTGGGGTTCGTTTACTACTGTAGTGCAGAGAAATCAACGCTCCGCAAGCACCCAACACTTCTTGAGTGGATTGGCCAACTAAAATCCAAACGGTTTATTTACCACTAAACAGGGATCCTTACATGATACACCTGAACATTGCCTTATAAATTGTGGTTTCTCTTTGTTTGGGTGGAAAAAGCAACATCTTTCAAATGGTTGCAAAATGGATTTCTTTTAAGGAACCCTGCTAAACCTGCCCAAAAAGATTGAAGTGGAACTCGTCCAGTGAGTAGACAATCAAGCGAATCAAGCTGGCTTTTCCCCGGCCTCCGGGTGAGTGATGGCAAAGCCCGCATCCTCCAACTCGTCTTTGATCCTGCACCAAATCGATCCAATAGGGCTACCAGAGTCTTAAAACAAATGAACAAGGGGGCGCGTCTTGTTTGAGCGGACCCCAAATGGCAGTTTTGCTTCGGTTTGCTTTCAAGCTGCCTCTCCCTTCCACGCCGCCTGTTCAAAAACCAGCATCATTGCCATGGAGCCGATAAAGATTGGTGAACAGGAGCCCTTTCAAGTCTGGACCATGGCCTGGCGGTAGCACTCACCTCAAGTTTGTGTCAACTGTTGAATTTGGCGCCAAAGCAACATGGTGCGCTCACGCGCTTATTCGCGTGAAACATTCCTGGCTTTGACCCGCAAACCAATGGATTGGGGATTGTCAAAGATATGGTCCCTTTTTGGCCCCCGGTGCTGCAGCGTGCAGCAAAAGGGGCCTCTAATTCTAACAACAAGATGCCGTCACATTGGGTTGCAGGAAGCCGCGCGGTCATTTTTTGCCTAAGCGTACTTCTGCACTGCAACTACGGCAGTCAGAAAAAAATGGTACAGCGCTCACCTGGCCAGCGAGGAGGGGAGGTGGACGCAACTGCTTGTGAGATCTTGGTGGTCCAATTTGGAGCTATTGCCTTTAAACTGCAAGGAGTTTTGCTGGAAATGGGAATTCTAGCACCCCACCACCAAGTAACGAAGCAGGTGGAAGTTTCAAGGGCAGCACGGAAGCATCCCCCACTTCAAACAAATATGATTCTGTGTCTCACTTTCAAGCTGCACATTGGAATTGGAGGCTGACCTTTCAGAACCATTTCCGGGGGTGACTCTTTCTTCTACTATTCGTATCAATTGCTTGGGCGAACAACCAAACCAAAACCCATGTTGGAGGTTCCCTTACTTGGAGACAAACCCAAGACCACAACTGGAAAACCTGTCGCTTTGGACCTGCTGAGTGCTTTTGGTTCGCGACTAATCTGACCTTGAAAGGGGCGGAAACCATGAAAGAAACGCTTGGGTCATCAACCGTGTTCAAGCAACCGCATGTTTTAACACCCGTGTTTACACAAAACTCCTTATTTGGGCCAAGGTCGTGAGTCACTAGCAATATTTTATGGTTGAGAAAACAATCCAAGGCTGTAAGGGGTCCATGTTCCACCGTTCCAATCAAAAGGGTGTGTTAACCGAGACACATATTGGTAGTCAGGCCCTTTTCACTGAGCTGTTGCTTCAGCTGTCAAATGGCTGCCAACACGACCTACCAAAACAACTTACAAGCTCCTCCGAACTGAGCCATGGCCCGAATGTTTGTAACACTGCCAACGTCCTTTTGAACCCCAAGCATTCAGCAAACCCCGCAGCCCAAGTGGGTAATCCAGGCTGATTTCATGGTGCTTGAGGCAATACGGCCCAAGCCAAGTCCTGTCTCGCAAAAGCCTTTCGAGAGTCATCTCCTAGCTTCAGTACAAAGTATGTCTAGTGAAACACATATTTGCCATGATAAGGCTAATGTACACTACTCGACTTCTAAAGGGTATAGGAGAGTATAGTTCATAGGAACCGTTGCCGCGACTTCCAGATCTGCGCCCCATCCGACTTGGGCCGGCGCCGATCAGCGGCGTGGCAGCCATCTGAAACCTGATTCACTTGGGATCTTGTGGGCTTACTCATCAGCTCCTACCCCTCCCACCAACAGAGAGATATACATTGATAAACCCCACTAATGCTTATAGTAAGAGGTTTTTGCCGTGCCAAAAGGGGTGGCGCAAAGGGGGGGCAGAAATTACGGGCGACAGAAACTATGTTGTCTTGCTTGGACCTTCTTGTTCAAAAGCTCCCAGCGAATCATCTGTTATGCTTGATGTCTGCAAGCACTCCCATGATTACCAAAACTGGGTGTCCAACAAACAACTGAGGTGGTTATCCTTCAACAATTCCAATTTGGGCACCCTGTGCTGCCCCCCGTGTTTGGCAAGCACAGGAGTTCTGCGCAAGATGGTTTCCAAATAGTTGCCACACAGTGGCTGTATATTCCATTTAACCCTCTGAGTGTAGTGGTAACCATCTAACTAGGTCTATGGTGCTGGTTGTTATCACGCAAGCCGCCCAAGGCTGCAGCGATCGGAGGGGCAAGGCCGGGAGCATTGAAGCAGAGAGGCGAGGAAGGGGAATCGACCTACAAACCGATAAGACAAGGAAGAAAGGAAGGAAGGGAAGGAAGAAAGGGAGGGAAGGAAGGCAAGGAAGGGCAGGAAGGGCAGGAAGGGCAGGAAGGGCAGGAAGGGCAGGAAGGAAGGAAGGGAAGGAAGGGCAGGAAGGGCAGGAAGGGCAGGAAGGGAGGGACGCCTGTCTAATTATTTCAGCCAGAACTCAGCAAGTTGTTCATTGCCGCTGAAGTCTTCCAGCCGACCAAACAGAACCAAGCCTCAAAAATGGGTTCCATATGGTTCCATCTGGACACAACACAATAATTCACCCACCGAAAATATCCAAATGGGAGTTGATCAAAAGGTCCTTTACATAGGATGACCATTGGGGACAACCACGAAAAAAAGAAGATATTTCTTACATGGGAAAAGCTTCCCTTGGTCAAAACCGGGGGCCGTTAAGGGAATATTGATCAACCAAATGGATCCCCAAGCCAGGAACAACCCAAGTGACACGCCCACTCAGAGGCCCGCTGCTCCATCCCTAGCTCCTGCCGCGGGAAATGTTTGTCATTTCCTTTGCAATCGATGACCGAGGCCAATTTCAGTGTTCCTCCAAAATTAGAAAAACAACATTAGCCTTATAAATCAAAACCCCCAAAAAAACAGGGACGATTCCAAAAAACACGGTTTTTATGGGCGTTGGCCAAAAAACCGGGTTCTGCAAGAGAAAGCCGGGTTTTCGGCAAAAAGCCTGCTTTTGCGGGCTGACCGCAGCATAACATTGGCTTTTTTTGGTACCGCGTGCCAGCGTACTGCGTCGGCCCACACAGCCCACATCTCAGCTCGGCGGATCTCCTGCATGCGGATTGCTTGATTGATTGGCAAGCTGCACCTGCCACACATTGAACCCTGACGTAGCCTTTTGGGTCGAGTGTTTTCCAGTAAAAAGCCATGGGAAAGGAGGAAAAGCACAAGTGCGATGTGGGGAAGGTTCACTTAGAGTGGGATGCTTCGCCTGGCATTCGGGAGAGGCTGCGAGACGCGGGTCTTTTGATGCAGGGCCCCCATTCCGAAACGGTCAAGTGTGCCAAAAAAAACAGTGAGCAACTCATTCCGCTGTTGACACGCATGGCAGCAATTGGTGGCAAGCTACCGGGTGTGAACAATTTGCGTGAAGAAGTTACCTGCCTTTTCAAGAGCAACCAAGTGACAATTGATCAAGATCTCATCGATGCCACAGCGTGGCAGCTACGGACACTATCCAAGTTCATCAAGAGGAAGGTTCAACGCAAGGAGGTGTCAAAAGATCCTTGGACGAGTTAGCACATCACTGCGAAGGTGTTCATTGCAGCGCAGTCATTGAATGGCCCAGCAGGCCCAACATTAGAAGTTCCCTGCTGCCTGACTCCTAGGACCAGAACTTTCAAGATATGTGCCTGGTTCTGAACCCTTTGCTGCAGGCTGGGGTCACCAGATGTCAACACTTGCTCCCGATCGTGTCATGAATATGTTTGGGCCGCCGAAGGACCACGTTGACAAGATCCGGGAACGAGGTGGAGAACAAGATGAGGCTAGGTTAGTTTGTTTTCTTTTCACCAAAAAGTTAATATACGAGACCCGCCCAGGATGAGACGGGGAGTGATGAATCCGACGATGATGAAGAGGATGCTGCAGGAGAGGGCTTGGCAAACCAGGCCGTCTCCGACACCCAGGTTCCAGCCCCGCCCCTTTGCGTGGCTCCCCGCTCGCCCGGGCAGATTGTGGCATCTGAGGAGGCTGAACCAAAGCATGCTGAGACTCAAGTTGATGAGGTGTCCCAGCCCGTTTCAATTTGCAGTTCTACACCCCAAGAAATGCTGGAAGACAGGCAAATGCCCTCCCCATCTCCGCCGTCACCACCCGCGGGTCCTTCACCAGTGACGAACCAGCAGCCAGCCACACCTCAGAGTTCCGAGTCTCTCTCTACTGCGACCGTGGTAACTCCCGCAACCTTGAGTGGCTTAGCAAATAACACAGCGTGAATGCGTTCGGCCAGTTTGGTAGCACACTAGACTTTGCATCATTGCATGTGAATTGGAACGATCCCAGGTGCCAGCGAGGAATCCATGCAAATTCAGAAGCGGCTAGCAGAGAAACATGTCAGCATCCAAGAAAGAGGTGCCGCATATAAACGTAAACATGTCTTTGCTTGGCCTGCACGCCTGATCAGGATCCGTGCCCAACGCGAGCAGAACGCCAAGATCCGGACTTCTGCAGTGAGGGCGCCTGCGCCAGGAGCTTGCACGTTTCAATCTTGGGCATTATTTCCATCCTTAAGAAAGTGAACATCTTCGTGGGTTCTGGGCAGGAGTTGCTGCACTACCTCAACCTCCTCAACCCAACCTTCCAGTTGACAACTGTGAGACGCAGCCAGTGGATCTTTCCATTGTCTCGGTGCCTCCCGAGCCGCCTATCATGGAGACCCCCCCACCAGCTAGCAAGCAAAGGGCAAAATACCAACGGAAGAAGAAGGGCAGCCAAACAATCAAAATGGGTGATGATGGAACTGGTCCTTCGGTCAAGAGTGAAGGGGATGCCTGTGCTCATGAAGACTCCCCTGGTTTCGTGTCCCGTGATGACCAGCTTGCCTACCGGACCAGCAAGAAAGCAGGACGCAAGAAGAAGAACAACACCAAAAACAAGAAGCCGAAGGGAAGCCCTCGCAAATCCAAGCTTGAAAAGCTTCGCCGCATCAAGTCAAACGCTGAGTTGGGGGTCCCGGCGGAATGCTCTGATTGGATTGACCCAAAAGCAAAGAAGAAGAAGAAGAAGTCTGCCAGCCAGGCCAGTTTCACCAGCCCCGAGCCTGAATCCTCGAGGAAGCGCAGCAAGTCGCCTGCCGCGGCGCCCAAGGCGAAAGCCAACAAGCCCCGCAAGGCCCGCTGTTCCGGTGAATTTGAGGCCACTGTTCACCCCACGTGTGTGGAAAAGCTAGTTGCCTGGACGCACACTTTGAGCCTTCCTGCATCAGGGCCGCATGACCTGGAAGCCCTAAAGGTGGCAGTCCGCTCTACACTTCCAAGCTGGGAGCTTGCCCAGTTGAATGTCTATTGGACCCGTGGGGGATGCGGGGTGAAGCACGTTACGGCAGAGAAGGGTTGCGGATACTTCAGCTTCAAGTCGCATGGTGATATGGACATCCATCACGGGCAACAGATCATGGCCATTGCCTGTGCCATTTGTACCGTTTCTTAGTTGCAAGCCATTTGTCTCGGTAATTACCCTCACAAAAAATCTATGTTCATACCCGCCCTGCCCGCTCAGGCTGACTACATCGAGGCGAACAAACTGCTGACCTTGGAAGACGATCTTGAGGGAACCAAAATGCTTGCTCAGTACATTTACACTTTGAAAGCCTCTGCAGCTCATGTTCTTTTGGGCAAGGGCCCAGTTGATGTTGCCTAGCTAGTTTGGGTCAGCTTTGCCATGCAAAGTGGGGGCTCAGCCGTTGCAACCAGGAATTGTGCAGCTGCTGTCATAGCTAGCTCCAAAGCAAGCCTGTTGCCGAAGAATGTTCAGCTTCAACTAGTTTCAACTTTGAGGTGTCTACGCTAAGACAAGATTGAAGGGCCTAGGTGGCAGGCTTTCTGCATCGATGGTGCCAGTAGTAGCCTTATTTTCATTTTCACAATCTCAGCGCTAGGAGCAGAGTTGAAAATCAAGACCCGCGCTGTACGCTTTGGTGCAACATGCGCAGAACACTCATTGTTTTTGCACGTGCAGTTAGGAACAGCCACAAGTGCATGTTACAATTACACCGCGCTACGGCCCAGGTGATGGCGCCCCATGTCCCGCCGCACCTTCGCCCGCATCGAGCGACGATCCAAAGCCAGAGCTCGTCCTGCTGGCTGGTTTGAACCGGTCACTTCTCTGAGTGCGTGCTTTTGTGCAGCTTCAACGAGCCTTGTGATTTGCGGTTGCCCCGTGTTGGCTCAGCTTATGCAAACGCGGCCTGTCCTCTGTGTGACTTGTAGTAGCCCGGCTACACCTGCAGTGTGGGCCCGTCATGGTATTTCCAGTTGATGCCGTTATGTGGAGAATGCTCCAGCTGGGAATTCCGCAGGAGAGGGCTAAACTGCTAATCACAAATTCCAGAATAGGTTTGTTGATTTTCCTTGACTGCAGGAGTTCGCGTTGATTGTGGCAATGTGCACTTGGATGGAGGGCTACGCGTTTGGCGAGGCTCATCCAAATTGGCTTCAAACAAAATTGTGTTTTTTCATCCTAGCTCTTCTCACCTTGCCCGCTGGTAGGTCTATGACTGGGTTGAGCTCTACGCTGGACGGGCTTTAGCCACTCAGGCTGTCAGGCTGAAAGGCCAACGTGGAGCGCGCCTGGACATTCTCTACGCGGAAAAGGGTAACCACAAGTCAAATTACATGGACATCAACAGCCCATCCGGTTTGGCGCCCCTTTGCTGAAAATTGGCCGTGACAAGTAGTGGACCGTGGTTTGGGGTTTCAAAGCAGCCGTGTGAAAACGTGAGGCTTTGCATCATCACAATCCTGCAGTGCAAGCGTAGCTTCCTGGCCTGGGTTGCAATCAAATGCTCTTCTTGGAGCTCAATGAACGTGGGAACAAGTTCCAGGTTTGCTTGCAGCAGTGTTGGGAACATCCTGATGCCTTCAGTTGTGGAAGCCAACCAAATGCTTGAAAGGACCCTGCGCGCATATTGTTGTCCAAACCACCCGGCTCTGACTTTTCACAACACAGTGCCTGCAGGACTTGCCTCCTACTTCTTTTGATTACCAGCGTTGGTGGCTGCTGGTGCTTGGAGCAACCGGGCGGTTCAGTGCTGCAGTTTTACCCCAGCTTCCGATATGTGATCACCATGCACGCAATGAATGCTGGCGTTTCATCAGCTGCTAGGCTTGTTTGGCCATGCGTGGATGTCTGCTCAACTTCCCCAAGATTCTTAGGTGGCAAGGACTTCATGGTGGATGGCGCTGTACGGGAGTGTCACTCCCAAGCGTCATTACTGCTACAGCAACTCTATGTCAGTTTCACAGCTTGACCGTGGAGTGCTGTCTGGCTGGAAGACCCGACCCGAGAACGCAACCACCAAGCGCACGGTTTGCAAGACCACTGGTAAAAAGGGCTACACGGCAACCCGCAACCTGAGGCCAACAGAGCACCCTGACTTACTCCTGCGGTTTCTCATAAATTCGTTTGCAGTTCCCCCATCCAATTGACTTGACTTATATAGGGTGCCTGTCAGGAATACCGGATGCTTAAACAGAGCCACCTTAAAAACCTAAAACGTGATGGTCCCGGTTTGGATGCCCATTCTTTCTGCTTTGAGGGTCCCATCCCCCTAGATTTGAAAACAACACAAACACGACCCATTTGGAAGCCCATTCTTTCTGGTTGAGGCCCCCTGCTGCTCAAGCCTCTGCCCAGGAACTATCCTTGGCGATTTGCGGCGGCCATTGCGGGGATGGTGGATGAGCTGAAGAACACTTGCCAGGGATGCCCCAAGCTGCCCGAGAAACTGCCTGAGGCTTTGGACTCATTTTGCAAAATGCCGAAGGCAGACCCAAGCATTTGGGGCATGGCGCGTTTGCCAGAAGTATTCTCGTACTTACGGGGTTCTAAGAGACTTCGGATTCCTCCTGACTGGAGACCCTTTGTTCCGCTTTCGATCGAGGATTAGGGTTTGGAGGCGGCTTTAGCAGCTCGGTGAACTAGACTTGCCATGAAAAACAGGGTCGGAAATGTTGAGCCCGTAATCTTCCCGTAAAAAACCCGTAATGTCCCGTAATATTTTCCAAAAAACCCGTAAATAGGAAAACCTGGTTATTTTGCAACCCGTAAAAAACCCATAATTACCCCGTAAAAATCCCGTATTTACCCGTGCCCAAAATATGGGTTTTTTAGTTCTGTCCCATGTTCGGTTTGGTTCTTGTTCGATCAAGCCACGCCGAGCTGCTTGCGCTCCATAATTGCTGCATGAAGGGGCGGGGGCCGATCGAATTATGGAAGGAAACAATTCAGAGCCGCATCACATTCGAGAGCACTGCAACTTAAGCCAGTTTGAGCTGTTCTCAAAGAGAGCTTTTTGCTCAAGGTCGGGCTTGTTCATGGCAAGTGGGGCTTGGAGCTGCACAACCTTGCAAGAGGGGATGGCCCACGTGCTAGAGGATTCAACTTTGATAGAAGAAGAGGCTAGGTTACTGCAAAGATTGGAGGCGGGGTTGGGGGAACACCGCAATTTAGTTTGATTTTGAAATTTGGACCCGAAAGGAGCTGAACAAACAGAGTGAGAAGAACCTGACTTCTGTTTCATCCTTAGTGGCCGTTATGTGTTACACACATGTGAGTACCCGCACTCCCGTCATCTGCCCAGGTTCCGGTGGCTGGACCAGGTCCACAAATTCCGGCAACTCCTCCAGGCAGCGGTGATGGGTCATCTGTGACACAGCTGCGTGAACGGTGTGTTCATAGCCCAATTTGCATTGAACGAAGGGTCGCGTTGCAACTCAGGAAGACAAGGTCATGACTGTCACCAAAAAACAAGATGCCGATTTGAAGACCCCTCAGACATTAAGCTCTACAAGTTCTGGCGGGCAGCCAAGTCCTGAAGAAGTCAGCCAGCCAACCCCTTCCCCGGAGCCCCCAGCTATGGAGCAAGCCCTTGATGAGAAAGATGGAGAGAAAGTTTCAGAAGACACTTCCTTCACCCGCAAAGCTCCATGACCGCAACAAAACGCTTGCTGATTTATTGACATGACCATGTTTACACAGTGCGTTTGGGTTACCCCGTTGCTTCAAGGCTCGCCTGCTGAACGCCGCCAAGGCCCGCATCAGACGCATGGTTGCTCCCAAACGACCCAGCCGTGCGGGAGCAGTGGGAGAACTCACGCAACAAGGATGACATGGCGGAACTACTGATGCAGGCAAATTGGAACAAGGACATATCATACATTGCGTTGTCATGTTGTTGAAACATTCGTGTGAAAGCTTGCCACCTTGGAAGGAGCAATTCCTTGACGAAGTGATGGTCTTGATTAGCAAAAAGCGGAAGATTAAGGTCCAGAAGGATTGCGGATGGTACTCAGAGAAAGAGATGCGAGACGAGTTGGGATGGTCTGCGCTTGGACCTTGGGGGACCCGACCAAACATCATGGCCAACTCTTGCTAAGCTGATGTTGCTTATATATCAATAGGGTGCGTGCTGAGGGCGAAAGTGGCTGGTGCCAAACAAGATTGCGAGGGCCGCCCACTGACCCACATCAGGCCTGTGCTTCCAACCTTTTCACACGCGTTCCAAACACACCAGCTCTTGCTAGGCAAAATGCCTACGATAAGCTGACGGAGTATTGGGTGATGATCCGCGAGACCGGCAGCCACACGGAGGAAATCACCCAGGAGCACAAGCAGTCCTCGAGGTCGAAGGCGAGGGCGCTCGCTTTCCTGCATCAGCACGGGGGCGCGTTTAATCGTGCGTGCGCCGCTTATGCACCCTAACCAGGCCGACGGAAAAACCGAGCTGGACAAGAATGCCTTTTCATTCATCAACGAGCGGCAGGGTGCAATCACAGCAGCAGCAGCAAACCCGGGGCAAGGCAACCAGAAGAAGGAAGTTGTAACTGCCGATAACGAGGCCTGCAAACGTTAATGTCGTAAAGGTTTGTTGGACGTGAGCAACGCAAGATTGGCCTGTTTGCATCTCTAGGTGAAGGCATCCCTGTCCAAGTTCATGTCCAGCCTCTTGAGCCGGGTTTCCAAACTTCGAGCTTTGGTGGCTGACCTCCGTGACAATTACGAAGACCCTGGGGCACAAGCGCTAGGCCCTTAAGAGTGCAAGGTGTTCAACATGGACAAATAGCCTAACCTAGTTGCCTGGGCGCTTTAGGTCGGTCAAGGGGCTCAACGAAGAGTTGGACCAAATGGACAAGCAGTATGATGTGCTGAACGATGAGCTTGCCAAGATGCAGATTAACCCGAGCGACCCAAATGTGTGCCATGGCACGCGCATGGAACTTTTGTAAATTTTGGCTAGCTCTGAATTGCAATCACCGCTCGCTTGCACCAAGGTTGAAAACAGCGCAGGAGAAAATGAACGCGGCCACCTTTGTGTCTTGCCCTCAGAAGGTGCAACATGGCTACAACACCCACAAATCTTACAACGTGTTTCTTCCTCAGGATTTCCAGGGCCGCGGCAACAGAAATCAAGGTTCGGTCAGGGCCTCGTGCCACATCACACAGTGGGGACATATGACAAATTGACTCAAACTGAGGAACAACAAAAAGCACTGGTCAAAGAAGAATGGAAAAAAGGATGTGAAGAAGGCTGATGGTGGCTCAAAGGAAGCCAAGGAGAAGCAGTCAACTTCCGGCAAAGCTGGGAAGCGTAGGGCCAACAAGGGAAAGTCAAAAAAGTGACTTTGGTGGTGGCCAGGCAGCTCTAGCTTACAGAAGCCTGTCTTCCTTTGGCGGGGATTTTTTGGCTTGCCACGATGAGAACAATTGTGGCGTGTGCATACGCAGTTTGAGTAAGCTTCGGGAGGGGGAAACGATCCTGAAGCCATGCGCGAGAAAAAAGGGCATGCGTCAGTTGTGGCAACCTTGACCCTATGCACAGACTAGAAAACACCCCGTGCAACGCTAGCCGAAATGCCAGGGCCTGGACCGGCCTTGCGCTGCCTGGTTGAGGAGGTGGGTGACGGAGTGCCTGGACAGCAGTGGACACAGGTCGAGAAATATTGTTAATTTGCATTACTGTTCTTGGCGTGCCCTTTACCCATGGAAAAATTGTAGAGAGACAGGGGTGAAAATTAGACTAACGCCCAAACCCCGAAAATGTCTTTCAGCGGCCTGCCTTGTGTTGGTGCAGCCTCCATGGCCATGATAGACCTTGGCACAAAGAGCTTTCTCAAAAAAATCATTGAGTTTTCTCTACGCGCTTGATGTTGAAGTGAAACCCGGCAGCTAGCGCAAATGTACTGTTTTCGTTGGTGGGGATTGGTGGTTCTCGTTTGACGCATGCCCGTTTGCCAATGCAGGTATCCTGTTCATCTGCGATACGGACTGCCAGAGCAGTGGTTTCAGAGGATTGCAACAGCAGCCTTCGGCACATTTCTTCCAAGCTTGAGGCAAACTCTGAGAGGGACGTGCAACGTGTGTCTAGCAAGCTTGGTCTTCAACTACCAGTCCCTCTTTCCCAACTGAAAGTTGCTGCTTTGGAACAGCCTATCGACTTCTTAAAGATGAGCGACTGGGCCCGCTTCCTAGCAAGCAGCAACCGTCTATTTACTTTGGCTGGCCTGGGTTCACCTGATCCAGTACTGGAATCTCAGACCTGGAGAAAGTTTTGGAGCAACGTGCAAAAGGTTCAACCAGATTTCCCTCTGTTCCAACGAAACGTTGAATATGGAAGATGCATGGCGCTGCTTGTTCATGGTGATGAAGGCCGAAGCCGGAAAAGGTCTGCCCTGATGGTGGTTGCAGCACATTCGGCATTGGGGCAAGGTATGTCGACCAGCAACAAAAAAAGGAAACGAGACGCTGCTGTTGATAGCCCTGTCCTTCGCCTCAACTATTTAGGCCACACGCTGACAAGCAGATTTCTGCTAAGCGTGTTGCCCAAGAGCCTGTACGACCAGGACAACGATCATGCAGAAGATGGTGTTTTTCAAACCGTTCTCAAGTCCATCACAGAAGACTTCAACGAGCTGTACTGGTCTGGTTTCACTGCGCTAGACGGCGAGAAGAGATATTTGGTTCCTCTCCGAGTAATGGGAGACTGGCCATTCATTCAAAAGGCGGGGTATTTGTCCCGGTCATTCATGAATGTCTCAAAGCAGGCTACTGCAGCCAAAAAAGGCCTTCGCAAGGGAATTTGCCATCGTTGTTTGGCCGACCAAAGCCCTTTCCCATGGGAAAACTTCAGCAATGATAACCCTGCGTGGATTAGTTCGTACAACACGGTGTCGCCATTTTGGAGGGACCCTCCCTTACTTTCTCTTCCGCACGACATGTCCGACGAGCCAGCCTTTTTTAGCTACGACCTTTTCCACGCCTGGCATCTGGGGTCTGGCAAGGAGTTTTTGGGCAGTCTATTGGTGGTTATGTCGGAGACTTACATTGCTTCCAACATCCAGGCACGATTTCAGCTCATGTCAAATGATTTCCTCCATTTTTGCGCGGCGAACAAGTTGCAGCCATACCTACGAAAAATATCTCGCGACACGTGCGGGGCGACAGACTTTCCATCTGGCACATGGAGCAAAGGCTCCACTACCACGTGTATTCTCAAGTGGGTCGTGGCCTGGGGTGAGGCTCACGCTGACGCAGTTTCTGGGGACCGCCTTCTGGTAACAGCGCTTGAGGCGGCGCGCAGCAAGAACAAGTTTCTAAAGCTGGTGTATGAGCAAGAAGCGTTTATTGATGAGCAAACCGCCATTGTTTTGGCGAAGCTGGGCATCCATTTTCTCAAGCAGTACGGAGCGCTGGCGAAACTGAGTTTTCAGCAGGGGCGTGCGCTGTGGCTGCAAAAGCCGAACCTACACCGGTTGCACCATATCTATTTGGATTTAGCTTGGCAGGCTGGTCGCGGTGGACAGGCTTACAATCCACTGATGTTTTCAACTCAGGCTGACGAAGATTTTATTGGCCGCCCGTCAAGGGCATCAAGGCGGGTGACGCCGCGACCCTTTATGGCTACCAAACGCACATTGCAACGGCACTTGATGAGCTCTTACGCAAAATATGTTTCTGCTGGTTTCATCAAAACCCATAGCTGAGGCGCCGGACCGCATCAGACGGAAGCAGTTCTTGGGTTTGAGCCAAAAGCGCAAGTCATTGCTGATTTGAGCGTGATGGCCTTATAAATCTAAAACCTGGAAGTGTTCAAAACCTGGTTTTTGTTGGAAAAACCTGGTTATTTCCAGCTTCCTTGTTTTTTCCAGGTTTTTGATTTATAAGGAGGTGGTTGGTGTGCTTTTGGGTTCCTCTTACCATCCAAAAAGAGAACCCATATTTGAGCAGTGAACAAATGGAAACCACACATGTTTGGGCTTCCCGTACGAGGCAAACCCAAATGGGCAAACCAATGATATACTGCATCGGAGATGATTCCCCAAGCGCATCACAGGCTCAAATGCCCAGTGGCCAGGGGAAAACAAAGGCATCCTTTTTTCGGTGGGTTGACTTTCAAGGGACACCTTCCCAAACAAGCATCCTTTTCTTGGTGGATTGACTTTCGAGGGAAACCCTTTTGGTTGGTTGTGGTGAAAAGCAACCCTTCCCCCCAAAAAGTTTAAAAAGGGCGCTACTGGGCACCTGGGATGAGCTTCAACTCCCATCTCCTGGTTTTCGGAGCTGCCGCAAAGCCTGGCAATCGCGCGGGGGAGGTCGGAGGTCGGATTTCGATCCCCCGCCCGCGGGGGATCCCAAGAAAAGGTCGTTGGCGAGTTTCCCAAAATGAGTCAAACGCAGGGCTGCGGGGGAAATGGAATCCACTTCTGTGATACAACAAAAAGGGCTTCCCAAAGACTGACACTGCATATACGGGGGGGATCCCCTTGTATCACAGAGGTGGGGATAAACCCCTTGATCCCACAACCCTGGTCAAAAGAAAAACTCAGTATTTTTAAGCGGTCTGCCCAAAAGCATGCAAAGAATTCAAAGAGCGGCCGCACCTATATGTGGTTGGGATTCTCCCTTGCTCTTCATCTACCCGCGTTTTCATTGTTGGCGGTTTCTCAAAGGTTCGGACCCCCTTTTGGTGCTTAAAAAGAAATAGTCCTGAAACTCAGGCAGTGAGATGTCTATGCAAATGTCAATATCCTTGGACATTGGCTGAATTTGCCGCGCCGAATTCGTCGGAGATCGCAAGACACGTCACGAAGAGACAACCGTTGACGCAGGCTGCACCTTGACACAACGACATGTCAAACATCAGAAAGAAACTCATGATGTTAATATCTGTCCCGCATCAACAATTACATGCGCCCTACATATCCCTACATAGTCCAGTGGTGATACTACTCCATGAATATCAATCGTTGTCACAACAAACCAGATTTCACCAACCACTGACAAGCAATCAAATGTCATTGACAACAGTACATGTCAGTGACCCTGCTTGAAAAAGGAAACCCTTCTTGGTGCTTTGACAAGTTGTTAACAGGGAAACCGCCAAACAAGAGGGGCACGTTCGAGCTGCCCTCATGTCCGAAGCTCACGCTTTGCGGCCGAGCAACTCCTCGAAAGTGCCCTGCACAGCACGGTCGATGAGCCTGCAGTCAGCTGACACCGGCAAGCGTTGCAACTCAGTCGCGGCATGTCTTTGGTCATTGTTGATAGTACAAAGAGTGCGCTCCCTTTGGCCTGGAGACAACTCGAAAGCTCCCAGCCGCACGTGATGGAAGCTTGCACAGTCAGTCTCCCAGTGACCCGCCTATTCCTCTCATCGTCGTCTGGAAACCTTATCGTGGGCGGTTGGCAAGACTGGCCGTATCAAAGTGATTCGCTAAAACGGGCAGGTAGGCCTCTCATTGAGAAGGCTGTATGCGTGTGTGCGGTTTAGGAGGCTACACTCATGCGTCGGTTGAGTCTGCAAGCCTCATCTTTACCCGTGAAACATAGGCCATGCACCTTGAAAACAGCAAACACACGAAGCCCCTCAAGTTCACTTTAGCTGCCATAAATATTTGCCAAATAATGAACTACTAAAGCCAGCCGAGGATGAATGAGGACGTTTGCCGCGCTCCGGATGCAAGCACAGCATGACACAGCACAGCATGACACAGTGTAAATCGACATTTGCCACAGCAGTTATGGACAGGAGCAAGTTTATAAAATCCAAGATAATCCCGCATGTCCGTCCCAAACGGACCATAGAACAGCTTCCCTCCAATTGGTGGTTTGGAGCCCTGTGGTTTGCCCCAACAAAAGAGACCAATCCAAACCAACTAAGGGTCACCTGAATATATACACTGGACACTTTGACCGCCCCTGTGGAGACAACCCCGGTGCCAAGATGCTCGGGCAGCACGTCGTCCAAGAGTCTTGTCAAGTCCTGCTTTGCGACCAAACGACCTAGAAGAAAAGACCTATGGTTTTAGAACCTTCTTAGGGGGTTCGTAGAATTCGGAATCCTCTGGGTCTTCAACGCCTTTTTCAGTTTAGACTCTTATTTCCACCAGCCGCCACCCGCCAAAAAGGGCGAATACACGTGTAAAACTCTGGCTTTGCACAGCTGGGATACATTGCAAAACAAATCAACCTGGAGTCTCCATGACCCTTAAAAAGTGGTTGGTCATTATCCAACATGGGGTCATGGACCCATGTTTAAAGGATCAGAAGGAGACTCCAGGAAGACACAACCTAGCCAGCCACGAGTCCAACCTCGAATCACTAATCTCTCTTTTTTAGCCCCCTGGCTTGGGGACTGGACACCCTATGTGAGACCTCCCCGATTTCTCCGTCAAGGCTGCCTGAACTATCTCCAAGTGCTTGGACCAGGGTGCTGCAACCTGGATTTTTTCCAGGTCGCTTGGGCAGGTGAGAAAAAGGCAGCAAAGCATCGCAAAGTAGACGAGCCAAGGGAAGCTTGGTGAAGTGTGGTGACTTGGATCTACACAGTGCGGCAGGGAATGCGTCATGAGGGGTACCTTGACTAAACATGACACAAAAAGGTCAACCCAAAAGGTCAAAAGATCGGCTTTGAACAACCACTATGGCTCAACCGGAGCGTTTCCCTTTGGGGTGAGCATCACATGGGACACCCGTTCAAACATGGAATGCACCGGGCGTAACCTGCTCAACGCCGCAGCCAGCCCCGGTGAAGTCCTGCTTGGACACGGAGCCCGTGAGCTCCGAGCTATACAAGCGGAAGAGAAAACCTCGATGACTGCAACTGCGGATGGGAATGGGGAGTTGAGGCTAGGCCCCAAAGTGGGGGAACCCCAAAATGGGTCGGGGACTGACGGTAAATGGGATAGGGGTAACTTCCATGTCCGTTCTTTCCAGGGATCCGAGTCTTTCTAGAAAACCACCAAAAACCCCGGGGGAAATGGCTAGTTTTTAAAAAGAAGGATGGCTGAAAAGAATGGGGAATCAACCACTCAAAAAATGGGAAGCCGAGGTGATGTGGCTCTGGTTGTCCAACATGGGGTAACCCCAAAATGGGTTGGGGCCACTGGTAAATCGAAACATGGACGAAAACCGGCCCATATCCTGGTGGTTAAAATTTGACCCATACCCAAAACTCATATCCGAACCACAGGCCACATGCTTTGATCCCCAAGAAGGCATAGGCACTTGCAAACCCGCAGTGTCCGGCTTTATCCCCAATTTCGAAGGTCCCTCTGCTGGGAAACACCACTCATCCCTCTCCCCACTGCCCAAAGCAACATATGACTGGTGTTCTTCAGCAAAAAAGATCGCCCGCTTGAGCTTCCTTGAGGCAAGATCCCGACAGAGGGACTCCCGCAACTCATGAAGCAATTAGAACCAATCCGTTACATGACACACCGCTTGGGGCTTGCCAAACGTTAACCTGCCACAAATGCGGTCTGCGCGGGGGTGCCTCCCTTTCCAGGGCAACGGGTTGGATCTGCAAAGCGTGGCTCTCCAGTCGCCAAAGCAACCGATGATCAGTAGCTGTGTCAGTACCAGCTACCATTGCAAATGATTTGCCTTGTCAAGAGGATCGCAGTTTGCCAAAACCCTCCAAACCGTATATCTCCGTGCAAAACAAAAAAAAGTATGCGTTTGAAGCCCCGCCGAAAAGGGCCTGCTCTTGAATGTCATTTTGACAACCAACACAAGATGAACCAATGGATTTTTCGCAGCACCTGCCGCCAATGGAATGCAGTTGGAAGTGGCTACTTTAGCCTGCCATTCAGTCAAACTCACCACACTGAAAGGGGCCTCTGGTTCCAGCCACCTACTATGGACAAAATTATGCACCAGTTGGGAAGAAAGAAACCCTCTGAATAGTACAACACCTACGAACTGGTGCACATCCACAACAAAGGCGGCCCTTTTTGGATGGGTGTACCGGAAACCAAAATCAGACCAACCACCACAATGGCTGGAAAGGGGAGCCCTTACGCAGCCGAAAACACATACTAAGGATTGCCTTGAACAGCCAAAAAAAAACCATGAACAGCTGTGTTTCTTGAGGGTGCCCTTTCTCCCCCTGCAAGGGCAACCAAAAGGAACAGGGTCCAAATCCCTATGTAGACACATACCCATGAACAACTGCACTCGTAGGTGTCTTTTTAGAAAACTGGCCGGGTTTCCTTGGCAAACCGGGCATAAAACCCATCCAAACCGGTGGAACCCATCTATTTCGAACCAAACCAACCGATCAAAAGGACTTCGCTTCCGGAAAAAGAAAAGAACAAACAACTCGGTTGCTTTCTGCTCCGACTGCTAGAAGTGTTTTTTTTGTTTTTTGTTTTATTAAACTTTTAGTGGTTTAATGGAACATTCATGATTAATGGAACATGAGTTAGCCAAAAGTTGTCCAGTCCTAACATCCCTTGGCAAAATGCACCAAAGAAAAGCTTCCAAGGTCTCGGCGCATCTTGTCGTCCAGCGCGGCACGCTCACTAAACACACCTCGAGCTTGGGGGGGAGGTGGGGGGTGGGGTTGGGGGTGGAAGTACAAAACAAACGTGGCCGGTTTCATGCTGATTTGGGGGGTGTTAGAACATAGAGAGCAGGTTTTGGATGGATTTAGTAAAGGAACACTGGAAACTCAGATGCTCAGGGACGCTCTTTGGGGAAGCCATTTAACTTGCCTTCAACAGGAACAGACATGGGGACCCTGATGGTTGGTTTGCTCAAAGTGCACCTTTCATATCCAGTCACCGGCAACTGGGCCAAAATGGCACGCAGGCCTTGGGGGAACCAGCCTTCAATTTGTTTGCGCTACATTTGGTTTCCAGTCACGCGTGGCAAAACACCTTTGAAACCAACATCATTCAAAACAAATGGCCATGGGTCAAAATCCCGTATTCCCAGTAAACATCCCAATCCCCACTAAAGTAGACTAAAATGGGCGGCGCACCTACCCCAAAATGGTACCATTGTTTTGACCCACAGCCAATTGGCAAAACACACAACATAAACACAGTACTGCAAGCAGAAAAGGGAACAAATAAAGCCTGAAAGAAAGCAATGCAACAACCGGCCATGTTTGTTTGATGACTTGGTACACTTGTGAGGTTAAGGAAAGCTTCATTTGTGGGTCTGAATCTCTGTTTTCACACACACCCCTTTGCGAGCAAATGAAAGCTGAGAGCTGCATGTCTCCGGCCTTGGCTGTGGAAAATTCTAGGGGTGGATCCCCCACTCTTTTCAACCATCGCTCTTTTAAAAAACCGGCGGGTTTCCCTGGGTTTCGAGGGTTTCGTGAAAAGAAGGATCCCTGGAGAGAACCCCTAGAAAAATCGCCACTTACTCAATATCAAAGTGGGGTCCCCGTCCCATCACAACTTCGGCACGCTCAAGGTATCACAGAAAGTGGAGAAAAAAGCCAATTTGGGTTTGACCCCGGAAAAAAGGCTTCCCTTTTGGTTTTCCTTGAAACCAACCCCAAAAGGGTAGCCCAAAAGATGGGCTTGGCCGTAATGCCTGCACTACAAATACAAAGCGGACCCACGCGGATTCGTAACCCAATGCAAAGATTCAGGGTTACCTTTGACAAATGAACCGCCCAGCAAAACAAACAACTACATAAGAAACACAAACAGAAAAGCAAAGAAAACAGCAATTTCACGCCCATGTCCCACAGCCATCGCTTCCCCCTAATACTAGATATGTTTCCCCCTACTATCCAGTAACAAACAAAAATTATCCCCCCTCCAAAAAAAATACAGAAAATAATTGTATCCCCCCAAATATCAATTAAACAATAAATATATTCCCCGCCAACAAAAACAGGTAAATAAATATACTTCCCCCCTAAATATACTTCCCCAAATAAATATACTCCAGTAACAATAAATTAGCCGGGTTGTATTTTCTTAGGTAGAAGTGATCCAAATGGGCCCAATTTCCCCCATCTCACCGAGCTGCTCAAGGCCGAGGCGAGAATCACCTGAGTCCCAACGTGTCGGGTCAAACCCTCAAGGAGCCCAGGAAAGGCCACGAAAAGAGTAACTCAGTTGCCCAAAGGCCCCAGAAATCAAAAGACCTTTTGGAACCCTTGACTAAAGATGGACCAAACCAGGAAAACCAAAAGCTCAAAAAAGTGAGGTAAGGACCTGCTCTAACTTGATGTGTTTTGTTTTTTTCTTCTGACGAGTTACCCATTGTCTAGTTTGAGCTCATGGTTTTTAAATGGCGGTTTCCAACTTGAAGTTACCCATTCTAGGTGGAACTGAAAGCACTGGGTATCCCTCTTGAACAGGGCGCCTCGCCGGGAAGTTCTGTCTTTCCTTTCCATGGAAATCAACAGGAGGCGACTCACAACACAGCCAATTTTGGTAGGGAATGTGATTTTGGGATCGTACATCTGGAGGTGCACTGCTATTTTTGAAGGAAGGCACATGCCATCTCAGCTTCCGCGTCCTTGCACGCCGGATCTTTAGCTCAAGTTGGATGATGGCCTCCCTTCCTGGAAGCCTTTGAGGTTTCCTGTCTAGGCTTCCGAGTCTCACCCGAAACACCTGAAATGGGACTCCAAACCAGAAAGCCGTCTCTCTCGATTCAGCGACTATGTCAGAGGCAGGCCACACTTCAGACAGAATCAGGGGGCATTTTGGAAGCCAGCCTCCTCACGCAAGAATTCTACCAAGCAGCGCGTTAAGAGCAGCCAGCCCGCAGCGATGCGCAATTCGCCGGAAGACTCCGTTTGACCCACCAGCGGTAGCCAGGGATGTTCTTTTCGCTTTTCGTAGTCTGCCGTCTCTAAAGGATCAATGAAATCACTGGATACGGGTATGGGCACCCAACAATGGCGGGTTGCCTCTTTAAATTGCCAGCACAAAACGGGAGAATAGGGAACCCTCCCTCCAACAATCACGGAAGCTGTCAGGAGGATTCTGGCAAACTACATTTTTTTAGGGAACCCCTCTGTCCACTTCGATGGCTAATAGAAAAATGGCACCTTGAAAAAGTGGTTGTATGGTTGCCCGGCCAATCTTGTTTTCTGTCATGATGCATCCAGTGCTCCCCAGGCCGCAACCATCGAACCGTTCGACAGAGACCGAGCAGCAAAGTCGATCTCCTCCGGCAACTTCCTGGGTTCGAAGCAATGCCAAAGAGCAAAAAAGCAAACGTGAGAGGCTGTGTCCTTCTGGCATCTGTTGATGGCCCATTTGGGCTGCACTAAAACTAGGCTAGAATTAGGACCCCAGCAAAAAAACACTATCTTTTTTGCCTCGTTAGTGGAAAACAATGGGACCCCAAAACCGCAAAAAAAAAGAGCTAATTCTGAGGCGCTTTTGTGAGATTCAAATACTTTTGGAGAAGACCCCAGCTTTGGCCTTCAAACTAGGTGACTTGTGCTGGTTTGGAGGTGCAGTACCGGGATCCCCCATTTGGTTTACAGAAGCAAAGGTCCAAATCCTCAGGCCACCCATCCAAACCAAGAAATGGGAAGTGCTTTATTTCAAACACAACACGTAACCCAAGAATCGTCGGATCAAATCTACACAAATCAACTGACACACCCAAACTGTGCCAACTAACCTACTCTTCAAACAAAGGCCGGCCGCCACGTACATGGCCCGCCGTTTCATCGCTCAACGAGGAACGTTTCTTTGGCGAGGCGCAAAGCAGAGATCATCCGATCCTGCAAAGGGCCCTCAAAGTAGGGCAACTCCTCGATGATCTTCTCCTCAGTGGCTCCACGGGACTCGACGGGACTCGACGTGTTTGCTTTTTGTTTTTTTCCCGCGGACAACACGCCGACCTGAGAGATTCTAAATATGGGGGGAGGTAGAAAAGTGGCCAAGGGGCAGATTTTGAAGGCCATAGGTGGAAAGAAACACATGAAAGGTGAGTCAGATAAGTCGTTGAAAGCCCGACGCCATCAAAGACCGGCCCTCATATGCTGTTGCTCGACATGTGTGTGTGTAGAAATCACTTAGAACCCATGCAAATGAAGGGGTGTGTGGGATATCCTTGTGTTCATGTTGGTCTGGTGTTATTTCATGTCTGGGCTAGGTTGGGTCTACGTTGGCTGCCAGGCTCCCTTTTGACTTGGGGCCACTGCGAAACACCAGGCAGAATTGGCCATGTACTCTCAAGTTTTTGGAGTGGGCGACCTTGTGTGTCGGGTACAAGACCAATCATCCATTGATTTGATCTGCTTCGCTTTGGTAGGTAACAAGTTAGTTCTGCCCATACAAGCAAACCCGCACGTGGATGTTCTTGAATCTCGTGGACTTTCTTGAATCTTATGTAATTGTCCTTTGCAAGCTTAAAAACTAGCTGTTATGGGATCCAGGTGGGAGATCATGCTTTCTTGGCAGCTCTCGAGAACTTGTAGGGCCGCACCACGCACTGCGAAGGGTGCTGAATGTGTTTCCAGAACAATCCATGGCACTGGTGAATGAATTGAAACAAAACACAGAAACAAGGTACTGCAAGCAGAATCCACAATCTTCAACCCAACGAACCTCAAAGGACATCCATTACAGGATGCTGGAAAAAGCTTCTGCTTTTGCTTCACCCACAAGTCACGGGACACAGGGGATCGACAACTCAATGCTCATGCGTGCCCTGGTGAAAGCTCGAATCAGTGGGCTACCGTCATGGTAGCCTCTAGCGGAACCTTTGTGGTGATCCTCCAAAACGCATACGAAGGAATGGGTTCATGCCCATCCCCACCAACTCCGGGAATCCCGACAAAAAGTCGAGGTTGTGACAAAGGGCACAAGTTCATGAAGCGCATGGCCAGTGATGTCCGTGGTTGCAACGGATCAAGTCGAAGCTCAACGGGCTGGTGAAACCTGCTTCATGATGCTGCTGGTGGTTTGCTTGGGCGTTGCCAACTTGCCAACTCACTCAGCTGACCATCCACTCTCTCCCATGACCAATCAGAGAAAAACGAGCGCCCCAACCTCCCACTTAACTCAGGTCTTGATCTATCTCCCTGCAAGCATCAGGGCACCCTCCATAAGGCTTTGTACCGGCCCTTTTGAGTGGCTCCGGACTCCCAAAACGTGGAACTGCCGGAGATACGCACAAATCACCGCAGACTTCGTTCTTCGGAGATTAAAAAAAAAACTACCCTTCACTATCGGCTTTTGGCCCCAAGCAACAATCGTTGGTGTTCATCTCTACCTAAAACTTGGTGAAGCCTCACCCACCCAAAACGCTTGGTGAACCCTCAGATCACCTCCCGCTGGCTCATGGGACACCACCCCCCCCCCCGCCTCGCCGGTTTGTGCTTTTGGGAGGCCCCATTTTGGCCACCATATGGGTGGCTCGTCTTCTTTTTAGGTCGCGCCCTCCCCAAACTGATGTTTGGTTTCCCTTCACAACCACCAAAACAAAGCAATGCAGTATCCAAAAAAGGAAACCCATGGCCCATATCTCTTTTGGGGGGTACAGGATACCATCAGCCTCTTTTTGTTTTGGGTACCCGCACCCAGACCACCCAGACCTGGCCCTGGCCGCCAAGTGAGCCGCGGGCTCCGAGGCCCGGGCGGCGGAGTCGTGAGACTCGCCCTCCGTGACCGTCATGAAGGTGAAGTACCTGGGCCGCCCCAAGGAAGGCTCCAGAACCGGCGCTTGAGTTGGGGTGCTCTCGCCAAACAAATGAATTGCAACTCATGAGGAGAAAAGGCAAGACTGTTGGGCTGCTCTCGCAAGATGGTGGGACACTATTTATTAGACATGAATCTTTTATGATCTCATATCGCCCCAACTTGTGTGACGTGCCTTCTTTAAGGAGATCCTGTTCGCATTGGCTTTTACGTGGGCAAAATGAAGGCCACGATTTTGGGGGTTCATTGATTTCGACATATGCGCGAATTGACTGTCAAATGGCCCTCAATCATGTTGACCCTGGACCAATAACCCCCCCCCACTTGCTGCGGGGTGTCCCAATCCCATGACTTCCCGCTCCCGGATATATGTCAAGTCATGCGTTTGTTGCGCCCCGAAACAAATGTGAAAAGGCAACACCAAAACAAAACGAGAACAGAACAAATCAGGGTTCCCTTCTTTGCTCGCCTGGTAATTGCAACATCTCAGTGGTTGGGGGAGGAGATTTGGGTTTAAGTCCACCTGGTACAATGAGCACAAAAACTGTTGACTTTTGGTTCTACAAACATGGTTGCACAGGTCGCAGTCCTTACTACAATCCGAATTAGACCAGGTAGTAGAACCGCGTGCTGCCGTCCAGCTTTTGGGTGGGCGCTCATAACTCAGCCGGGCAAAATTGATCCAGGGCGCAGTCGGGCAATCTCGGCGCGCGAGAGCCCTGTCCGGCAGCATAGCGCCTGGGGGCGGACGGTCGCATGGTACTTAGACCTGGGGAGATGCGAGATTTTCTTGGAAGATAATGTTATTTGGGTCACGCACAAACCTCGAATCGTGAGGTTGCAGGAGCCTAGCTTATCCTGGTCTCGCAAGAGACCAGAAGTAGAAATGCGCGAACAGCATCAGCTTGAAGACGTGTGAGCGATTTGCTCGTGGCTGTGGGGATAGAAAACTGGGCCAACGGGCAATGGCCATTGGCAACGCCATCATCCGGTCTCCCCCAGAAAGGGCACCGCTGCAATACTGACCCCTTCAAAAGAAAGGAAAGCTTGCCGGTTCTCAGCACGGAAGGATGGAATTCCCCCTATAAATCATCTATGGGGTTCCTGTGGGGGAATCCATTTCCGGTTTATTCCCAACACCCGGAACGGTCCTTCCCTACCTATCGCACCGGCAAGTTTGGGACAACTGATACCAAGAAGTGCACAGCTTGATTCTCTCTCTCTCCCTCTCTCTCCTAATTGACAGCATCAGCAAGGACCAAGTGGAAGTCGGAGCTTGTGTGTCGTTCTTGTGATAGGGATGTCCTTGGAATCCATCCTGCGAAGGCGTGCTTTCCTTCAGACGCAAAATCCGGAATCCATACCCAGGGCATCTCGGCTGCAAATGCTCGCGTAGCCCCCTATGTGTGCCTACGTACTATGTATTTTCGTTCCTCTGTTTGACATATACGCGAATACTCTGGAGCACTTGATTCCGTGGACTAGGACAAGCTCATGATTAGCCCTTGATTCGTCAGGTCATAAGGTGTCAAAAAGGTCACAGTTCCTGATGAGTCAGCCCTTGGATTCCCAATCAACCTGCATCTTGGCCCAATTTCAACTCGCCTCGAAATCCTCGCTGGAAAGCTTGCGCGCATTGGGCGGGTGCGCCTCAAGCAAACTGCGAGCCAGCAGTGTGTATACTGGAACCCGACGGATGGACAAATTCAACAAAACCTAAGAAACCCTGGAATGTTGATCCCTGCACCCCAGGGTTTCCCCCTTGGTTTCAAAGTGGTGCAGCACTTGGTTGGCTTAAACGGAAACCCCATGGTTGGTAAGAGTAGTGGGGATACAGGAGGATTTCCAGGCCTTTTAGAATGCGATGAGTGGCCACGGATTTGTCCCCGTCTCCGAGAAGGCCTCTACCTTGCTTCTTGTTTGAGCATGAGCAGCCGGGCACCGCCGTTTAAAAACAAGTACGGGGACTCCTTCGCTTTTCCCGCCCCCATCGTGTGTATTGGCTTGCATGGTTGCCTGTTGGTTTATGAGCCCCCAGAAAACAGGTTGGGGGTCCAACAATGCTGTAGATGGAACCCTCGCAGAAATCGAGTATATCTCAAGGATGAGTTGCATCTGTCGCTTGCTGCCACTTCTGCGCTGCTTCGGTTCTAGATATCTCTCAATCCCTCGAAGGAGGCTCTTGTACCTGGAGTCTCCATGACCCTTCAAAAATGGGTCCATGACCCCGCGCATTTGGGCAATGACCAACCATGTTTTTACGGGTCATGGAGACTCCAGGTATTTTCATTTTGTTTGCCTCTCCCCACGGCAAGGGCAACTCACCTAGCTTGTTTCGCTGAAAGGTGGGAAGTGTCTGACCCGGCAAGGTCACACCATCCCACATTCACCGAGTCCCTGACATTTCGCTTGGCATTCTGCGCCAATGTGTGGCCCCTGCTTCGGGTCAAGGGAAACTCGAGACTTGTTAGGTTCGTTCCAAATATAGTCTGTCACTTTTCAAGCCAAACCTGAGTCGCAAGGGTCCACACAAACTTTGGACGAACCTTTTCAGGGCACATCTCCGAACCAACAAAACTGCCCCGCCCGTGAGAAGAACGAGAGCGGAGGCCGGCCAGCCTTGGCGAGCTGTCGCGCGGCGATCATCCGCCCCAGGAACTTCATGCCCAGAAAGAGCACGCCCCTCGGCTTTTTGGGCGCTGGTGCGGGCGGGGTGGGGCTGAGTGTGGTGACAGGGGTAAAAAAAGCGCGCGCCCAAAAATTCGGAAGTTGTTGGGGGGATGGGGCTGGGGAGGGGGCTGGTCCCGGTGTGTCTGACAGGAGCGCCCAAAACCTCGATGGCTCAGGTAGAAGCATCTACCGCAATGGCCGGAAGGTAGTCTTGGGCGCTTGATCGACAGACACAAGAAACAAACCATTCCCAGACATTCCCTTCATACCTAAGGAGGTATCAAAAAAACCTCTTTTTTTTTACCCTCCAAAGCCCTCAGGAGGTACCAAGAAAACCCTCTGGGATTTGGGCTGGCAATATGGCGCGATGTTCTGAAAAATGCCGACATGGCCCAACCAAACCAAGGTTTGTAGGATCAAGGAAGGCCCGACAGGCCAGCTTTTCTGGGACCAAGCCAAACCGAAGCTCAAAAAAAGGGCTTGGCGCTTTCGTGTTTTTTTATCCATGCATGAACGGACCGGCTGTTTTTGTTAAGCCAACAGGTGAAAAGACATCTCGACCGCCCCTTTTGCTCTGAACCCCCTCAGCCTAAGATGGTTTTATCTTCTGCTTGCTTGTGGTACATGTGTTTTCATCTTGAAGCTGCAGAGTATGTCAAGAAAGAACAAATCAGGTCCTGGGAACATAGTAAACAGGCTCCCTTCTCGAACGCTTTCCGAAATGCTGGATCTCTTCCCTCAGGAGATGCCGGGGTTTGGTCTTGAAAAACATGTCCAGTCAAACCAAGCAATCCACAAGAAGCCAAACAGGGCAACCAAAGGTCATTGCTTTGGAGTGCACCCGAAGTGTGCACAACTGGCCAAGCAAGACAAGTGTTGCCATATTCCCGCTAGTGATGAACTCCCTTTGAAAACCAACAGGGGGAAATAAACAAAGGTTCTTAAGCAAATGACATCCATGATATGTTTCCCATCCGAGGCAACACAAAGTATTTCCTGGCGCCAGAGACACAGAAATGTGGTCGGTGAGCCTTGAACGAGGACCCGTCAACAAAAAATGCAAAAAAAATCTTCCTCCGGAACCAGTTCTCCATGGCTGATAGCCCTTCCGCTTAAACAAACCCCCCAAAAAAAGGGGAGCCAACTCCAACGACGAAAGTGTAGAGGCCCCGACGCAGCGACCACAAAGACAGTGATGGTGCCATATAGCCTCAGGCTCTGGCAGATTGCTCGGGTTTCCTTGCTAGCCCGTGTAAAGGGAGAATGGTGCAAGCAACAGATTTCTCAACCGTTGCTGAACTGGTTGGACCATGGCTCCTTAAATTTTGAAGGTCGTCCAAACAACTAAACCTTTGTCCACCCCCCGCAAGGGTTCAAATCAACAACAAAAACTACGTTCCCCCTGCAAAGCGTTGGGAAAATCAAATCCTAAAGGAGCTTTAACAAACAGTCCGTCCTATCTTTCTCTACAATAGGTTCCATGTCCAACCCGAATCACTGAATCCACCAGTACCGCAATTGGACCACTTACATTGGAGGGCTTAGAAGTGTTTCCATGAGCTGCCACATTGGGTGAATGCACTTTGTACCTGTTTGTTGGCTAAATGGAAATCTCCACTAAAACCCTAAAAGGATAAAAGTTACGGGGATGGCTGGGAGCCACCAAGTACCCTTTCTTGGTCTTGCTTTGGGAAGCCTCCGGCCTCCAGTTGCTGGCTCAAGTGCCCTGGAAAAATATGGTCCCTTTCCAGTGATCGATTCCCTGAAAACCAGGAGAAAAAACACAAATCAAAAGCAGTCTTCCTGTTTCAGAAAATGCAGGTGTATGTTCCCCTGGTTTTCAATTGGAATCGATCACTACTGGAATATATGGGTGTGTCCTTTTTTTGAGGGCCCCTCCTTGTTAGGTGGATTTGAAGGGAAACCCAATTGGAAACCAATTTGGCGAGTCCCTAAAAAAGACACACCCAGACTGCACGTTTGTCTTCACCCATGGATCAAAGGACCACTCCCCCCCCCGCCGCATCCAAGCGCCCAGGCCAGGGCTCCGTAAAGGCCAGGTCCACCCAGCTCGACATGGCGCGCTTTAGGCGCTGGGCTTACGGAAGGCCACGAAAGCGATGGACTCCACCGACTGAAAATCGATGGATACTGGTGAGGGAAGGATCCCACCTGTCCTGGTAGCAAGGGAAAAGGGTGGGGATATATCTTCGGGTGAAGTCGGAAAAGTGGCAGCCTGGGCGTAAAGGTTATTTTTTGGAGTCAAAAGTTCAGCGGACTGCAAATGGTGGCTTGAGCGGACTGGACATGAGCCTGGGAAGAAGATTTGCCTTGATGAATCAGCCGAACTTGCAACTGTTTCCGTTGCAGCCGCTGCAAGTTTTGCAGAGGTAGATGCATATCATTCATGTCGGATTGATCGGACATGATCGGACAGCATCCATGCTCGTCTCCTGAGCTCTGCTCAGATGCCCAGGTTCAAGGGGAACCCTTCCCCCCAAAAAAATATATATAAAAAAGGCGGCTGGGTGGTTTTGGATGCAGTATTCGATCCGACTTGCCAAAACGGGTTCCTAATTAGCTCGAGCCCAATCTGACAACACGCATGCGTATCATTTGGCTCCTTGGAGCATACCTCGACCCGCGGTGTCGACACCGCGGGTCGGATGATGTGCGCGGCTCAACCCAAAGGAGCCGCAAGTGAACCAGTCCAAACCTAGTGCCTTATTGAAAATGAAGTATTGGATCCCCCTGTCTTGTTGCAAGAGGCACGCGTGTGCCTTTTCTATAGAACACGTCCAACCCCATATACCTAACACAAATAGCGCGGGTATCAAGATAACAGCGTCTGCATGTCTTTGTGGGAGTACCCTATGTTTGCCATGCTTTTTTTGTATGTCCAAAACACCAATGAGACGCCGCGCTCTAAACTCAACGGAGGTAACTAACTTTGACGGCGCCTCATATGATGTGCTTAGTGAGCGGCCAACACCAGTTTCGGAAACCGACAAACAACTAACTGTTGCTTCCATTTGCAGCAGAAACTTGGAGCAGCCAACCGCCCCCACGGCAAAAGGTGCAAGCAGGCAACGGGGTCTTTTACTAGCTGAGAACTTGGCTGTCACTGCTGCAACGCACTGCGTCTGTCAGTTTGTGCGCTTGTTCTGTTGCAACTGTGGTAGCGAAGTGGTGGGGGACGGTTGGGTGGCTACCCTTTCTCGCCTGTGTGCAAAAACTTGCTCCAATCTCCAGGCTGCACAAGTTGCCAAATTTGGCCATAGAGATGCTCTTTTTCTGGCCAATCGCCATGTTACATACATGAGCTCATTTCAGCCCCTTGGGTGAATCACGTGGCAGCGATGGGCCGTCTGTGGCACGGCCAACGTTGTGGTTCCTGTCGTCTGCTGGCGCCGGGGATACCAAATCCCGACTGCCCCATTCCCCAAGCCTTCGCCGTGCGAGACGGTGACTGCCCGCTTGCAAGACGCGAAAGTTCAGCTGCGACAATTGGAATGCCGCAGCGCCTCCTCCAGCCAGTCAAACATTGCCAGCATTGCTGAGTTGAGGCCCACATGTGAAGATCTCTGCCTTGCTGGGGAGCTGCAACGGCAGCTCCGAGTCCTCAGAAGGCGTGCAAGGATGAGGCGTCAGCTGCTGCACCTTCTTAGTCTTAGCGCTTCTGCAATGGCACAGCACAGACAACAGCTTGGAAAGCTTTTCTGGGCAAAGCCACACCACGGGCTGCCGGACTTTACCCGATCCCATCGCCAACCTATGAGGCTCATCAGCTCGCAGACAATGGCGTGCGCCTGGCCTGCTGGCCCAGCAATATGCCGAGAAGCACTTGGGCCATGTGGCACAAAATTGAACGGGGTTGCTTTGTTTCCGAAGGCTCCCCAAAGGCCGAATCTATTGCACGCTGTGACGCTGTGGGACCAAGCCAGAGCGGATCCAGCCGAAATTGCATTTCCCAGTCAACGTGCAACCGGCGAAAGCCAGCACTGGGAGGAAAACAGCTCATGCGCGAATGACCGCGACGTGAGCCGTGGTGAGATCCTTGGGCGAAAACCTCTCGGGCAACGCCTTTTGCTCCCGCCTCGTTGCGTTTGCAACAAAAAACGCCAGTGGGTGGAACCTAGTCGGCAGGATGTCCCATTTCGCCACCATGGTTGCACCCATGTGGCTGGCATGGGGGGCGGGGCAACTGCAGCGTGCTCATTTTCTCGAACTCATGCGTCCCCAAGCTCACAGGGATCAATGGCCCCCCGCCGGCTGAACCCGACTGGCAAAGGCTTGGCCCAATTTGGCACGCAGCCTGCCCCGCAAAGGCAACTCCAGCCGGCTGGATGGCAACATAGCCAGCCAAATTCGCGGGCACCTTGAGGCCTTGCCCTGAGGATGGTTCGCAGCCCGGCTGTGGCGCTGCCCGCAACCCGGGAAATCGCGCTCGTGGCCTCCCTACACCAGCTCTTCTTGCAACCCCCGCTGAGCCCCTCTGCCACAAATTTGGTCAAGGTGTCCCAGAATGCTCTCGCTGCCAGGACGCTGACCATGCACATTGCCAGCACTGAGCTGTGGCATGGGCAAGCCATTTCGCTTGGCAACATTGCGCACCACCCGGGCCATGCGCGGTGAAAGCCGCTCATCTTCAGCTGCTGCCATGATTCTGACGGTGTTGAGGGTGGCGGTGGGTAAACAACATGCCCTGCCCGCTTCAAACCAGCGGCTGCGGGATATGGTGCCATGCCTTGGTGCACATGCAGGCTCTCTAAGCCGGCCCCTCCTACTATGGTAGGAGAGCATCCACATCGATCCGTGAACACCAGTTACCTTCAAACGCAATAGGGGGAGAGCAGCAACTCCAAAAGGGCAAAACAGCAAACGTCCTCGCTGGCAACGAATGACTTGAATTATAGAGATTTATAGGGATCATTGCGGCGACTTCAAATCCGGCCGTCCTGCCCAAGCCCAGTAGGTTCGCCAGCGCGGCGAAAACGTCAGTGCCTTCTGGAAACTCGGGTCTCAACATGCTGTGGACGACCTAACGGATGAACCCCCGTGAATAATCGGATAAACCACCAAACTGTTGCGAAGTGGATTTTGTCCACAGTGAGGCACGCCTTTTGGATTGTTTTGCAGGGAAACCAAAAGGAGACCAAGCCCCTAAATTGGAGATCCCACTAGTTCACCCTTTTGAATATTGGTCCACTTTGTTGCATGTGGGGTTTGCAAACCCCTTTTCCCCAGAAAACAAAGTTCCTTTGGTCCCCGGAAAAGAAGTAAACACGTTCGCCATTTGGGACGGGTTTTTTGGGCTCCAGACGGCCAGGGGACCATAAAAAAGAAACCCCTCCGGCCCGGGATAGGCGAACTCCCGGGAATGGGTCCATCACAGAAAAATCGTGCGCCTGTGTTGTTTAGTCTTTAGTTCTTTGCAAATGCTCTCCGCAATTTGTCTAAGCAGTGATTCTGTTTGCTGCACGTGGACTGAACTCACCAACGAGGCCAACAGGCGTCACCTTGGCATATGGCTGTGGGTCAAAACCAATGGTACCATTTTTCGGGTAGGTGCACCACCCATTTTTGTCCATTTTAGTGGGGGTACGGGATTTGACCCATGGCCATACAGGGATCCTTACATTATACACCTGAACATTTCCTTGTAAATTGTGTTTTTTATTTATGTTGGTGGAAAAAGCCATGTTAAAAGCCATGTTTCAAATGGTTGCAAAATGTATCTTTTAAGGACCCCTGCCACATGGAAGAAGTTTTTCTCGAAGCAAACCGGCGAAGGCGTGGGAACGCCTAATGTGCCCAGCCCTCCGGCGGCCATGGGAAGAAGGGCGCTCGAATTTGGGGTAGTTGATTTGATTGGGACACGTCGAAGCAAAAAGACAAAGACTAATACCTGGAGTCTCCATGACTCTTTAAAAATAAGGTCATCCCATTTATTTTGAGGGTAATGCCCCATTCTTCAAAGGTCGGGGAGACTCCAGGTGAAGCCACTAGAAGTCTGGGTATGGCAAGCTACTAAAAGGACTTTTGCAGCGGCCAACAGCACAGCATCGGCCATGGTGCAGGTTGCGCTTGGGAGGAAATGCACTTCCTTGGTTGATTTGTTATAGGAAACCAAGAGGAATGCAACCATTCCAGACTTTAGGGATGAAGAAAACTTGGCTGTTTCCATGTGGTTCCCCACTTCTTGTTCAACCTCAGCAACAGTATTGGGCCTAAGCTGGCAATATTTCAGAGGAGGCTTGTTGAACAGAGATTTTGCCTTAAACCACATTCTTTTGTGACCTTCAACAAAAACCATCTCAAGGGACCGATTTGTCATGGGGATTCGCACCCCCTCCCCTTGGCCACCTCTTCAGGGATCCTTACATTATACACCTGAACATTGCCACTTGCAAATGGCGGTTTCCAACTTTACTCTGGTGTTGAAAAAGCCACATCTTTCAGATGGTTGCAACATGGAGATCTCTTAAGGACCCCTGCCCTTGTTTCATTTTCCTTCCGAACCGGGGTGCCGAACCCAAAGCCGCCGCCGACGCCGGCTCCGGCGCCGGGCCTTCGGCTCAAAAAACAAGACACAAGAGGGAAACTATTGAAGGGGACGCCACCGCCCAAGAGGCAAAGGCGACAAAAGTCGGGGAATTTGATGCCCAGAGGTCGACTTGAAATCAGAAGCATGGAAAGTGAGAAAACATGGGTGGCTGAAAAGAGGGGACCCCAAGTGGTTCTCGACCAGGGTTTCCTTTTCAAACCAACTGAGCCCCTCTTAGGACCAATGGATAGGAAGCGCTGCCAATGGCGTCTTAGGCCGAGTCCCTCCAAGCAAAGCTCGAAGCTATGGAACTGGTGGCGTGCCTTGAAGGCAACGATGTACTTCCGCTGAGCCATGGTCAAGTTTTGCAAAACTCTCCAGGAGGTCAGAGACTAGGTGTTTCAGTAGAGAGGTTAGAATAAGGGTACCCTTTTTTCTGTCGTCTATTTTAGTGGGGGAACCCTCCCCCCAAAAAGAAACGGTAAAAGGGCACTACTGGGGGACCTAGGAGAGTCCCCTGGTGTTCGTTGAGAATTTAGAGCCCCCGCGGCCCTCCCAATTTGACAATAGACTACTGGACATGTTGATCGAATCTCATATCAGCATGGTTCCCTCATGGTCATGGTTCCCTTAATAGGAACTCTTACATACAATGGCTGCCTACGTCACCGCAGCGGTCGAGGTGTTGATCATCCTCCCTACCAACTGCCAAGAAAGCGTGGTGACCAACTGCTCATGTTGACGCATTCAAAGTTCCCGGTTGGTCGCGGGGCTAGTCCCATAACGGGAATCCATCTCATGCAGACCCCGCCAGGTTCATCGGATGAAGGATCCGCAAAGCCCTGACCTTCCTGAGGGTTCCCCGATTGAAAACCAGCGGATTTCGGGGAGGAATTGGCCTTCTTGGCTGGAATTAGGACCCAAGCGGAAAAAAAAAACGGTTTGTTTTGCCCGGTTAATGAAAAAACCAAGGGGACCTCAAAAAGCAAACAACAATCATGAAGGGAGCTATTTCTGGGGAAGCTGCTAAGATAGTCACTCAACCAGTAAAAGAAGCTCGCTGAAGGTGCGGCACCGCGCCATCTTTTTCAACTTCAAAGGCGACGCGCGCCGTCGCTCGAGGAATCTGCATTTCGCACTCTGAGACTCTGCTCGGGGGTAGGAGCAGTCAAAAGCTTGGAGATCATGCGGAGGATGCTGGATTTCTCAAGTATGTTTAGATCAACGCGGCTCTGCAAATGTGGATTATTTAGTGAATAATGCATTAATGTAAACATATACATGTGTATGTTTGGAATGGTCCGATCGCCTCGCAATTGGCCTCCAATTTGTCACTCAATTCAGGGGGAGACCTGAACCCCAGAAAAAAATGAAACATATTTTTGGAGGACACTCTAGAACAAGCCGCCCATGCTTTAGAGGCAGCTTCTTTAGAGGAAGCCCAGAAAAACCGACCCATGGGGGTGGCCAAGTCTCCTACCACAAGAGTCATGTTCAGCGCCGCTTCTGGCGATCCATGGGTGACTACTTCCCTCGAAAGTGGGATGCACTTGCCAGGGAAACTAGCCAAAAAATGCAAATTCTCCAGAAGCATGGCCATTTGTTGTCCACCAGAGCCAACAGTCTGTCACTTGAACACTGCCACTCCGCGTGAGTCGCAGGCTTTTGGCTACTCCCTCGGAAAAGAGCGGCCTGTCACCGACGACCCCCGTGAATATATCCAAGCTGGATATCGTGGCCTTGACGTGTTCCATGAGATTTGTTCGGGGTCCCAATTTGGGACCCCAATTTGGGGCGGGAACCCCAGTTTGGGGCACCCTGGAGTTTCCCTTTAAACAAAGTAGGGTGAAGCAAAAAGGGGCGTCTCCTTTCTGAACAACCCTCAGCTGGCCCCTCAGGCCCTTGTGGGCCATGATCCACAGGCCCCTCAACGCCGCAAGCTGCCGCTTACTGCCACTTCCATTCCCAGCTCTTGTCTCTCTTGTCTTCATTCCTTAGTTCGGGCAACGGCGGACTGTGGACCCAATTCCAACGTTCAAACACGCGCCAGCCAAAAACGCAGATATGAAAATGGCAACGACAAAGAGCGCAACAAACGGCAAACGCAAAAGCAGCTAACTTCCCAAGTGCCAACGTGGGCCCACAAAGCTCATGAATTCTGGTTTTCTACCAGCACAGCAGTGTATGAACTGTGCCCAGGATCTTCCAGTCCCATCCTTGCTGTTCCCAGTCCTTCTGCTCCCAGTCCTTCTGCTCCCACTCCTTCTGCTCCCACTTCTGCTCCCAATCCTTCCTCGGTTGCGAACGCTGCTCCCCTGCTAAGAGTGATTTCAGCTTTTAGTGGTTTAATACGGAGAAAAAAAAAGAAAAAAAACGTTAGCTGGCAGAAAGTTGTTAAAGTCCTAACATCCCTTGGCAAAATGCACCAAAGCTTCTGATCCCACTCTTTCCGGTCCCTGTCCCGGGACGGCCGAGACCTCCTCGCCTCCCGCGACTCCCAGTTGCGCTCGCGGGACTCATCTTTGGGCTCGGAGCCAAGTTCCACGCACAGCGGCTCGCCTCTCCTCGGGCGAGCGGTCCCACTTTCGAGACTGTGGAAATACATGGCGTCCCCCAGCTGATGGATGAAACGGACACGAACAAGATCGAGCAAGCCCAACTGAGGTTCGGAAAATTCACACGGCTCCCCGAGCTGCCCAATAGACCCGGTTAGACAAATTCCTGACTATTAGTCAATAGTTTGCGGATAGTCAGATTCTTGACTATTAGTTAGATCAAGACGCTGGCTAATAGCTAGAATGACTAGCCTGACTAATAGTCTATTCTGTAAAATAGACTAACATAAAGTCTTGAAATTATTTGAACAACAAACATGTGTTCCTTCCCAAACGACATAAAATCACATGAGGAAAACAACGTTTCTGGCCCGCAGACTGTGATGTAGCTTACATGCAGTGCACACATGATGAAAGAACACAATGCAAATGAAACTGAACATGGTTTTCCACTCCCTCCTTGTTGGAAACTCCCAAGCAAGTTTCCAGAGAAAATATTGTTGACTTTTTGTCAAGTATACTTGTTGATTTAAGTATTAGATCTAGCTATTAGTTTGTTTTTGTTTGCGCAAACAATCTAACTAAAAGTCAGGAATCTGACTATAGACTAATAGTCAGGAATTTGTCTACCCGGGTCTATTGGGTGTTGAATGGATGAGATGGAACGAACCATCCCGCGGAGATTCGAAAAAAAGAAAAAAAAACAGAAAACCAAACACAGGTCCCCGAGCTGTTGGATGGATGAAACGGAGCGAACCATGCCACGGAGATTCGGAAAAAAAAATACGCGGGTCCCCGAGCTGTTGGATGGATGAAACGGAACGAACCATTCCACTGAGATTTGGAAAATACACGGGTCCCCGAGCTGTTGGATGAATGAAACTGAAACTAACAAGCCCAACTGCAGACTGGACATTCGGACAACATAGATGGGCCCCCATGTTGGATGGGTGAAACGGAAACGAACAATCCCGACTGCAGACTGTAAATTCGGAAAAGAAACGGGTCCCCCAGCTTTTGGATGGATGAAACGGAAACGGACAAGCCCAACTGAAGAGGATTACCCTAAATTTTCAGAAACATGTAAACCCAAGAGCAACAGCAAACCTCTGCTTTGGTCCAGTGATTTGCATGGGAACCCCCTGCTTGGAGATCCATGACCACCCCAGCTCACCCCAGCTCACCGCAAAGGATGACGACTATTGAATTGGACACGTCACCTTGGCGGCCATCCCATGGATATTCACCGCACCCACCAACCACTAGCAAGGGTGCTCCGAACCAGGTATCCCTCCATTTGCTTAAGTCCCCTGAAAACAAAACTGTAGTGATAGATACCCTTTAACAACAGCAGGGGAAAAAACAAAAGTATTCTTAACCAAATGGAAGTAACAGGCACGCCTGAACCGCCTGGAATTTCTATACGTTCGATTTCTCTCCGGCCGAGAAGCTGCTCGACATTCGGCACCCAGCCCGAGCCATCCTTGAGCCGGAGCATTTGGATGCCGTTGTGTTGCTGCACCGCGTCTACCTCAAACCTCGGTTGCAAAAGCTGCTCCCCTGCTGATTGATTGAAAAGCTTTTAGTGGTTTAATGGAAAGCCCATGAGTTAACGCAAAACGTTTTAAAGTCCTAACATCTCAGTTTAGCTTTTAGTGGTGATAAATGGAAAGCCCATGAGTTGGCAAAAAGTTAAAGTCCTAACATCCCTTGGCAACCTGCACCAAAGAAACCTAAGCTTCCAAGCTCAGAATGAATACAAGTGGCAACTGAGTACAAGTGCCAACCTGACACGGGCTCAGGCCCTATGAAGAGCAAGTGGCAAGTGTTTGCTGGTGAAACGGGAAAATACAGAAGGCCCAAAAGAGTGAAGGGTAGAAAGTTGAGTTGAGTCTGAAAAGGGATCTGCGCTCTTCGATTGACTGCCCAAGCTGCTTTTGGCAATACCAAACGATGGTGTGCATGTCACCAGCGCGAAAACAAACCCAACCCCCTCCCCCGTCCCCTCCCAGAAAGGCGTCCATTGTGAAGCAATGCAAAGCAGGCTTGCTGCAAGACAGGTAACACACACACACACCCATGAATAACTATCTCTTTGCCAAGTGCAGCAATCTCGCGCTGTGGCGGTATATAATATAGGCTGTGGTGCGGGACCTCACCGCTGGCAAACACAAATCCAAAAGTTCAGGCGAAGCAGGCCTCCACTTTTTGCGGGTTCATCTATTTTGAAACATTGCACAAATGGGTCTTCTTTTATACCAGTGTGGGCAATCGGTGATCAATGTTTACCACTTCGCCAATTGTTGACCATGCTCATGGCTCCCTGAGAAGCTCTTGGACAACCAAGTGAAATTTTGTTTGACCTGGCATAAATAGACAAAACGGCTCCACAACACTGTTTTGACTTGGCACAAACAACATACGGTTTCAGGCACACAAAACGGGTCTGCTGTGTCTTGACGAACGAAAAAGACAAACGTGTGTCCCCAAAATGGGGGCCCCATGACCCGGGCAAAACCGAACATCCCCGCAAAAATTCACACCCAAGCCCACTCTGGGGGCCTCAACACCTCAAAAAACCCCCGCCCACACTCCAGTTTGGGGGGAAGACCCGAACAGACCACACCTGGTGCTTGGTGCTTGGTGCATGGAAAAAGGATTGCAGCACGCAAGCCACGAAGCCAATGGCGTGAACGAACAACGGCGTCCCCACTTCGCGCTCCATCCATCTTCGGCTCCTTGCGCAAGATGATGAGCTTTTCCGCGCGGAACCACTTCCTCACTTGCAGGACTTGGGGGAGATTTGAGGTTTAGTTACCCTGCCAAAAACGAGCCCTGAAAGGAACCCATGGAAAACCATTTCCCTCTAGCAGCAACCCTCCGTCATTTGCGGTTTGCTTTTGGGAGGGCATCTGTGGGACTTGACTTGAAGACCACGGGGTTGACCCGGCAACATGAAGAAGAATGTACAAAATTGGCTTTCACCATGACTTGAGTGACCTGATAGCTCAACAGGTACAGTATGCTTTGTCCAACAATCATGGATGTGGACAATGGTGTCTGTCAAAACTCGCCAATCATACACCCCACAGGCAAGTTTGCTTCTTGCTGGTTCTCGGTTCTCAGTACATACCTGGAGTCCCATGACCCTTAAACAAATGGGGGCCATGACGCAAAATTACGGGGACCCATTTTTTCAGGGTGGAGACTCCAGGTAGGGAGTTTCAAGGGTTCCGCTGGTCTGTCCCAACCTCAAAGGTAACTGTCACCGACTGTCACCGAATGAATTCGGTGACCCAACGCAGCCAGATGCGGATCGATGGCAAAAAAAAACACAATTCCAGGGGTACATTTCCAGTTCCATTCTGAACCCAGGGATCCGCGTCTTTCTGGAAAACCTCCGGAAACCCCCGGGGAAAACGGATCTCCTGTTTTTTTTTTTCAAAAAGAACGATGGCTGCAAAGAATGGAAAAGGAATCTACCCCTAGAACAATGCTAATGAGATCGCAAGGCTCACGGGTGGCAACCAGGAGACTGCTGTAAGCCTCTCCCTTGCAAATGGGAACAACCCAACAGCTCACCCTCTCTTTGAAGCGCCCCTGCTAAAGAGCAAGCAAAGGAGTCTTTGACCTCCGCTTCCTCCTCCACCTTTGGCCTATGCAACTCAGCAAACAAGGCGACGCCAGTTTTACTTTGAGGCAGTCCACAATGATGCCGCGGGCCACTTCACCCAAACGCGACTTTCCAATGAACTACTCTACACACTTGCGACTCGAGCTGGCAAACGGGCAGACATTCAAGCGCCAACATCAATTCCGTCTTTGACTATAACGACTGCAAACCCAAAAAAAGGAAATCCCACAAGTCATCAAATGGGTGTGGCTTCCTTTTTGTTTCGCTCTGCCCCAACCTCAAAAATGGTGACCCTCAACAAAAGGGTTTAGCACACCTTCTCATATCGACTCCAAGCGTCGTCACCATTTCCAGCTCGGGCACAGGCCATGTCTGGCTTGTGCTATACCGCGACCACAAAGCGGACCACGCTTCCGTCCGAGCCTTCTCCTCACCTCGGCTTGCGGCATGGGACAGGTCAAGGGAGCCTAAGCCGAACGCACGCAAGCCAAGTGCCAAGGATGAACAAATTGGGCAATCGCACTACTCAAAAAAGCACGTCGCAATGCCCCTAACGCGTGTAGAACTTACCCCCAAAATATGGTGCGGACACCACTTCTAAGCCGCTTGGAAGGCCAGATCCACAGAACCGCTTTTCAGTTCTGGAAATCTTGGATCACCTGTGCTCGATGTGCTTGGAAAAAACGGAACGTGCCGAGTTGGACCCCCATTTTTGTTTTCGCCAATATATGGCTGTGGCTAAAAAAAACGGTACCAAAATGGGTTGCGCTGGTAAGTGGAAACATGGACCAACACCTGCGTAACCCCTCCTGTTCAATTTTGAGCCACACCCATATGACCTTTGCTTATCATAATTTTCCTTGTGCGGGTGGGTCTTTCTTGACCCGGAGGGTCCATGGGTACCTTCTAAGGAGCTACTTAGACCCCTTTTTACCCCCCGAAACGCCATTCTCAGGAGGTACCAAGGGACCCTCTGAGTGAAGAACGCGCATTAAGTCGCGTTAAGTCCAACCAACTTCACCAATTTCGGGGCTCAGCTGCTCAATGCATCTAGAGGCACCCACCGTCTGCGCATCCCATCTCAGCGTCTTTGCGCTGGCAGCGTCTTTGGCTGCCTCACTTGTAACGGCTTCACCTCTTGACGAAAAAATGGATGCCAAATAAGCTTGAAGAACCAAAGGTCAAATGGTAATGGCCCTGTAAGAGGAGTGGTCCAAACCTAGACAACACTCAATTTTGTTTTTATGTTTGATGGCTAGGTTTTGAAAGCTTTCCCCCTCTGGAACGCTGACCTGTGTGCTTGGCCAAAACGAAAAAAGTGGTCAAAAGGCAGAACTTGAACTAGCTGCATCTGCTTCCTCAGCGCCAGCCATCGATGCTGGCATCTCCTCCGCCTCCGGCATCTCGGTTGCCCAAATCAGACCTGGCCCAGGTCTGGCCAAATGAACCACGACACAACCTAAAGACATGCCGCCAAAGGCCTGCGTGGCATTTGGCTGTGGGTCAAAACCAATGTTACCATTTTGGGGTAAAATCATTTTAGTCTATTTGTGGAGATTGGAATGTTCACTGGGGGTACGGGCTTTTGACCCATGGCCATTTGTTGACGATTGCATGTTTGTACTCTGGCGGGCCGCTACCAGACGGCCCTCAGACTTCACGAGTGCAAACGTTCTATATGTGCCACGGAGGCCATGCGCAACTGAGGATGCAAGAATGATGACCCGGTTCTCTCCTAGTTTCCAGCCAATGGAGGTTTTTGTTTGCAATTCCCTCGGTCATTCTGGAAAGGTCCCCACGAAACACGGGTAGGGGCCGCTCTTTTGAGTCTGTTTTCCAGGAGTGTAGAAAGGCTCGCAGCCTTTGGCTTGCCTCTGTTTGGTATTTTCCTTCGCTGGGGATGCCTGTGCTTGCCCTCCTTTTGACCCTGTTTCTTCCTGGTTTCCCGGAGTTTCTAGCAATGCTGCTGATGCTGAACTGGTGATGCTAATGACCCTGCTTGCTCCTGCTTCTCAGGAAGTGAAGAAAGCTGCCCGCAGGACTTGAGCAGGGACCTTTAATTTGCCTCTGTGCTTGTTCTTTCTTTTCCCTAGCTGGGGATGCCTGTCAGGTTTCTGTTTGCAGCTTCCTCGGTCGTTAAGGTCCGCGCACCTGTTTGCTCCTCGTATCCAGGAATGTCATTCTGTGACGCTGGTGATGCTGAGCTGGTGATGCTGAGCTGGTGATGCTGAGCTGGTGATGCTGAGGATGCACAAGCACAACGCTGAAGATTGTGGACAGTAGCCCAGGTGAATCCTCAAGTTCTTTACGCATCTGTGGCCCGCATCCCCCTCGCATGAAAGGATTTGGTCTACGAAAAGGGCGCAAGGCCAGCGGATTCGGGGACGGGTAACAGGCAAAGAGCATCTCTTGTGTCCAACACGGCGGTTAAGGGAGCTGCGAAAACGCGACTGGAAACAGTCTTGGTTGAAAGCAGTCTCTTTTTTCCTTTGAAACGACCCCCCAAACAGGGGCTCATGTGAAAAACCCACCGCGGGCAAATATGTTGAGGGTGGTCCAAAGGGGCCCCCGACCTGTTATTGGAATTGGTTTTGTGTGCACGTTGAAAAAGGAAACGCATGTGTGTGTGTGTGTGACCTGCCCGCTTGTGATAAGATTGTCGGATCTGCATGTCTGCTGATCTAGCATACTATGTTTGAAGGACTCCGGATCACCGCCCCCCTTTTGATGAATCATCCAGGTGATTCACAAAGATGTGTCAAAATTGGAAGTCCCCGAACAAGAATGGGGTTCCACTTGAAGTCCTGCTTGAACCATCCCCAAAAGGGTACCCTCAAACATATACCGAGGAAATGCTATCAGTTAGAAGAAATGAGTCGGCAATGGTACTTTCGTGGATGCTGCGAAGTTTCTCCATGTCCAGCGGGGTTCCCCATATTTCGCTTTTGGCGGTGCGAAACATATGGCCATGGGTCAAAACAACGTACGCCCCAGGGAACATCCCAATCCCCAACTAAAACAGACTGCAATGGGTGGTGCACCTATCCCAAAATGGTACCATTGGTTTTGACCCACGGCCATATCACCTTCTTTGCACATAGGTCTTAGTTTCCTTTCGTACGGGTATTCTGGTGACATGGCTTCTTGGAGACCGTGCGCCTGCCATCAATTTCGGTGGGGGGCTGCGGCGGGGAATAATAACGTGCCCGTCACAGCGACGGCCCAAGTGTTGGAAAGAAGATAATCAGGACCGAATCGCCAGCTAGGAAAAACGACATGAACAAACAAAGGCAAACCAAAAGTTCCCTCCCAAGTCCTGTTGGGACCTTTCCAAGAAAGAACACAAACAAAAGAAAACACAAGAAGCGTCAGCGGGACAGAGCTGGATTGCGTCAGTAGGAACCCCATCATCACTTATGGGGACTTGTCTGAAAGAAGAAACGAGGAAGTTGCAAAGAAACAACGGCACACCCCCCAGCTAGGCAAGAACTTGAACAAAACGAAGGCGAACCGCAGGCCCCTACCCAAGTCCCGTGAAAGAGCGCAGGCAAAAAGAGCAAGACGCATCATCGCAACAGAGCTGCTTCAGTAGCACCCCCATCCATCACTGCGGGGGCTTTCTGAAAAAGGGGGGTTTCAAACAAAAGCTACAGGTGTCAGCAGGACAGAGCTTGATTGCATCAGCAGCACCCCCCTTCACCACTTCACTTCTGTGGACGAAGCTACCAAGAAGCTACAGCACGCATCCCTACCGGGCCTTGAACAAACGGAGGGCGCCTTTCTCAGGGAACGGGAAAGGAGCACCAACCCCATCCACTCCTTGGAGCCCCATCCACAAGCAGGAAGTGGCAATGAAACACTACCCAGACCTGTCCGATGAAAAAAGGTGAGCAACAAAAACCATACAAGAAGCATCAGCAGAACAGAGTGGATTGCATCAGTAACACCCCTGTCCAGCACACACGCAGAGCTTCTTAACCATTTCCATTGCTACACGTGCTGCACGTTGAAAACCATGTAAGAAAACGATCCGCCCTCACACCCATCTCTGCTCATTGTTGCCGTGCGGAAAAGACACATATCAACCAAAAAAAGGAAGCAAGCCTGTAAGGTCGGCGCGAGCCCGGGGCGTTAAAGTTGATCCTGGTCCATGACCATGACCAACTTCACTCACTTTCTTTTTCAGAGGTGCCTTGGTACCTTCTAAGGAGGTTCTGAACGACCCCTTTCAATCCCCCCAAAAGCCACCCTCAGGAGGTACCAAGGGACCCTCTGGGTTTGATTGGCCCAAAAGTCTCGAACTTCTCAGATGCCCAGTAGGAATTTGGGGGAAAACATGCAGGGGAACCCTTCCCCCTTTAAAAGGTTGGCCAAAAAGGGGGGGACTCCACTGGGCAGCTGGGAAACTCGTTTTGCCACTTCAACGGCCGCCTGGCTCTTTCGGCTTCTCAGGCTCCTCCGGCCTCTGGCAGAGGCAAACCAGACGATTCCCACCCCGCGTTGGACAAGCCTTACGATAACTGTGACACAAATGCTTGGTTGACCTTGGAAGGGGAGCAACAACTTAAGTTTTAGCAGTTAAGTGGGGATTTCCCACTAAACCACAATACGCAAACATGTAAAATGTTTCCCAACAACAAGCATGAATGGGTGTTCGACAGGTTTCCGGTGTCCAACACACAGGTTGCAAAAAACGGCTTCATTGTTTAATTTGCGTCCACCGACCAGTTCCCCGTTGCCCAAAAAAACAATGTGAGGGGCTGATCTTTTTCTGGGGCCGGGGGTGGGGGTGGGGGGGGAAAAGGGCGGGGCCGCCAAACACAACAAGAACAAGGGGAACTGCTGAGATGATCAAACCTGGTATCAACTTGGTCTGCCCAAACCATGTAAAGGAATCAATAGGCATCCTATATCCGCCATTGGGACTGTCCCGGCTTCACTTCTCCGAGATGAAAAATGAGCCATGCTCAAACCCCCGGAAAAACTCCCTGGTGGCTCACCAGAAAACCACATGGTTGTGGGTCAAAATCAAGCCATCAGGAAATGGACCGCAGGTTTTTGTACATGTTTCCATTTACCAGGGTTCCATTTTGGGTACCTATTTTTGACCCACAGCCGTATGCCAATCCCAGGGTCAACAACTTTACGGCGGCGGTCTCAAGGTTGACCCCGGGAAAAAGGTAAGTCCATGTAAGTCCTGTTGAGGGGATGTTCTCCTCCAAACCTGCTAAACCAGGGAACACCCTGGTATGCAAGGAAAGCAAACAAAGGGTACCGGTTTGATCCTGTACAATTGTGATTAAACATTAATATTAGGTTTACCTTGAAACATGTGTGACCAGCGTCCGACTCATTGTAAGTTCTGACACATTGTAAGTTAGCCTTTCATATTTTTTCCGGAAGAACGTTTTTGGGAGTCTGTTGCACAGACACCACAGGGAAGATCTCCGAGTTGGGGTCCCGATGCTGCAAGACAATCCGTGTCTTGCCAGCTTGCGCTGGGGACACACTGAAAACCGATGTGTGTCACCTCAGTCAATCGTTGTGCAAAGCATGCCTACTGTAGGTCCTCCATCCAGTAGAGAGGCTAGAATAAGGGTACCCACTTTTTTCTGTCGTCTAGGGGAACCCTCCCCCAAAGGGCAGAGAAGGGCACAGGACCCAGCTGCCATGTGGGCACCTCAGCCCCTGAAACCAACGCCTCTCTTTGGGCTCTGGGACTTGAGGACATCGGCTTCCATCAAGATGGGGTCCATTTGGCTGTGGCTCAAAAAAGTAGGACCAAAATGGCACCTTGGTAAATGGCAAAGACTAGCTGCGGTTTGCCCTAGCTCTTTGATTTTTTTTCTCCACACCCATGTTGTTTTTAGCCACGCAGCCACTGACCGAATAGAAAGTGACCCTGAGCTGCAAAAAGAAACCTCTCGCGCGTGATCCAAAGATCTGGTTGCGCACATTGAACAACAACAGTTGCAAAGACACAACCACTCTGCAAACAAAGGCAAACACCCGTTGTTCACAACTGGTAACGCTTTGTGACACATGGGCCAACGATGCTACGCGTCGACCGTGCAAGATTGCGAACAGATTCTGAGTGCAAAACCGGAGGTTCGAAGTGTTGAAATGCAAACAAATGCAGTCATTGCTTGCTTCAAGTGACTCCGAGCCATAGCGCTTTCCAACACGGGTCGTTGTACGCCGTCACTATAAGGAGTCGGTGTCATACTGGTGCCCCTCGTCTTGGTATGTGAGAAAACGAGACGAGGTTCTTTCAGCTTACCTCTTTGGACCTTAGGTTCCAGGGCAACCTTCGAAGGGGTACCCGGTTCCGTGCAGGCTGCTACAAGCAAACCTACCCCAACTCATCGAACGCCTCCACTGCCAACGGTGATGGAAAGAGGGCCCCTTGCCGCAAATCCACCCGGCTGAGTCGCCAAACCGGAACCCCAAAAAAAGGCTTGGTTCTTTGTCATTTCCCTTTTTGAAACAACACGCACACACGCACACACACACACAGGGGTACCTTCCCCATTCTTTCCAGGGATCCTTCTTTTCAGGAAACCATCAAAAACCCAGGAGAAACAGCCGGTGATTGAAAAGAACGATGCTTGAAAAGAAGGGAAAAGGAATCAGCCCTAGAACACAACCTTTTTGGGGTCGACTAACCGCTGTGCCTTGGCTTCTCCACCTCACTCTGCACCTGCCCGGGTTGAAACGGAAGGCTTCAAACGGAAGGCTGAAGAGCCGGGGCTTGTCACAAGGCCCCCGGTGGCCATGGGGAAAAACCGGGCACTCCGTTCCGTTTTTGCCGCGGTTGCTTTCCTTTACAGGGACACCCCCCGGCCAACACAAGGTTCAGAAAGGGCACTGGAGGTCGATCGGGGGCGTTTGATGTGCGGGGTCCTGATGAAGGAATGTCATATACCCAATCTGAGGGTTGAATCCCTTCTCTGCACTTCTCCGAGCTCCTTGGGCAACGTGGGAGTTGGGATCCGACTTTCCAGGTGTCTGACCTTTTTCTCATGTGCGGCAACCCGGCAGGTTCCAGGGCTTTTTCAGGGACCTGGGGGAGATTCCTCTACAGATTGCATTTGGTTGGGTCCCATCTTATCCAGCAGAGCATGATGTACCCTAGGGTTCAACCCCCCGTTAAAACCTGCTTGTGACGGCAATCCTTAGGTAAAAAAAATGGTGGTTGTATGGACCCCCATGGTGGTTTGAACCCCAGAGTTTACTTTCAGGTCTGGGCCAGTGAGCTGCTGTGAAAGGACCAAACACGCACTCGCCCCAGCTTTGTATTCGCCGGCTATTTGCTTTAGGTGACCAAGCTAGCCGAAGCTTCTGTCTCATGGCTCTTTCTCAGAGAATTAATTCCGCAACTAGCTGGGGAAGTCACTGAGACCAAAACGCAACTTCATGGGGATGCCCTGGGCCCCAAATACATGCCCCTCACAAACAAAAAATATCAGCAACTTGCAAAACCTCTTGCATAGCTTATTGTTTTTGCTTTTTTTGGTTGTCTTTTTTCTGTAACCCAATCGTTTTACAGGGTTTTGTGCATTTTACAGTTTATTGGCAAGTCGAGAAGCGGCGCCACATTTCAACAACACGATCCCCTTCAGAGTAGAAACCCTCGAAGCCAGCACAGCATAAAGGCTTTGGGATGCCAAGCCTTTACTTTCCTCGGAGCGAAGTTTGGTGGACGATTTGAACATTTACTTGGCCCCCTTGTTGGATTCCACAGAACCCTAGCGTTAAATCCCAACTAGGTCCTCCAGTAGAGATTATGGAATAAGAGTACCTTTTTTTCCGTCGTCTATTTTAGTAGGGGAACCCTCGCAACCAAAAAAGGGGAGAGAAGGGCGCTACTGGGGGACCTAGCCAATTAAAAGACTCGTTGACCCGTAGACCCAACTCGGATTTCGGGCATCCGGTGGCGAAAGCTGGCCTCAGCCTCGCCGGCTGAAATCGCGACTTCGCCTGGCCGCGTCGAGTGATTCGCTGACATTCTCCACGTCCCTAAACCCTACCCAGAGGGTCCAAGTACCTCCTGAGGGTGGCTTTTGGAGGTAAAAAGGGGTCTAAGTACCGCCTTAGAAGGTACCAAGGTACCTACCCTGCCCTTTTTTGAAGTCATTTTGGGTATGAGTCAAAATTAAACCACCAAAAAACCACAGCCTTTACTCCATGTTTCCATCTACCAGGGTTCCAAGTACCTCCTGAGGGTGGCTTTTGAGGGGCCGCCTCCTTGGAAAGTACCAAGGAACCTCTGGGCTACCCTGCCCTTGTTTGAGCCATTTGATACTGTGGATTGCTTCAATGCAAGGAGTTCCTAGCAACCTGCCCTACCCCGAAACAGTGCGACCTGACCGTAATCAAAGGCCCATTCATGCCTGCTGCTTCTGTTGAATTGACGTGTCTCGGATCTCTCACTGTCCTTTGAACCGCCGAAATTAGCCTCCTCTCCACTGCTTCATCAGTGGCAACAAACGTCAACATATTATCATCAATGCATTTTCGAGAGACTCAACCCACAGGCATATCACTGTGACCATTCTTCACAAACTGGACTAGTCATCCCCAAATCAGAGACCTTTGTCATGGGTAAGCTCGTTTTGCCCCGGGTGAGCTCGATGTAATTTGCGCAGCATGAGGGCTATGCCATAGGCAAACTTCTTGGACCCCCGACGACAAGCAAAGAAAGCCGTCACACCATATTTAAACTCCTGGAGAACAAACTGTCTGGTTTTCCTTTTGGTTTCCCTTTAAACCAAACCAAAAAGGATACCGTCAAACAAAACACACATACACACACAGACACACAGACACACAGACACACAGACACTCAGACACACAGACACACAAACACACAGACACGCAGACACGCAGACACACAGACACACAGACACACAGACACACAAACACACAGACACACAGACACACAGACACGCAGACACACAGACACACAGAGGTACAGAGACACAGAGACACAGAAACACAGAGACACAGACACACAAAGACGCAGACACACAGACAGACACACAGGCAGACACACAGAGACACAGACACACAAAGACGCAGACACACAGACAGACACACAGGCAGACACACAGACAGACAGACGGACAGACACACAGACAGACACACAGACAGACACACAGACAGACACACAGACAGACACGCAGACAGACAGACACGCAGACAGACACGCAGACAGACACGCAGACAGACACGCAGACAGACACGCAGACAGACACACAGACAGACACACAGAAGAGACAGACACAGAGACAGACACAGAGACAGACACAGAGACAGACACAGAGACACAGAGACAGACACAGAGACAGACACAGAGACAGACACAGAGACAGACACAGAGACAGACACAGAGACAGACACAGAGACAGACACAGACACAGACACAGACACAGACACACACACAGACACAGAGACAGACACAGAGACAGACAAACAGAGACAGACACAGAGACAGACACAGAGACAGACACAGAGACAGCCACAGAGACAGACACAGAGACAGACACAGAGAAAGACACAGAGACACACACACACAGACACACACACACACAGACACACACACACACACAGACACACAAACACAGACACACACACACACACAGACACACACACACAGACACAGACACACACGCACAGACACAGACACAGAGACAGACACAGAGACAAACACAGAGACAAACACAGAGACAGACACAGAGACAGACACAGAGACAGACACAGAGACAGACACAGAGACAGACACAGAGACAGACACAGAGACAGACACGGAGACAGACACAGAGACACACACAGAGACACACACGCACAGAGACACACACACAGACACACACACACACACAGACACACAAACACAGACACACACACACAGACACACACACACACAGACACACACACACAGACACACACACACACACACAGACACACACACACAGACACACACACACACAGACACACACACAGACACACACACACACAGACGCACACACAGACACACACACACAGACACACACACACACAGACACAGACACACACACAGACACACACACACACAAAGCAAAGACACACACACAGGCAGACACACACAGACAGAAACACACACACAGACACACACACACACACACAGACACACACACACACACACACACACAGAGACACACACACACAGACACACAGACACGCACACAGACACACACGCACAGACACACACACACACAGACACACACACACACACACAGACACACACACACACACACAGACACACACA